TCATGAGTACCAGGTAGGTGTGAGGATAAAACCCTGGTGTAAAGACTGGGTTGTGAACCCCCTCTACAGCTTTTCTTACCAACAGTATGTCTATGTTGGATTTTCCCAATCAAACTGTGGTCAACGGTGGGGTTATCTCTACCCGTATACGGACACCATGATATAGTGCGATAAGTACGAAATCGTCCTTGAGACTTGTCTCTGCCACGCCCTTTCCCAGTAAGGGAATGCTGGTCTTCCCTGAGAAACGCGCATCTAGGCTTATAATTTCCAGACTTGCCAGCCCGCTTGGACTTTCCAAGCTTTTTGGGAACTTGATGTGCGTGTCTGTGATCTGTTCGTTGAACAGGGGAGTGGATGACCAAGGTTGACGTAAAAGACTGCCCTTGAAACCAGAATCTCAGTTGGAAACACTATAAAGTCTTGGGTGTAACGGTAATCTCCGTCAGAATGGTCTCAAGATGAATTTTCCTGTGGTCAAACTGACACTGTAGGAAAAACACCATAGTTTGGGAGTGATCTAATCAGATAGGGTTATCCTCTAATAGATTCTGATCCACTGCAAACATTGACGAGATTGGTTGCTTAAATGACGGAGCAAATGTGAGTTTTGGAGAAGTCTTCCTCCAATGACCTCGTGGTGTCCCTCTTATTTACCCCGTTATCAGGGCAGGGCGTTACTGACACGAGATGGTCTGCTACCGGATCGGGTACATGTGCTAAGTTGATCATGTGCCGGTTACGTAACCGAGTACACTGTAAGCCTTTGGGCTAACGTCATTGTAGAGACCCTGATTGGTACACAGACGCTGCGCTCAGCGCAGGTCTGGATATGTTGGAACAGCGCTAAGCTGATCGTGCGACGCTTGCGTAATAGGAGCGCTTTGGGTAGCAGTCAGACGCTGCGCTCGGCGCAGGTCTATGCTGGATATGTTGGAACAGCGCTAAGCTGGTCGTGCGACGCTTGCGTGATAGGAGCGCTTGGGTAGCAGTCAGACGCTGCGCTCGGCGCAGGTCTATGCTGGATATGTTGGAACAGCGCTAAGCTGATCGTGCGTCGCTTGCGTAATAGAAGTGCTTGGGTTGTAGTCAAGTGCTGCGCTCGGCGCAGATAAGCTCAAAGGTATTGACTGGATCAAGGCTTGCGTCTAATCTACCCCCATCATAGCATCTTGATACGCTGGTGCTGTCGCCAACGTCACAGAATAACATACATGTATCTGGAAGTGTCCGGCGGCTCAAAAAATAGGAGCAGTTAAGATACTCACAAAATCCTCCGGTATTGTTGATTTCGGTGGATGGTGTACTTCTGCAGTCACAGGCGTCATAATACCTGCCGATAATAACGGTTGGGTGGTAATGACCGAACCATGTCATTCGCTATTCTGCGATAGTGACATTCCTCTCGTCTCACGACGGAATAACTGCAAAATATGATTGTGAGTAATCTGCTTTTATATAGTAAACTCGTTGGATAAGAGATTTACACAAAAATTACATTTTGAATTTTGGCGAGCACATCTACGTGCATGCCTAGAACCGTGGATAAAGATCTTTGGGCGATTATTCCACGACAATATGTACACCACGCAAACATAAGTTACGCAATTAAACCATTGAAGAAATGGTACTGGAAGAATGCCGTAGAATTGAACAGTAATCTATCAGCAAAAATACGAATTGCAAGGGTATACAATATTTTTATATACGCAATTCAATGTAAACCAAGGCTATTTACATTTAGAGATTGGAGCACATCTGCGCGCAAACCAACCAACGTGGATGATAATCTTTGTAAGGTTTTTTCCACGACAATTAGTACAATGCTCAAAGGTATGTTATGCAATTAAACCCTTGTTGTTGAGACAATACTGGAAGAGTGCCGAAGAATTTGAACACTAATCTATCGGCAAAATTATGAGTTGCATGGGTATACAATATTTTTGTATGCGCAACTCAGTGTAAACCAAGGGTATTTATATTTTCATTTAGGGTTTGGAGAGCACATCTGCGTACAGACCAAACAACGTGGATGATAATCTTTGTAAGATTTTTCCCACGACAATTAGTACCACGCTCAATCATAAGTTACACAATTACGCCATTGTTGATGAGGCGGTACTGGAAGAATGCCATAGAATTGAACAATAATCTATCGGCAAAACTACAAGTTGCAAGAGTATACAATAGTACATATACGCAACTCAATGTAAACCAAAAAGACCAACAAAAAACTATTTAATCACATAAACATAGGTACGCAATAAAAGAATTGTTGATGAAACGGGACTGGAAGAAAGCCGTAGATTTGATATTAATCTATCGGCAACCATATTTTTAACGAGTTGAAAAAGTATACAATAATTTGAGTATACGCAATTCACTGTTACGCCAAAGCTAGTAGTATTTAAGAACATAAGAATATGTTATACATACGTAGCTGAGAATTGTAAACAAAATGACTACCTTGGCAGGCAAACGATTGTAACACAATTCAAAATGGCGGCGAACAACAATATTTTGGCAGGAAAAAAGACAAGAGTCTTTTCACGCCTAAATAATTCACATAAAACTACACAACAGGGTGAAGTAATATTAAAAGAATACATCACCCATCGCAAATCAATTTTTAAGATTGTAGACAAACTGAAGGTCTAAAATTAATCCAAAAGGAGAGCTCCGCTGGGACACGTCCTAGCTGTGCTGCGACAAGCAGTGATGTGAAGATGACCTCAGGTGTCATCAAGGTCACAGGACAGCGACGGGAGGCCACTGATTGGGACTTGAGAACAACAACTTTATTTCTTCACCCAGGACCGTCGCCGAGCTGTCCTTCTAGTTGTCGTAAGTAAGCAGTGAATGCATTAAGGAGTAATGCAGGATAAGTAAAAAATTCAGATGTTAGTTCTCGCTACCGCTGACGGAATCCCATTACAGATCAGAACAACCTTTTGCAAACTTTGACCGACCAATGAAATGACTAACAGGAAGTTGACATTAGCCACTAAGAAATCAGTTTTCTTGAGCCTTGCTTCATTACTTTCAAAATGTTGACTTCCATTTCAGACTACGCTTTCAAAAGTATTTTCCATCAGTCAAACAATATATATATTTTTTTGTCTTCTATTGTTTACTCAATGAAGTACCTGTTACATAAAATCGGCTTCCACCCAGGGTACCAGAAAACCCATGACATATATCACAACTTATCAGTTCATCTTAGTTTTTTGACGCAAAATAACATACTTCTCACTCACACATTCATTCTAGTAATACAAATATACTGCATATATCAAGTATGCATAAACTATTAAAGCTTATCTATCATATTGCTGTGCAGGAAAGTACATAGTCTCAAACATTAAAGTCTTCAGTTAAAATTAAAATTAAAGTTGCTCCTCATTTTCGAAAAGTTAATGATACAACATCCAAGCTCCATAGAATGTCTGCTGATTACCTGTCTTGAAAGCAATGTCTTTTTCAATGCTGTATCGTGAAAATGAAAATGAAAATAGGATTTTTTTATTTCGGAATTTGCATCTATAAATATAGAATTTTGCAATAAGTGAAAGTAAATTGAACACTTTATCTCTTTTTATGTTCTCTGTAACTCCAAAAAGTATCAAATGTCATAGTATAATCACGAACACACTGGTCTATCCACACTGACACTTCATCCCAAAATTGTTTTATTTCATCACATTGCCAAAACATATGATTAATTGTTTCCTTTTCATTGTGACAGAAGGAGCACAGATCGTTTTGAACGTAATTAAGTATATACAGAAAAGAATTAGTGGCAGGATTCTGTGGGTAATTTTGTATTGAAACGAACAGTTTTACATCCTGTGTTGTACTGAATATTTTATTACAGATATTGTTCCAATTTAAGTTTACAAATTGTAATTCCCACATTTCCAGCCTTTTAGCTTTTACTTTTAGGAACTTCAACTAAACTAAGCGATTTAAGGTATTATTTAATGCTGCTGATAACACCATAAGGTTCTAAATAGGATGAGTGAGTGAGTTAAGATTTAACGTCACATCGGCAGTATTTCAGCCATATCGTGACGAGTTAAATAGAATGAAGAGATACAATACATTTCATTAAATTCCCCATATGATCGAAACTCTTTAGCTGCCTTGACCAAATCTATAATTTGAGAGACACCCTTCTTAAACTGAAGAAAACTGATTTCCTATTAATTTTGATATTAGGGTTATGAAACATTGGCTCAGTTAAAAAAACTACTGAAAGATTCGGGCCTGATTTTCTTATCAAGCACTATAAATGACTGAAAACAACTTTTCCAAAACTCATAACTTATCAAAGATAATTTTCTCTCAATGAATGTTACACCTAAGACAGCAGTATTGTGTTAAGCTTTAAAAGGTTGCATGATAGGAAAACATAACAATATAACATAACAGTATGAATACTTCCTTTTTCATTTATTTATTATGTGTTTGTATCATTATCTATCATGTACTTGTCTGATTTTCGATCACAAACGTTGATACTAAAGGTTTTTTTGTTAAGCTGACATACTCATGAATCTGACATAATATGCAACCAACCATGTCGGATTAACAGGACTTATATATAATGACCTTCAATATCAGCCAATCACATACTTGATTATGTCTAGATGAAAACATGGGTATAAACTATTAAAAACATGGTATTCAAACACAGGGGTTAGTTCAGTACACAAAGAATCTTAAGAATGACTGTCCCATTGACCTTGACCTCCAATAAATGTCACTCGATTGCTGATCTAATTCCCTACCTTAAGGATGACATATACCAAAATTCACTCTTGTATAAGGATCTATACTCAAACGTTGCATTATAAAAGAATAAAAAAGATGCCTCCATAAAAACATCTTGTATTTACTGTCATCTAAAGTAATAGAGAAATGCAAAGATACAGACAAACCTGCACAATTGTACAAAGGTACCAATGGAGGAATGCATATAACATGGTAAAATGACTCACCATTAAGTGTTTGACCAGGTTCATGCTGAAGGTTTTGTTGCAGAAGCTACAGTACAGCAGCATGTCAGTGATGGTGGCATTGCTCACAATCAGCTCTCGCACAGCCTGAACCACCTGCACACAACAAAAAGACTCTACACATTGCCAACTAAAATACTGTACCAACTCAACACAGGTAGAAATTAACTTGCTTCTTTGATTGGAGAAGTACTCCTTCTTACACCAAGTAAGTGTTATAGCTATTGCTAAAAGTATGTTACAGAATTGAAGACTTATTTATTACTTGCTCGTGAAGAGATCACCCGTTTAATAAACATACAGCTGTATAACACATTGTGTAATACCAAACAAATATTGGAAGCTCTCAACATCCCTTGGCTTATTCAACGACATTGCATGTGGCCATGATAGATCACTGAGAGGAGCTTATCCCCGGCAACCCTGTTGCTAGGCTGACGTCACATAGCATTGTTTCGCCGGTAAATCTCGCAACAACATTCCACAAATAATGTCATAGGGTATTGTGATGTGATTGTAAACTTTGTGGTGCAGGGTCCCCTTTCCACAAAGCAATCGTACTGTAGCACAATGACAGTCGTAAGTTTCTGTTCAAGTATGTGAGTTACGAAAACTTTCTGGAACAGATGCCTGAATTCTAAAGGTGAGCCGTTGTGTGGTATTAAATTAAAACGTGTCAACTTCTGACATGTTTGAAGTTTTATTCTTTTAAACTCAACTGAATTATGCCGTTGATCATGTAGGTGTCTGCCTATTCACATACGACAATGAAATTCTAAAAAAAAACGTTTTATAACTGGCAAGTGATAAATAAAATACCACACGAGTTCCTGTGTAATACCAATTTTATGAAACTCATGAATAGTTCTGGTATCTGATGAGCATTCATTCTATATGTATCTCACATACCTCACGGAGATAGCGAAAAGAGTCTGTACCAAACACATATTTTTCCATTTCTGTTGACATCTTGAGAAAGACATTTGGAAATACTGTTTTTGGCTTGATGACAGGAAATTCACCAATATCTGGAATGACAATAAGACAACATTACAATGACACAGATAATTAGTACATTAAACAAGACTTACCTGTAAGTTGAAGTTTGACTGGAATTCTATCAGACAGTCAGGAGTGATGAAGGGGTAACATGAGATTGCAACTGCAAATGCGTATACCAGACTTTAAAGGGAAGCTTCGACAGTTTGGCAATAAATATAAGGACTAAGGGAGGGAAACTTGGATGGGCATGTTACCCATGACCGACAATGCATTTCTAGCAGTATTCAGGGCACTATATCCTAGTCCTTCTGAAAACAACAAAAACAGAAAATCTAGAACTTCCCCTACAGTGGGTGAACTGGAGTAGCCTGCCTCTGACTACAAAAGTTGTACCATCTGTCCCAATATGATTTGTATTGCTTTCTGGTACTTGGTTTCTAAGTGTTCCACAATAATGTCTGTTGTTCACGGGTCCATTGTTCTATCAAAATTCAAGCTGCAAGGATGGAGTGCATGGATCTTTTCTCTCTCCATGACCCGACAGTGTAGCAGGAAAAGCAGCAGCTACAATCCCAAAGAACTGTGTTATTGATCTGATTTTTACTGTCCTTCTAAGAATCTCAGCACCTAAACTAATGATGAATTCTGATTTTTAACTGTCCATTTCCATGGTCAGATCACATGAATTAAGCCAAAATCCAAAAATTTCATATTTGTGAAACCTTGGTCTGAGGTGAGGTGTGGTGAAATTGGTTTTAACGTCGCGTCCAAGATTGTTGCACTTATATAGCGACGTGCATGCACGTGTGTGTGTGTGTGGCTGCTTGTACTAGTCCGGACTGATGCCGATTTATAGTGCCAGCTCACTGAGATACCATGCCGCAGTTTAACATGAATACCCCACTCAGACACAGTATACTGACTCTGAGCCGACCAGTCCTTGTTTTAGCCCCTTAATGCCGAGCGCCAGACAGGGTAACAACAAGTACCATCTTTTAACGTCTTTTGGTATGACGCGCCGGGGATCGAACCCTGGACCTTCCGCTCTCCGGGCGGACGCTCTACCACTGGACCACGGAGGCGGTCCTCCTTGGTCTGAGAAAAGTTCATGCTCATTTGTGTTTGCTGTCTTAAAGCTCTGCACGCTAACGTCGAACCCATTCGACAGAGGTGTCACTTCTCGTGCATCTAATGTCAACCCATTCGACAGGCGAATAGCATAACGACACCCCAAAATAAAACTCGACATATCTATTTACCAATAAGTCTTTGCGTAACATTTAAATTACGTATGACATGCATAAATGCTCAGCTTGATCAATATCAAAACTTTCAGTCATTTATTTACCTCAAAAAGAAAATATCGCGAGTTAAAAAAAGTTTCGGCCAAACTACCAGAAACGGCCATTGTTGACTTTTGGCACTTCACGTTGAGCGGCATGCAGTCCGATATTTTCTTTATAATTTCATCATTTTTCCTATTCGATCATAATTTTTTGTTTGCTGACGAAAGGAAAACACTCATGTCCCTTAATTTCTAAAAGTTAGCAACTTTCGGTGTAGCTAATTGTAAACAAAAACAATCTGAATCGTAACATCATCGATTGGATGGAACTTGTACGATCATGGCAACGGCGGTAAACAAACAACTCCACATGCATAGTTATCCCGTTAGACTATTACAATCATTTTGTTACATCTAACTTAATTTTCTAGAATAATTGACACGTATGTATAAATCTTTGTAAAAAAAAAATCATTTTTAAAGAGTTTGCAAATGATTTCGTTTGATAAACTTTCGGACACATTGACAAGCCGACAAACGTCAGTGATACGTTTGGGCGTGGCCTAACTCGCGATTTGTTGAGTTGAACAAAGTCAACAAACACTGCGAAAAATTACAAATATTGGATGATACGCAAAATCTGAACTGATATACATTCTAGGTAAACCATTCAATAGCAAAATAATCCAATATATATACTCGGACCCCATGGTACCGCGGCATTCATCGTATCGCGGCTTTTGTGATTTCCGGTAGTTCACGCGGGACACGCCTCTTAGCGGCTGTCTATTAATGCTAATCAGTAACCAGGAAGTGCTCACTTCGTAAACAATTTCAATTTCCTCGGAATGTGAAATTTTGCTGTAAGTAAGGAGTTATTAATCCGTTGATACATATTTCTGGCATCTGTTGTAATAATGCCTTACCCCCATCTATCAATGGCCAACGATATAACCCGCAGTTCCCAAAGTAAACTTTCTCTATCGACCTGAACTAGATCATCTGCATATTCATGACGACTAATGAGGTAACGGAAGTTACGTAGTCCGCACATTTTTTCCCGCTCTGTGCCCAGAATCTATTGGGAGATCATAAGGGCCATAATGCCAAACTTAGAAATACGTTCTTCACTAGTAACCAAAAGATAAATACATACTTTGGGCATACTAGGAGTGCTTTTTATATATTTATTGTTGACTTTTAACATTTTTCCATTTTGTGACAAATTATTGTCATCCAATTTTTTTTAAACAATCTTAAAATATCATTTCTGATATTTTGATGTTGACTTATAAAAATATTTTTCTCTTACTTTTCGGTAAATATGCATTGAATACCTATTGCTGATAACACATTTAGAATTTTACTTGTGCTGTCTTTGCACTTGTCTGGACAAATCACTGATGTCTGGCATGATCATACCAAGTGGTTGGTAGAATTATGTCCTCTTTTTGTCCAATTCGGATCTCCATACACAACTTTTATCTGTACCGCGATACGATGGAGTTCTCTCCCTTGTCAAACTGAACGCGAGGCCCGGCTTTTACTCGGAGCTACTGATGTAAATAATGAACTTTTATAAGTAAAATATGCATTGTTTGATAACATGAATGATATCTGATACAGAGAACACGAATAAACATAAAGGTTAGTGAGTGCATTTTGTTCCGTTTAGCGTACTTGACAAGTACCGCGATACCCCGAGGTTGCAGGCTACTTGCAATTTTAGCTATCATTTCTGAAACCGGAAGCACGTACCGCATGTGACACATGAAGGAAAAATATGCAAAAGTTGGTAAGCTATCATAAAGAAATTCCGAAATAGATTCAAATTCAAAAGAAAATACATAATTTACTATTTTTCGTCAACTATTTACTATTTATTGATCTGGAGAGCAGTCTTCACTCCTATTTGTTTCATATTTCTTCGTGATTGTCGCCATCAAATGTGTAAGTCTAAATCCGAAACCGTAATGGATTTCACGCTCGATGATTTGAACTTTAAAATGTTTCCGAAAACGACCGCAACGGACAGCGATATTACGTATTGATATGCCATAATAATAACAACATAATATTGTTATTGGTCTAACATTACAAAAAGAACAATTTAAAATATTAAAGATGTTGAAAACTTTCTGAGAACCTCCCGTCCTCTGAACCGATTAAAATTTTGGTACACGACGAGGTAGTGGAATATATAGATTCTAGGCTCCTATATATGTGATTTTGTACCCAAAACAAATTAAATTGTACCCAAAATACTTTGTGAATTTGAACCTAAGAAAGTAAGACAATAGATCTATAATTATATTTATGTTTTCATGTAGATGAACAGAACATATAATAAAATATTTCACCAAGTTCATAATATGATTATGACTGTGATCCTTGAAATTGATTGTTTAGTTTTGAGAGAAAATTGACGTCTTGTCACTGAAGAAGAGGCCAGTTAAGTTGGTTAAACCTAAGTTAGAATGTATTGTTTTGATAGGAAAGTGATATTATGTTAAGTTTAAGACACCAAAATTAATGTATATCTTTGAAATAATTCTAGGTAGATCTACAAAATCACATACCCATTTGGGTCTGAATGATTCCTTTTCTCATTTTAAGACAAGAATTTGTTTTACATAACAAAACAGGCAGATCTACACGGATCATGTTTTGTCCTAAAAATATATAAAAATGTGAAAAATATGGACACCTCAGAAATGAGGGCTTATAAAGTTATAATTCTACCTAACTTGTCACATGGTTTCAAAAGTCCTTATGAAAATCTTTTTTAAATTTTTTTTTATGACACTGACATTTCTGGCACTTGTGGGGAAAAAATAACTACTAAATATAACTTAAAACTTTAAAACCTGTAAAAAGCTGTAAATAATTAAACAATTACAAATCTATCATCAATACGCAATCATGGGGGCCTTCATATTTTTGGAATAAATTTAGAAATCCTTCGTGAAACTGTTCTTAAATCATGCTAGAATCTATGAATGTATTCCCGAAAGGAAAACTATCCCAAATGTAATGTGGAACTAACACCGACAACATGTACGTAGCATTTTATTGCTTATATATACCCTATCATATTCAGCAACGCGGGGATGTTATTTTGAAACAAGTTTTGTCAAGCCAATTTTCGCGCACCTGTTGTAGAGGGTGATCTTGCTGATCGACGATATCCATAGACGTATTACGTAGGATACACTTGTTGTAGTGAAACTTATCAGCGTGTATATCGCAGAAATATGAATCATGTCCCATTTATATTCACCGTAACATTGAATGGTGATTCTTAAATATCAACAGAAGTTCAAATAAAAGATACCGAGAAACTTGCATGTGGCATGTTGATTTATCGTCTACCGTTTCCGGGTCACGGGAGCATGCAAGGTCAAACGGATTAACTAATACGCGAATTATATCGTCAAAGTCACATTTTTATTTCATATTAGTGGTGATTACTGATACTGTGTATGGACTTATGTTTTTGCTGTATGTGATAGGCGAACTATTTCAAAATTTACTGTAATTGTTTCGTTACGAAAGATTATTAGCAGACTACCCCTGTCTGTGACATCACATCCGGTGATCTTTGCACTTATTGAAATAGTGCTGTCAGAATTCACGATCTTTATTTTCGATTTTCTCTCGTCATATTAATCGGAATATGACGAATAAAACATTCTTCGATGGAGAAGATCATCAACTTTCGCCAAGTTTTATTTATAAAGGCAATGAAAACTTTGTTGATATTAAAATAGCAATAAGTTATGCGGAGGTCGGGCGAAGCGCGCCATGTTTGATTTTAGGACGTCTGCTAGCATCATGACACGGGTTGTTTATTTTTGTATATCGTAAATATTCAACCAAAACGCTTGAAATTAGGAATAGTGAATATTTATAAGTCATTAATTGTTTCCTACAAATTTTATAACATGACACGTCAGATTAACCTGAATATTCGTATTTCTGCAACCGACATGATGACCTCGAAAATTAAGTTATTTTTCTGTTTAACGTTTAGATAATAAATTTACTGAAATGGTTCATAATCTACCACCGCGCTGTTATATGCCTATAAAAATAAACGAATTTTTACTCAGTTAAAATTAACATATCGGAGATATGATTATTGAAATCAATTTGCACAAATGTTACGATATTAAAAGGTTCCTAGCATGAAATGCAAACCACCTTCAATAACGCAATTCAGGTAAGTTCAAGAAAATTTACAAATTTTGTGTTCGCTTTGGTCTTAACCTTGGAATGATTGAAAACATCGGGATATTTTTATATAGTATTGTGTAGTTTTCTATCAGGAATAAATGTGCAAAATATTTCTTCAATTGGCCCTTGTTTAATGAGGCACCGACTGTTTGAAATCACCCACCCTCTTTAGAGCGCCTTATGCTAAAATTAATCCAGCAGGCAGGAGTAAGAAGTGTGAAAATAATTCAGCTTCCTCCTCATTTGTGAAGAAACTGTCATCAATATATCCCAAGCAAGCCGAACCTAGGGATCTTAGAGAAGCGAAAACAGACTTTTTATTAGTTTTGAAAATAATTGGGGGGCCTCAGTGACTCTTCCCATGGTATGGGTGGGGTCTCACACCATACAATTGATCCTCTGTAGTAGCCTGTTGACGCTCTCTGGCTGATTCTGGTGGTAGTCCCAATATCTCAAAGATTTTTTACCACATCCTCGCCAAAAAGAGAGAAGTTTTCAAATCAACAAAGTTTTGATGTCTGCCAACTTGGGGTCGATAGGCTCAGAATATCCCTCATTAAGTACGAGACTTTGTCTAACGTAAGAGAATTCATCATCCTCATGTGAAATACTTGCCTCCTGCAAGAATGAGCACATTTTTTCACATGGGTCAGTAATAATGTCCCCAGTGTTAGAACACAGTCCCTGGGAATCATGAGGCACTTGTGAGGGTTCAATGTAATCATCTCCACTTTCGCACAACTCATAATCCGAGAAGTAATTGTCCTCTCCATAGAGGAGAACTTGTTGATTGTCAATGTTCTGTTCCACAGATTTGAAAGATGTTCCCAGTTGCGAAAGCCCCGCAGACATTTTCTTTAGCTTGTCAAGCTTAATTGCCATTTCTGTAACCAAGTGCGAAGTCCCAGCATTAGCTACACTGTCATCTGAGATAGTGGAAGGTGTAGAGCTTGTGGAGCTCATAGAATTGGACATCTTTGCCTTAGATTTTCCCTTGGATTTAGATTTGTCTTCCACAGGGACCATATTATGAACGTTGTCCCCCATAATGGCTGCCGACACAGTCAACCAGTTGAGATACACCCAATATTCAAGTGGAAACTCTAACAACTCTTGTTAACCAATTTACCTCAGAAAAAACAACTCGGAGAACAAAATGTATCCCCAGCAAGATAGTTTTAGTGTAGTCCTGTCCATGCCACAAGGTCGCACTAGTCTACTCATGCACAGTTGCAATCTCATGGAACCCCTGAATCATGTGACTGGATGGTAGAATAATCAGCCAAGTGGTTCATCATTATCATTTTCTTTAAGTAGATAGATGTTTCTCTTACATGCAAAAATGGAAACAGCTGCTCACAAATTTAACTTAATGTTTGGACATGTGATATTATCTTCTGCTGTAAAAGCTCACCCTTGTGATACATTGCTGTTCAATAACAGGACAATTGCATGATTTACTCACCCTCTGTTCTATATCAGGACATTCACATCATTTACTCACCCTCTGTTCTATATCAGGACATTCACATCATTTACTCACCCTCTGTTCTATATCAGGACATTCGCATCATTTACTCACCCTCTGTTCTATATCAGGACATTCGCATCCTTTACTCACCTTCTGTTCTATATCAGGACACTCACCTTCTCTTCTTTATCAGGACAATCACATCCTTTACTCACCCTCTGTTCTATATAAGGACACTCACCCTCTGTTCTAAATCAGGACATTCGCATCATTTACTCACCTTCTGTTCTATATCAGGACACTCACATCCTTTTCTCACCCTCTGTTCCATATCAGGACATTCACATCATTTACTCACCCTCTGTTCTATATCAGGACATTTGCATCATTTACTCAACTGTTCTATATCAGGACACTCACCCTCTGTTCTATATGAGAACACTAACCTTCTGTTCTATATCAGGACACTCACCCTCTGTTCTATATGAGAACACTCACCTTCTGTTCTATATCAGGACACTCACCCTCTGTTCTATATGAGAACACTCACCTTCTGTTCTATATGAGAACACTCCCCTTCTGTTCTATATCAGGACACTCACCTTCTGTTCTATATCAGGACACTCACCCTCTGTTCTATATGAGAACACTCACCTTCTGTTCTATATTAGAACACTCACCTTCTGTTCTATATGAGAACACTAACCTTCTGTTCTATATGAGAACACTCACCTTCTGTTCTATATCAGGACACTCACCCTCTGATCTATATCAGGACACTCACCCTCTGTTCTATATGAGAACACTCACCTTCTGTTCTATATCAGGACACTCACCCTCTGTTCTATATGAGAACACTCACCTTCTGTTCTATATGAGAACACTCCCCTTCTGTTCTATATCAGGACACTCACCCTCTGTTCTATATGCGAACGCTCACCTTCTGTTCTATATCAGGACACTCACCTTCTGTTCTATATCAGGACACTCACATCCTTTACTCACCTTCTGTTCTATAACTTGACACCTCACAGTTGGCAATAAGGACAGCTAGGGCTACATGAAGGTTAACAAATTCTCTGGACTGGATAGAACTCCATCTCCGACTGGAACAATCCTGTAAAAGAGTGCTACGAAACTGTAGCCACCCTGGCTATGTAGTCAACAGTTAAAATGTCAATAAAGACAGACACTTAAATGACAGTGTTGATTTACATGCCAAAGTTAAGCCTCATTAAGGAGAGGAAGTTTACAGAGCAAAAAATGCATTTTGGTTGAAACAAGGTAAAAAATTCAAATATTGCAACAAAAAACAACTGAAACACAGATGTGTTGAAACTAACACAAAACAAATGCCCAATTTCAGACATTTGGTACAAAAATGACTGCATGATGCTCATGAATAGCTTAGTTTAATATAGCTGCAGTGGAAATTGCATTCAAACCTCCTGAACACATTCAGGTGTAATCATTTGTGGAAACAAGCATGTGAAGTTTCAGCTTCATTCGTCAAGTAGTTTCTGGCAAGATGAATTATACAATGCAAGGAAATAAATTTTGTGTGAATTTAGGAGCATGATCCGAATGCAAAAGTCAAATGGAACTTAAATATATCGCAAAATATAGAACATAGGTGTCGAGCACCACTAGTAATTAGGCATACACCAACTTTTCAAAGTTGGCCAAAAAATGGCCCTAAGAAATATCTGTAAGCTCACCTGAAAATGAGACTTTATGAAATAATAAACTGTTAAACAAGAATAAGCAAGCATTTAACATAGTTTTTCTATAAAATAAACATGAAAATTTATTGTATAAATGACAAAATATTGTATGTTATTTCACATACCATATACACATCTTATATCAAAAGTCATAATGACACACATGAAAATGAGTAATGGGGAATCAGAGTACCACAGGTGCAAAGCTCACATCTTTTTAATAGTATTCAGTGAAAAGGTTAGACCCAACAGCTGTATTTTCCATTTCCTTATTGTGAAGGCCATCACTCACCTGACTCTCTCCAGCAGTGATTGGCTGACCCAGGAGAAATGTGATGAGACGACAGAAACCCTGGCGACCATTCATGTGAGAACATGCTTTGGTTCCCTGCAACAAAAGTTACAATGAATTAGAAGTGAACTCAAAGGCAACTTATCGTAACATGAAGATTTTTCACTGACAAACCAGTACATGAATTTTTGGTTTTGAATTTAAACGAGGAAAATGTTTATGACAAAGCTCAAAGAAATGCATCCAACCACATGTTGCTGATAATGCATTTTCTTCTTCCAAGAAATGATGAATAATCAATTGCCCTAAATGTTCTTCATGAAAGGCCACATATTCAATACCATATTATTACCACTCTAAGCAATCTTAGAAAGTGCAGAGTTCATATGCCACTTCCAAATGAAAATGATAGATGGCAAGCAATAGCAGTGCCTGAATGGAGTATCTTACAATGTCTATTCAACACCAACAGGAACACCATATGGCACTGTTGGTGACATTATCAACACATCTAAAATTTGACCTTATTTCCACATGGTTGTAAGGTGAAATGGGGTTTAACACCCTGAATGCCCAGTTGTTGTTTTTTCAGACTCACATTTTCATAAGTTCTGAAAAGTAAATGTTGTGCCTCTACTATAAAATTACTCAAAGTTGTAGAATATTAAATTCCCTATGAGGGGGTTAAAATTATTTGCAAATATAAGAAGAGTTTGAAAAAACAGACGATGCTAAGTACTATCAGAAATTTGGTTAATTTGCAAAACATAATTAAGAAGAATAAGAGATGGATGAACATATTTATTATAAACAATGACCAAATATAACAATTCGATGTAATAGAGGTAGTATTCTTAGAATTATTAACAGTGATAACTATTGTTTGATAATTCTTACGAAACTTCTACCTCTATTACACACCTGCCAGAATATACCAGAGGGACCCTGGTGGGATCCGCCTCTAGTAACTCCCTGTGTAATTGACAGCTATCTTCTTCTGGAAACCATTATGTACTGATTCTAATCCTACTGAAATTCCCCTTGAAGATTTGAAAATCAGAAAACTATGTCAAGAATCAGTCAATATGTGATATTTTCACTAGCTTTACTGTTATATTTGCTGATCTTGATCATAATAAACCTGGATTGTGACTTATAATACCGGCAATTGCGTCACTTCCGGTTATGACACTTCCCCTTATGGTAATGACGTCTCTCTAGGTCTATTTCTACCCCAAAGATGTCATTTCCTGGTTAGAAGGATTTTGTTTGGCTATTTCCAGTGCTGACATCACTTCTGGGTCCTCTATCACTTCCGGTAAATAGTTGACATTTAAGGTGCTTCTAATCCATCCTACACCTAATAAGCAGAATAATCAAGGGTGTACTTATCCCCTGATGCTAGTGGTGTCGGATCTACGATCCCCTTTCATTAATCTGTTGAGGATGGGATGGTTTCCGATAGATAATCCATAATGTTGAAGTACAGAATGAAGGGCTGATCTGTAACCTTCTATTGTCTGAATTTATTGTCTTGACGTAGATGAAGAAGGAAGTCCGCTATCAAGGCAAGCACAGTGTATCCGGATGTTTGCATCTTCTGCACGAAAACTTCCAGGCAGTTAGATGTAGGCTGGGCAGATTTTCATGGAATATACTGGACTTGGGCTGTCGGAGCATATCTCGACGAAGTGGTACCTGTATGGGTTCCTCCATTAGTAGCTTTAGTAGTCTGGCGAACCATGACTTGCTGGGGCATATTGAAGCTATCAGTATTATTACGCAATCGGTCTCCTTCACCTTGTGGATGATCATGTCTAGGAGAGACCATGGTTGGAATGCGTAGCCGAAGAGATTTGTCCAATCCATCGAAAGAGCATCGATCTGTTGAGCTCTTGGGTCGGGAACTGGGCTGTTATAAACCGGAAGTTGATTGTTCTGCCAGGTGGCGAATAGATCTATTCCTATGTCCCATATCTTAGATATCCAGCTGAAGATCTGTGGATGTAATGTCCATTCTGTTGCCTCTATTCTCACCCGACGTGAGAGGCTGTCGGTCAGTATGTTCAGTTTCCCAGGTATATGTCTCGCTTCCATCCGGCAATTGAAGGAGTCTCCCAAGGCAAACACCGTCATCAGGGAGTTGGATCTGGTTCCTCCCTGCTTCTGAATATAAGCCACTACTGTGGTGTTGTCCGTGCTATGAGAACTGATGATAGATGAAGCTGTGTTCTCCATTCCAGGATGGCGTAATATATGGCCTTCATTTCCCTGCAGTTGATATGAAGGTTCTTCTCCTCTGTGTTCCACGATCCCTGTACTGTGAGATCGTCCATATGAGTTCCCAATCCTAAATCTGACGCAACTGTGAATAGATGATGTTCTGGCGTCAGATACTTCAGCGGGATGCAACTCATCACATGTTCTCTGTGATACCACCAATGGAGGTCTTGTAGCAAAGTTGTAGGTAACTGAGACTGGAATTCTAGGCCCTTCGATCCTATAGAGTTGACCCATGTCTGTAGAGGACGTAGCCTCAGCCTTCCTCTGAAGGTCATATCCTGTAGAGACATTAAGTTGCCTAGCAGAGACATCCACCACCTCAGCGACTTGCTGGGTTGACTTGAGATTGATTGGATCATCTTAATAGTCTTGTCAAATTGATCCTCTGGTGTACATAGATATCCCCCGTCTAGCTGGAATCTTGCTCCGATGTACATAATGTCTTGGACCGAAGTGATCCCTGACTTGGCTGGGTTGACTAGGAATCCTACGTATGTCATAAGCTGGACCAAGAATATCATGTCCTGATGTAGCTGATCTTTCCCTTGGTCTGCCACTAAGAAGTCGTCCAGATAACCATGGATTTAAACTAGCTGATGATGGTTGAACTTGATGACTGGCGCTGTAATCCTGGTGAATAGCCAAGGTGCTATTGCTATCTCGAATGGTAGGACTTGGAATTCGCAGTGTTGGCCGTTGATTGCGAAGCACAGTTATTTCCGAGATGATGGGACTTTAAGATATGCATCTGTAAGATCTAGGCTGGTAAGCCAGTCTCCCTTCTTCAACATCAACCGTAACTTCCATATGGACTCCATCTGGAATTTTGGCAGAGGCATTAGATATCTCTTGCTGAGGGTGTTTAGATCTATTATCATCCTCATCTCGGTTGTGTTCTTCTTCAGAACTAAAAAGATTGGGGAGTAAAAGCCTTTGGTATTGTTGGATTCCTTTAGTTCCCGAATTGACGGCCAATTCTGCAGCTGCTAACTAGGCTCCTATGTTTCTTTAAGTGTAGCTCGTAACCGTGAGCAACGAGGTCTAGAAAACAGTGGTCGGGCATAACTTTCAGCGTATGACAGAAGGCGCCCTGCCACTGGGCCCGGAGTCAGCGTTTAGTTGAAAGACGGTAGGCGTAAATTGCAATCCATAGACATAACCAGGTCGAAAGGATCTATAACGTCGGAGGGAGTTGTAAGGAATTCAGAATTTTCTTTCCCGTCTGCCGCTTGATCTCCCTCCCCGTTTCTTGTAGTCTTGCTGGAGAAAAGAGTCCTGCGAAGATTGTGGCTTGTCATACCTCTGCCTCGGTTGGAAATCTTTTCGAGAGGGGACAAACTTCTTCTTAGGAGGCTGTTTGGATCAGGAGTCCGGAAAACGTCATATGCGCCGGACATGTCCGATTGGGAATCTCAAATGTCCGTTTTAAAATATTGCTTACCGGACATTTTAAAAAGTATTGTCCGGACATTCTTAAATTTGGACCAGACATGATCAACAGTTAGGACTGAGCAGTTTCTGTCTGCAGTTGCAACACAATGAAGATTAACTACACTGACAAGCTTTGTTTGTTTTGATTGCTGTAAATACATCGTACCTACATGATAGTCCAATCGGTCAATCACTGTAATAGGCAATAAACTGAGTTGACACCGATTAATCGAGGATTAATTACTGAGAACATCTTGTTAATTTGAGTGAAAGGTGTTTACAACTGTACATTAATACCTTGCATCATCGATGTACCTCATTATCCTCACAATGCTACGATACGTAACCTCAGAAAAGAAGCGAAAGCGTGACGACAGCCAGTCGACCGATGCAGATCAGTCGAGCAGATCTGCCAAACCCTCAAAGTCTTGACGATCATTTTGTAAGTCGTGGCTAACGACTTTCACTTGGTTGACATACAATGAGGATTTGCAGATTTTATTGTTTTCAGTAGCTAGTCGTATATTGAATCTTGATTGACCGCCATTTTGCTTTCTCGGACGATCGATATCCAATTGTTTTATGGTCAATAATTAAGTACAGATGAAAAACGTATTCAAATAACTATTGCTATCAACGATATTTTAGTATTTGTGATTAAATTATCTGTCTTGTTTTTAAAAAAATGTTTTCCATGTAAATCTAAAATGATGTTATTTGTCATTAATTGTTCGGTGAATTAAACAATTTAAATTGAAATAATTCATAATTCATCATATTATGAATACGTAAACTTGTAATGTGTGTGAAAAGTCGTACTAAAATACGCTATTTGAAGGGGGCGTGGCCTAAATGCAAATGTCCGATTGGGATTTTAAATTTTCCGGACCCCTGGTTTGGATGCAGATGAATTATGGTCCAAGGGCTGCTTGTTAAAAGCTGTGGTCGCTGATATCTGTTGCAACGTTATGAACTTCTTGATCTGGCTAGATACGGCCCATGACCTAATCTGGGGTAGGAGCTGTTGTCGCTGTAGCCTCAGTAACTGTGACGAAGTCCAGACCAGATGATAGTAAATCTTCCTGCATCTTGACGATAGAGTCAAGGAGGCTGTGGATTAGTCTGACTTGATCGGTCCTAGTAGTCATAGGTGTTTCAGGCCAAATTCCTTCATACCTCTTCAATAAGTTCCACAAAAGTGTAGCCTTCGCAGTGGGAGGCAGGTCCGTGGGGCCATACAGCGTCTTGCTGGTATGGCTGGCTGGCTTGGTTGCTGTGGACAGCCTGTCCATGAATACCGTGCGGCTTCCGTATGGTATTGTTCTCTGGTCTAGTGCTGGCAGGCCAGCTAGCTGGCTTGGTGACTGGTCCATTGGTTGGTGACCGAGAGCCACGCCTGGACGTTGTCCGTGGGCTGGCCGAGTGGCTCAGCTTGTTGATCTTGTGTAGCATAGCCTATGGCCATGGATGAAGATCTGGTAGTCTACTGTCACGATCTTAGCGTCCATATCCGACAACTTAGAGTCAAGCATGTGCTTCATTATCTCCTGCTGTTCTCTCAGTTGTTGTTGAATGAGATTCATGGTGAGTGCAGGAGATGATGAGGTCGCTGGAGAGGGAGGCACTGGGGCAGACACTGATTTCTCAGTAATTAACTTGTCAAGTTTCTTCTTAACCGGCTCTCTCCTCTTGGCCTTTGTTGCAGCCTCACACATCATTGAGAAGATCTCTTCGGATGTGTGACTGCATTGCTCACATCTCCTCTCCATGGTGAAGGTCTTCACTCTGCACTTTGTGCAGTTTATATGAGGATCTCCCGTGATCATAAATCGACCAAACTTCTTACACCCAGGCAATGGAGGGAGACTGCATTGCGACCTCACAAACCCAATACCAGCTATACTCATGTGTAGTCTCTTCCAGCAGCACTATTACTTTAAATATTTATTTATATGTCTGTTATAGCAATCTTATTAGAATAATCTTAGGTTAATGTGACCTACTACCAGGTGCTAGATTGTAACTACTATTATAGTAGGTGTTGACTCAAGCACACACAGGAAAAAAGTGATATGGCCGCCACTGCAACGACATGGCGTGGGTAGTTATGAGACTACTTTGCGGCAACTAATTGTGTGATTGACAGCGAAGAGGACATCTGTTGAAAATCTGTAAATTTTAGTTAGTATGATTGAAACAAAAATACAGGATTTATGGCAGATATGTAATAGAGGTAGAAGTTACGTAAGAATTATAATTTTTTCTGTACTGCAGCAGCTGATGAACAATACAATCTATCCCCGTGTTATGTGTTTTAGATGCTGAAGAAAATTTCATAGTTTTCTCGCTTATCATATGAACAACTGTAAAACATCTCACTCACTGATAAAAGACAACTTTATCTTAAAAAACAAACCGTCATCTGAGTATTACAATGTCTATATGACGCCACACCCCTCGTTATAGCGTGAGTAATTGCGATAAACATGGCCGGCCAAAAACATATGATCCGACAAAATAATGCAAGTATCTGACGCCAGAACATCATCTATTCACAGTTGCGTCAGATTTAGGATGGGGAACTCATATGGACGATCGCACAGTACAGGGATCGTGGAACACAGAGGAGAAGAACCTTCATATCAACTGCAGGGAAATGAAGGCCATATATTACGCCATCCTGGAATGGAGAACACAGCTTCATCTATCATCAGTTCTCATAGCACGGACAACACCACAGTAGTGGCTTATATTCAGAAGCAGGGAGGAACCAGATGTTAATATATTTCATGTGTTTTCAATAATACAAGGGTATTGTATCTGTATCATTGGAAATATGGGTATATATTCCAGGTTCATGGCATTAAGGTTCCCCCATCCGCAACCTTATACATACAACAGCGTGACTGAGGGGCCACCAGGTTTCTGTACAATGCCCGTGGGGGATGTGGTGGCATGTGGTCCTGTACACAGAGCACAGGTCACAAATCAGGTGAAAGTAAGTAACCTTTGTTGTGGACAGTCCCTGGATGGGTCCTGAGAGTTTCTAGGGCATTCTGAGAATGATTGTTGAGTGCAAACTGATCTAGCGACCGGGGTAATAATAAGCATGCCCCTGTGTTGTGTGGAATGTGAGCAATATAAATGTCCCATTATTATCATTATTTACAGATTAAAATAAGTAATGCAGCAAGGAGTGTTTGGGTGATCCTGGCACAGTCAAGCTTGTTAGGCTCATCATCAGCTCAGGGCCCTTGCCTGCTTTACATGCAGCCAAGACAGTGAATGGGACTTCCTCCATGGAAGTGCTGCCTGGTCGAACCCACCAAGAACTTTTCAGAGAATGTGAAGACTCCCCAACACTACAGCCTTCTCCATTACCCAGATTGTCAGAAGGGCTGTATTCCCGGTAGCAAACCCGGATACTCTTCCAATGTCAGCCAACAGAATGGGAGGTACCAAACCTAAAGCACCGAGAGCAATGGTGAGTCGGACAACTTGGTACTTGGGCTGCAAGTGTGACATTTCAAAAGCGAGGCCCGCATATTTGTCATGGTTTTCCTGTATCTTGTCAATCACATGTGTCAGAAGGGACAGAAAATTCAATGATATAAATTATTATCATTATCATTATTATTATTATTATTAATGATACTCACCATCTGCACATAGTTGCGGATGACTGTAAAGTACTGGAAGCAATTCTTGACATGGTCTACAACATCTTTCTCCAGCATAACCAGCAAGTGTTCTATGACACAGTCAAAGTTCTTGTGTGTCTGTGAAAATTAGTAAAGTCAAAATATATTTTTACATTTGTATCCTTATCCTGCATTACTCCTTAATCCATTTACTGCTGTTGTTTGACAGAAAGACGAAGCTGTGAGAGTTGTTCCAACCAGTTGTCCAGCAATACCCTCACACAGCTGCCACGTGACCCAGAAGTGGTGACGTCACATAAGAGCACATTACTGCTTAGAACATAACATCTGAGGACTTCGTGGGGAGGTAGCACTGCGACGGGAGGGCACTTAGACGAAGTAATGCAGGATAAGTATACAAGTATGTAATTTATTTTTTAAAATTACTAAAAGAATTAAACTTATCCTGCAATACTCCTTAATGCATCTTTATCAGATGGTACGGCAGGTGGGCATACCTAAGATGTGATCCGAAATACATCCCTGTCAAGCTCCAAGTAAACAGCACGATGACCAGAAAACAATGACCATTCCTGTCAGAACGAAAACAAGAGTGTGAGGATTGCAGAATGTCCAGGTAAAAGTACAGTGTGAAAAAAGTGTGAGCTAATGTCTAGAACTGAACTACCGAGCTAATGCTACTAGCATGTAAACCTTCTAGTCTGGGGTGACAAGCACCAGAGAGGTCAAAAGGTCAGCTCTGGGCATCGGGAAGAGTACATGTTGCTTGCGGTTGGTGACTTGCTGGCCAACAACCAAGGGGCCAAAGCTGTGGAAACCCTCCACGTAAAGGCTACGTCTCTTCGGTAGTTGCTGGCGAGGACTGTGACAGAAACCACAACCAAACTTCCATGATGGATCGGACGGAGCAGTTGCTGTGGAGAGGCATGGTAGAGACAATCGCTCTGACCTTGTAAGGAATATTGGCCCTGGAGGGATCCAAGCCAGGAGTCTTGCAAGCCGTAGAAAGAAATCTTGTAACTGCAAGGAGATTGTGTTGACGGCAAATGTCTGTCTGCGAGGTCATGGAAAACAGGGAGGTAACAGTCATCTCCTGGCTCCATTTGGTCTTCGGCACCCACTATTGAAGAGAGAGGTGTGATGGTAAAGGATTGGTCTGGCTGCCCAGGGAGTTGATTCTTGGCTATGAGATCCCATCACAGCCCAAGATGAATGGCACTGTGCGCCCTGCGCTCCAAACGGAAAAGGCATGTCAAACTCATGTAGCTCGTTCTCCCTTGCCACAGTAGCCCATATCCAAGAGGAAGACTGAAGTGGTTCAAATGGGGCATTACGCAGCAACTAGAGTGCCAGGTTCAAAACCCACACCGGGGGTTGGAACTTGGCCTTCTGATCCTCCAAACTGAAGGAGCGCAGCAAAGCTTTGTCATTCTGAGAACTTCTGGGACTGCCACCAGGTAAGTAGTAATTATACTGCCCTTGAGGTGTCTTTTGATGTGCAGGAACAGAAGAATTTCTGTCAAGAATGGGGGTCCTGATGTTTTCCCTGCAGAAACTCTCAAAGGATCGCCACTTGTTGTCGTAAATCCCTCTGGTAGAAGGTCTGTGAGCCAAATTAATAGCTGTCGCTGCTCTGGATGGATAATCCTTGGCACCTAAGGCCTTTTGCCAGGCATGAGATTCAAAACCTGTCTGTTTGGCCAACCTGGTAATTCGAGGAGGTTGTCTGTGGACATGTCTTCCAGATCCACCAACCAGCCAAAGTCAGAGCGAGGCTCTTGGTTTCCCTGATCATCTGCATCACTTTTGGAAGAAGTAATGGTGTCCGAAAAACATACTCTCTTCGTTCTTCTGAAGTGATGCTGAAAGCTTCCATCGGGGAGACATAAGTTGAGATCTGGTAGTTCTGGCAAGTGGCGAAGAGGTTGATGTTGGGATGACATAGGCCACTGACAGAGGTGAAGAAATACCTCGGGAAGGAGCTACCCTTCCTGATCTAGATAGAGTGCCTGCCAGAACATTCTTACATTTGGGAATGTGCAGGACCAAAAAGCGTAGGCCCAGCTGATCTATAAGATGGACGAACTGGAACGTCTGTCGAGGGAGGGAGTGAGAGTGTGTTGTCCCCTGATTGCATAGACAAAATATTGTGTGATATCGCCAATAAGAGCTCCTCCAAATCGAGGTTGTTGATGTGCCAAATGTGCTTGATGCCAGATCACAGCCCTGAGGTCAGTTCTGCACCCTGAAGTCGTCTGGTCCAAAACCTGTAAAGAAGCATCTACGAACAGGAGGGACTTCAGGGATAACTCTGTTAAGGAGACACCACCTAAGATGTTTGACTCTTCCGTCCACCAGGTCAGATGACTCCTGAGGCAAGGAGGTAGAGCAACTGATAGACAAGGGTCATGACATTTTATGTAAGGCGCCAGGGACTGTTGGTTCGGACCAAGGTGTAGGCGACCTCTGCTCGTCAAATCCTGGGTAGACGTGAGCAATCTCATGAGCACTTGTCACTGATCACTCCCAAAGTGTAAGCTGCTGTTATAGAGGTAGCAGATACGGTACGAAGTAAGGTGATTGTTTCCATCCCCTTGGAATTGTATAAGAGCTCACATTCTTATATCGAGGTGACGCTGAAGGGCGGTGTCTCATTACTCCGCATGTTGACATCGGAGGTCTGCTGAAGTTAGCGACTCGGTCACATTGATGTAAGTGACAGGCATCTGATCGAGGAGTTGTAGCATTAAGTACAAGTAGAATGCAAACCAATCTGCACTGCACTGCACTGCACTGCACTGCACTGCACTGCACTGCTAGAATTATGTCAGTTGACCAAATTCCGGTCAAAGATGTATACAGTCAGAAAGTTCTTGACAATTGACATTTAAATCACCCTGCTCGGTAGCCTAGAATCCCGCATTTTGGCCGGAGATAAGGTTCAAGCTCCACACACAGACAATCCCCTGCAAAATGTGTGGTGGACGGACAAGTGGTATTCCCGAGCTCTGTGAAGAGTGTGTGACAGGGCCGGTGTAGGAGCCAACCTGCCAACGATGATCCCGAGAGGTGGGTACCCGGTAGCCTTTGACGAATCTGTGAAATGGCTAATCGATCTTGAATAGTGAAGACCTACAAGTTCTGGTACAGATGCTGTCTACCAAAAGCCATGTGAACCAAGTTCAAAGAGAGTACTATCGCCCTCTACGTGGACTCATTCAACATAAAGGTAGGAATTTGCACCACGCCCTCACCATGAGGCCATCCTGACCAAGGGCTTAAGGGAAAAGGCGGACCTCCATTTGTATGAAAGCCAAAATTGTGTCTGGGATCTGGATAGTTGTTGGCTTTGACAACTCCATCATTCGATGAGATCCTCATCTAGGGTGTGTGTCCTGTCCGCCATCTCCAAAGCATGGATGGGAAAAGAGTTCTTCCTAAATCAAGGAATTTTGAAAGCAAGCGATAAAGATTATATCGTCCAATGTTGACACCAGATCCTTCAGGTGGATCTGGTGGAGATGGGCTTTGACCAAATTTGTGTCTCCTCTATCCACACCCGGGTCGGGTGATGGAGTAATGGCAGCCTAACATGACTGACTCATGAGCCAACCAGACCTTAATGCCAAGCGCCAGACAGGTTAACAACAAGTACCATCTGTTAACTCTCCTGAATGGCGACGTGACCGGGATGAAAGAGAGCTGCACCGGGATGAGCTGGAAAAGGCTGAATCACATGATGATTTAGTATGAGTAGATCGGTTAGGATCTCAGTCAACAAGAAGTGGCAAGGGGGTAGATGAAGGCGTCGGTGGCGCCACTGATGAGTTGGTGACAAGAGAAATTGGCAGAGTAGCGGGGAACCCTGGGTAGAGCCAGAGAGCTGAGAAGAGGCACCAAGGGAGCCGGGACTGCCAGTAGTGTGGGCGCCAACGTTGCAGGAGGCACCGCTGAACCCACTGGGGCAGGAAGTGTCTAAGTCATAGATGTAGCAGCTGGCGTCAGGTGAGACACAGGTTCAACTTATGAACCGTCTAAATCCAAGAAATACCAGGAAAAATATAAAACAATCGACATACCTTGTAGTGAAGCAATACAGTGTATCGCGGTATAAAAGGAATTCTCTCAAAGAATGCGAGAGAAAAAACATGTGCAGCATGGACTAGCTGGAGTCATGACATGACAAATTTCACAACTGCACATCACCTGCCTTGGTGGGAAAACAGTGGGTTATAAACCTCAACATGATATGAGAGGTTGCAGGTTCGATTTTATGTCATGGAATTTTCATGTAAGAAAAACTTGTGACTTTTAGCCAATCATCAAACAGAATTGTGTTTACATCAAGAGGCCTAGATATTACAAACCTAGGTATTACAATTGAAATGTAAAACCTCAAAGCACATTTAGAAGTGACCTATTTTAAAACCCAGGTTTGGAAGAGAACCGCTTCAAACCTGGGCTTCGGAGATGGGCTGGTAAACTAGGCTTACCCAAAGTTGTCAGGAACCTAATACAATATAGGGTAATACAGTGAATATAATTCTCAACAACACATATATGCCCACGTTGACTTACAAAGCAGTAATGTGTTTCCGGGTCACGGGTCAGCTGTGCAGGTTATTTTCTACACCACTGGTTGGAACAACTTCTTCACAGCTTTGTCTTTCTGTCAAAAAAACAGCAGTAAAAGCATTAGGGAGTCATGCAGGATAAGTTAAAAAATTAAACAAATATGTCATATGTAAGACATCACTCCAGTAAAACATACATAACATAAAGTTACTGGTCATTTTATCAAATAATGAGAAAACAGTCATCTTTGAAACGCATAGTTCGTTCCAGCTTGGCTCCTGGGGGAGTGTAATTCAGCACCATCAGAAACATCAGAGGAGGGATCTATATAGCAGGCACAACATATTCGGCAAAATAAGAACTTCTACTTTGACGAAGAATCACACTTTGTGTTGTCAACAGATGAAGACATACCGCCACACCACCATGGTAGAAGAAGCTGGAGATAATTCGATCCAAAATCTTTGCCATAAAGCTTCGGACATCTCTGTTTGGGCACTCCAACAAGAACGGCCTGGAATATATTTAAAAAACACCTAAGTGACTTAGTTCATTTTGTGCCTCTGTTCACCAAACAGGCAATGGGTACATGGCATATGAGGTAGATGTAAAACGCTCTAACACCAGTAGGCAGCTTGGGTTGTATTCTCCCCAGGGAGATAAGAATGATAACTGGAATGCAAATAGGTCCACTAATTGGGGAACAAATAAACCACATTGGAGCAGATACTAGTACCTGCATAGGTATGGTGCTAGGAAACCAAGAAACATAATCAGGACCAACAGATGAATAAGAAAAAGGAAGACTAGGTGTAACATGACGACCAACAGAACATGATGGCAGTTTATTGTAAGGTGCAAACAACCAAGAAAGATGATTGGTGTGTAGTTAAAACATGAACGCTGTAGATGAATTGATCAATAATGGGTCATGCTTCCACGATTGGTCAAACAATTGTTTATATGGCATGACATGGTCAATCTCCCAATGACAGTTTGAGGGAGTCGTGTCCAGTTCAGCTAACGTAGTAGGTGGCCTTTGAAGTCGATGTACATGTTGTGCTCCATGGGGAAAGGTCAGAATGTTGTCTCGGAAGTAGTCCAGTAACTCTTCCATGCACAATATGTGGTACTGTTCTGGCAGTCACAGTGATCCCACTCATATCATTACAGACCCACCCCTAAATTTGCCATGTTGCCTTACTTTGACCTTCGCATGACTTGCGTCAGGACACTTCCACACATGTCCATGTCTATCAAGAAAGTTCAGAGTGAGTCTGGACTCATCTGAAAACATTACACGAGACCATGAGCAATTCCCCCAGTCTCTACGCTCTAAATACCATGCTATCTAGCATGCAAATAAATGGTATACAAATAGGCACTGAAAACGTACAAACACAAATGGCGAATCTGATCCAACCGAACAAGCAATTATATAGAGTGAATGAGTGAGTTGAGCCTTACACAACATCAGCAATATTGCAACAAGATCACACACTTAACAAATCTTTGGAATCTCTTGGCATGAATAGCGACCTAACCTCAGAGAGTTCCAGAGAAGAAAACAAATTATGTAACATAGCAAAGTTGAATGTTGATCATGATGCAAAGGCCAGATCTGAAACAACTTGTGGTCATTCACACAAATGATTTTCTAAAAATCTGATTTATATCTGAACAAACTTGTTCACCTTTAGAGGTGAGGTGAGGTGAAATGGGGGTTAACGTCGTGTCCAAGATTATTGCACTTATATAGCAACGTGCATGCACGTGTGTGTGTGGCTGCTTGTCCTAGTCCGGACTGATGCCGATTTATAGTGCTAGCCCACTGAGATACCATGCTGCAGTTTAACATGAATACCCCGGTCAGACAAAGTATACTGACTCCGAGCTGACCAGTCCTTGTTTTAGCCCCTAATGCCGAGCGCCAGACAGGTTAACAACAAGTACCATCTTTTAACGTGTTTTAGTATGACGCAGCCGGGGATCGAACCCCGGACCTTCCACTCTCCGGGTTAGACCACGGAGGCGGTCTGTTCACCTTTAGAAACATCCATGGAAAACATCTGCTTAATTCGTCAAATATTACAGATAAGATCACAACAACAGTTCCTACATGTCTCTGATAAACATGCTATAACTGAAAGTGAGGTGAGGTGAGGTGTAGTAAGGTGAGCTGAGCTGAGGTGAGCTCATTTGAAATGGGGTCGCACGTGTGAGTGTGGATGCTTGTACTAGGCCCGACTAATGCTGGTTTAATAGTGCTACCCTACTAAGATACCATTCCGCAGTATTAACATTAATACCCCACTCAGACATAGCATACCAACTCAAAGAAGACCAGTACTTGTTTGTTTTGTGTGACATGGTCGAGGATCAAACCATTGACCTTCCGCTCTATGGGCAAATGCTCCATCCACTACACCATCAAGGCAGTCCAAGAAACGGAGGACTAAATATGATGTCAAATGGTGGAAGATATATATCAAAACAAGGTGTGACCTACTTGATGAACTCTTGTCCCTCTTTGCTGGAGAGGTATTCCACCAACCAGAGACACGTATCCTTTGACTTCATCAGCAGAGTGTCCACAAGCTCCACCCACTTATCTAACTCTAAGCTGCAGTACAAAAACAGTAAGAAAGTCAGTTATAGTGCTTCACTCCACTTTCAGTAGAATGTCATTTTTCAAGGCATTTCAGCTTAATGTAGGTGGAAGGCCCAAAGTGATGCAGGTTGCAGATATTTACTACTTTGATCAAACCAATGGGCACAGGGGGCGACTAAGATGACAAACGATGTATATGAGCAGGCTGAATCTGAGAGTCCAGGCCTTAGGTAACTGGGCTTCCATGCACCCGTACAAAACAACAGTCATCAGAGATGACAATCCCCCCTGGCTCCTGAACAAATCATCTGATTGTTACTGTGAAGTCCAACTTGATAAGAGAATTTCTATCTAATCTGTCTATACCATTGAATTGGGATTGAATTTTGTATTTCTATGTCAGGTACACACCACTATGAACAGAGTCAAAATCAAACATGTTGCCCTGGACGCAGATAAAATAGCAATTCTAAATAATCTCTGAATAGCAAAAGGTACCAGTTGACCACCTGATCTTTGTGTGTGCACAGTTTTAGATATGATCTGGACAAACACACCACTATGAAGAGACTTGTTGCCTTGGAAACAGGAAAAACTTCAAACTTTAATTATTTTTGTTAAATTCCTAAATAGCAAAAGGTACCATTTCAGCCCTTGGTGAATACATGTACCAGGTTTGGATGAAAAGTCTTTCACAGGTTTCATCTTGTGTTCCGGAAACGACACCTACCCCTACCTTTTGAGACTAAATCCAAATCGTTTCCATGCAAATCATAAAAAAACAAAAAGGCCCAAAATGTGCAAATAGTGAAAGGCACCACTTCAGGATCTGTTTGATATATCTGCCAAGTTTTGTTGAAAGACATTGAACGTTTTTTGAGTTGTGTTCAAGAAATGAAATCCGCCCCCTTAGTCCAAATTGTTTTGATTGAAATTGATGGACGGACAGACAAGGAGCATTATCCGGGGAGATAACAACAGTCATGAGTTTTTGTTGTTCACTTGGGTTTTTTAATTCATCTTTTAAACACAAAATAAATAGATATAAGCAACATACTTTTTGTCAAACAACACATGAAGAAAGCCACTTGAGATCGGTATCACAAACCATCTGGTCCAGATATTTTGGACCCAATCACCGAGGTAGTATGAACTGAAGGGCATGTGTAGCTGCAAACAGTAATGGTGTCCACCACATCAGTCAAAGTGAGCAAGTGTTTAAGAGGAAATGACTTCCAAATGACACAAGTCTGGACCAATGAATGTTTGTACATACACTGTTTTGCGGCGATTCCTCAGATATGTGTTGAACAGAAAGCGAACTCCAAGCTGCAATGACTGTACACACATCACACCATAGTCAGCATTATGCTTCAGCTCCTGGAAATACAGATCAAATCAGGGTCAAAAATCAAAATAGGCTTAAAATCTAATTGTATGTAATTATATAAATCATAAACTTATAGTATACAAAATATAAAAAAATTAAAACGCTGTAGCTCACCTGGATAAGTAGTCAACAATTTAACATGTCAACAAAAATCACAAAATACTTATCATAGTTAATAATTCTAAGAATACTACGTCTATTACATTATTGCGATAATCCTGTATTTTTGCTGTCATCACAATATAAAAACCTTTAGATTTTCAACAGAAGTCCACTTCACTGTCGGCTGTCAATAATCAGTTATGTGGATGATCATTTTTTACTACCAAATGCTCTTTTGCATGCGCAAGGCGGAAAACCATCATTCTTCCCAGCATACTGATGGTTCACTTGTGACAGTAGCCGAGACCATCAGCTTTTTCTCGATCCCTGTTGTGAGGTTCCCAACAGTATCTATGGCTTGTAAGTAGTCTAGATCGTAACCCTGCGCTAACTGATGGTCACATATGGAAGCCACAACTGTCTTCTTAATGAGCTTGGGAGGCAGTGGTTCACAGCTCTTGGTGGTTTGCTTGCTTTGAAGAAACTGTGCTACTTTGGTTGTCAAGCTTAACTCTGTGATGTCCAAATCTCTAAGGGGACACATATCCACCGGTCCCTTAGTACCCCTAATCAAACAGTGTCAAAATATTCTCGGGAACCGATGGCCAACAACAATTCCCCCGACCCCACTGTAATGCTGTCCAAATATTCCTGGGGACCAATGACCAGCAGTCTCCTGACCACGCCTTGCGGTACTCCTAATCTGATGGTGTCCAAATATTCAAGGGGACCGATGGCCCGCAGACTCCTGACCACCCCTTGCAGTACTCCTTATCTGATGGTGTCCAAATATTCAAGGGGACCGATGGTCCGCAGACTCCTGACCACGCCTTGCGGTACTCCTAATCTGATGGTGTCCAAATATTCAAGGGGACCGATGGCCCGCAGACTCCTGACCACGCCTTGCGGTACTCCTAATCTAATACAGTCCAAATATTCAAGGGGACCAATGGCCCGCAGACTCCTGACCACGCCTTGCAGTACTCCTAATCTAATACTGTCCAAATATTCAAGGGGACCAATGACCAGCAGACTTCTGACCACGCTTTGCGGTACTCCTAATCAATCTAAAGGTGTCCAAATATTCCTGGGGACCAATGGCCCGCAGACTCCTGACCACGCCTTGCGGTACCCCTAATCTAATGCTGTCCAAATATTCCTGGACACCGATGGCCCGCAGAGTCCTGACCACGCCTTGCGGTACTCCTAATCTGATGGTGTCCAAATATTCAAGGGGACCGATGGCCCGCAGACTCCTGACCACCCCTTGCAGTACTCCTAATCTGATGGTGTCCAAATATTCAAGGGGACCGATGGCCCGCAGACTCCTGACCACGCCATGCGGTACTCCTAATCTGATGGTGTCCAAATATTCCTGGGGACCGATGGCCCGCAGACTCCTGACCACGCCTTGCGGTACTCCTAATCTAATGCTGTCCAAATATTCAAGGGGACCGATGGCCCGCAGACTCCTGACCATGCCTTGCAGTACTCCTATTCTAATGGTGTCCAAATATTCAAGGGGGCCGATGATTGGCAGACTCTCCCCCTATAGCCTCTTAGCAAGGGAAAGCTTCTCGGGCAACACATCATGTTGTTGCTTGATAGCCTCCACCAGGAATCCAACATCTTAAGTATTTGAAAGGCATTTAGAATACTCCAATCCCAGACCCAAACCTGCCCCGTTGCCCATCAGAATCACCATACCCTACCAAGGCCCAGTCACTCATTAGATTTCCCGCCTTATCAAGAACAAAGCCAACATAGATGTCACCTTTCCTTACTTACTTACTTACTTACTTTGGAGATTTAACGTGCGCTTTCCGACTGATGCGTATTTCGCACACGGGCCCGGCCAGGCCATTTAATGTGTTTCCGAAAGGGGCGAAGGTGGTCTGTGCAACCCAAGAGGGGGGTTTTAGGGGTTGCTTATATAGAATTTGGGAATTTTGAGATTTGGAATAGACGCCGATGGGATTGGGGAGGAGAACTAAGGGAGCTGGGTATGGTGGATGTTTGTTTGTTTATGTGATTTTGATTTGGTGAGTTATTGTGTTTTTAGATGCGTTTATTAGTTCCGTTTTGATTAAGAATACGCCTAAGGCCTTGAAGTTTTCTAGTTTATTTTGTGGGTTTAGTATTGCTTCTAGAGTTAGAGCCTTGTTTAGATTGAGGGTGGTTTGTAATGCGGTTCGATGTGTTAGGTAGTGTGTGCAGTGGATGAGTGCGTGTTCTGGGGTTTCTGGTTGTTTGCAGTGTGGGCAGTTACCTGTAGTGTGTTTTTTAAATTTTTTTAGGTGGTTATTTAGGTTGGTGTGTCCTGTTTGGAGTTTAGTGATTACTCTGTCGATTTTTTTGGATGGATGGAGAATTTTTGGTTTGGTTAGTGGTTTGCTGAGCACTTTTTTGATTTGGCTATTTGAGTTTAGATATAGGTTATGCCATTTTTTGCTTGTTTACACTTTTAATTTCTGATTTTGAGATGGGTAAGTTTAAGCTTATTTCTGGGATTTTGAGGGATAGTTTAGCTGCTTTATCGGCGTTTTCATTACCGTATATTCCTACGTGGGCGGGTATCCACAAGAAGGTTATTTGTTTGCCTGCCTTAGTTAGGTCGTTGGAGCTTTTAAGTATTTGATTTATTAATTTAGGTCGGTTTTTGGTATTTTTGTTTTGGAGGGCTTGCAGTCCACTTAGGGAGTCGGTAAGTATTAGGATTTTTTTGTGGTTTTTGGATTCTTGATTATGGAGGGCTGTGGCCATGCCCATTAGTTCTGCCGTGAATATTGATTGGTTGTTTGGGAGTCGGAAGGATTGTGTGGTTTTAGTTGGTTGTGTGGTATGGACTCCGAAACCTGTGTGTTTGGAGGTCGGATCTGAGGATCCGTCTGTGTAAATGTGACACCAATTTGGCCAATTTTCGTGTATGTATGCTAGTGTGGTAGTTTTAGCTATGTTTGGGTCGGTTTGTTTATTTATTTGGCTAGCTAGTGTTGTGTCTATTTTGGGTATTTTAAGTTTAGGGGTGAAGATATTTGATTGTTTGCAGTTTTGTTTAAGATTTTTAATTTGGTGTTCATTTAGGTAATTTGTTATTCTTTGGGATATTGGGGTAAGTAAGGGGTGTTTACGAGCTAGAGCTTGGTTTTTGGGGCTGATGTTTTGGTTTATTAAGTTTTGGATGAGAGGGTTTGATTGGGACGCGGCCCAGAAATTTAAGCTTAGCTGTTCCCTGCGTAGACTTAGTGGCATTTCTCCTGTTAAGGCCTGAAGTGAGGTGTAGGAGGTGCCATGTTGGGTGCGTGTAATTAGTTTGAGAGCCTGATATTGTATTGAGTCAAGTCACCTTTCCTAACAGCAAGTCCATCAAGACCCATCTACGAGCCAATGGCAGAGGCACAAGCAGCGCAAGTCCCAACCCTTTGATCACTGTCGGTGCAAATTATCTAGCTGGTTTCCATTTGACATGTCCATTGTCATTTACATTCTATTCATTTTCTATAGTAATTATCCCGTTTGCCCATTGTCCATTGCCCATTACCAATCAGAGATAAGTTATGTGTTTGCTTCTTTTTGTCCATTGCTAATCATCTATCAGCACCAATTATCTGTTGGCTTCCTTTTGTCCATTGCTAATCATCTATCAGCACCAATTATCTGTTGACTTCCTTTTGTCCATTGCTAATCATCTATCAGCACCAATTATCTGTTGGCTTCCTTTTGTCCATTGCTAACCATCTATCAGCACCAATTATCTGTTGGCTTCCCTTGCCAAGTTGCCTCCTTTGTTATCTTAAGGCCCTTTTACACAGGGCTGCGACCTTTGTGCCACCTTTGTGCCATCCTTCAGCGATCAAAAACTGGCCAGGACGCTCAAAGGTCGCCCAAACCCAGCAAATCATGTTTCTTTGTAACTGATCCAGCAGTTATTCAGCAGTAACTGCTCGAGTTGTTCAGCGTCTGTAACCACAATGAAACACTGCAGGTACAAGACCTCTATTTATAGGCAGGCTGAGGAGGCACTAGAGGTAGCTCAAGGGAGGCAGAAAAGAGGCAGAAGTTTCATTTCACTGTTGCCGTAGGGACACTTTTCTTAGATGAGCTTACTAGACCTAACAGAATTTAACCAGAGACTTCTACCAGATGACGTCATACTAGTGGCTCAAGTTGAAGACTGCAAGCATGTGAGGTTTCAGGTTCACTGATTCATTGATTTCTGAGGATATGATGCTTACAGTGTGAGGAAATGCTTTTTGAGACAATTTAGAAGCATGGTCAAAGTGTAACAGTTAACGAAAGGCCAAATTTGAAATATCACAACAGAAACTAAACTTGTGTGCTTAGGCCCTACTACACAGACAAAAAACTTCATTAAATTTTGAAATAAAATGGCCAAGTTATGGCCATAAGAAGCTTCAGTTTTCAGGCTGGTCGAAGTGCAAAGGTCAAATTTGAAATATTGTCAACCCCACTGCCAACAAGTCCTAAAAACATTCACAACATTTTGAACAAAAAGGACTGAGTAATGGGGACAAATAGATTTTCCAATAGGGCTGACCTGGCGGCCATATTGAAAATCGTATTTGAACCTCTTCAACAAATGATGTCATCAATGGTGAGATGAAGCATGTAAACTTAGGCTTCATTCTATTGTGGCTTCTGAGATGTTTACAGAGCAAGGAAATACATCTTGTGCAAAAATTGGAGCATGCATGGTAAAAACAGTACATGGGCGGTTCTGTGTGTATATAATCATGCATGAAATAATTTCTGAATGCGACATCTCAAACCAAAACATCAAAGCTCAGCACAGTGAAGCAGACAACGCAAGCTCTGTACAGAGTAATCTGGCTTCAGTCTTGTTTTATAATAGAACCCAAAGTTCCTTGCAGCCAGCCAAGTACCTCCGTCACATTGTCACATCTTACACAGTCCATTCATATGTTTTTCATGTTTCATTTTGCACAAATCTACACACTTAAATAAACATATGTCTTTGGCCATTGAGAAAATATCCTAAAATGTGAAAAGCTTTTCCCAAACACTTATTTATCCTCCACGTCCGGTTATCAAAGCCCTACCGAGAGTGAGTGATATACAATCACTTTGATGTGTAAATCTATATTGTCATGCACCTCTCTGTCAGTTGTACTAGTATATCTATATAATTAAGCAAAACAATATGTAATGCACACCATTAGGTTCATTTACTCTTATTTCAGAATAAGTGCATTTTTTACAAAGAGGAAAGTCACATGATATGCCTATCCCTGTGGTGTGGTCACTGAAGCAGAAACGGAATAAGGCGAGTGAGCTTGGTGGTTATTGGCTATTGTTTACGACAAAGCTTCGGAATGGTTGACGACCTGTCCCTTTAAATCAAGTTTGACAATAGAATTTATATGTACATAATGCTCTGGAAAACTGATGGAAGGATTCCAGGAGGGCACCTTCACCACGTCTCAGCACCATCAATCAGGCAGGTCCTGATAAGAATATTTGATGAAGAAATAGGACTTTTGGGCCAGTGAGTTCTTATTGATTTTCACAGTTCCCTTTAGGTGTTATTGTTAATGGCTACTTACTGTATTTATTGAAACAAGATTCTTCACAAATGAGAAATATTCATGGTTGTACACATCTCTGTTCTTGACGAAGGTGACATTTTCAGCATGAATGATCTGCTGTATACTGGCAGGCATCTTGTCAACAAAGATGCCCTTTCTCTCTCCCTTGTGGACCAGTTCCGTCAGTTCCATCAGGCTGTCTGAGTCCATGCGGCTCTTCCTACAACAATCAGAAGATTTTAAAGCATTTAACAAAGGCTACAAAAATAATGGCCTTGGTCTTCAGGCACTGCCCGCATCCTCATAAAGTCTGCTGCATATTTTGTTTTTTTATTTCCAGTTTAAAAAAAAAAAAATCCTTAGGTATTCCGCGTCTCGAAAACACAACCCCGGTAATACTATAAAACAATGCAATCCAATAGAGCATGCAGTTGCTTCCCTTTACATGCACACTACTCACACTTTACTGCGCATCTCATGTTATGGTCATGGCAGCAATAGGAGTTTGTGTGCTTGTCTTGCCGTTTGCAAATTTGGTCAATGAAATTAAGAAATCTACAATAAAACATCACTACTTATGATGATTTACAAATTTAATGGTATTTGTGTACTGTATGCCGGACAATGTTTCAAATGCAGATATAAAGATTTCATGTGTATTTGTCTCGTAAAGTGAGCTGAAAATAGCAATCAGTTGTTCACACATTTTCTCCCCTATCTGTGGGTGATTTTGTTTAAAAAATACTTAATGTCATGGCCAATATCATAACTGAAAAGATATTTTTTGTATCTGTAACAACTAATGTTCTTTTCAAGGCGAGTTCATGGTGAGTTGATGTGATTTGCTGATCAGTTCATACACGCTTTAGCCGAAATAAAAGACGACAAAATTGCTTGAAATCTTGGATAAAAGTAATTTAATGAATTACAATGTAAGTCCAGATACACAATGAACACTTTTTATCCAGATAGTATAATAACAGGACTAACTTGCATACTTCAGTACGGATTAGTTGACAAGCTTCTTCTGATGTTGTATGCTCACGATAATGTTTTTGCGTTGTGAAATAAAATGAAAGGTTATTGTATGCGTGAACACACTGATAGTCGGCAGTTGTCAAAAACTGTATTCCAAATTCTGTATATTTTACTCATTAAGTAATTAATGATTTAACACAACTGTTAATTGGGTTACATACTAGTTTGAACACACACACACACACACCAAAAAAACACTGGCTGCCCGCACTATATTTTCAAAGACATTGCCTGAGAACCAATTGTTTTATTTTTTAAAGCCATATTAATGCTTTCAGAATATGAGACATTGGTGACCATGTAAACAAAACACAAACAAAACATACCCTCCATCTGTAAGTACTTTCTTGACAATCTTGCTCTTCTTTGCAGTGGCTGGCGTTGCAGGTTCCTCCATTCTTTCATAGAACAACAAGTAGCCATTCCAATAGCGCAATCGGTCTTCAGGGTAGGAGGAGCTTGCTGAAACATCAGGTGCAGCTGGTGATATGCTGCCCTCAATATGTTTACCACTAATGGTTATATATTTGACAACATCTAACCAATTTTAATATACCACCCCTGGAACCCTTCCTCCACACTCATCTGAAAGGCCCTAAGGAAGGCAGGGTGGGATGCAGAGCTATTGTATCAGGATATTGATACAGTATAATAAACATTTTAATTTATGTAAATTATTCCTTATCCCGATACAACCTATTGCAAATAAATTCCCCAGTTGGTGATGTCTTCTGTAGTTGATGCTGTGATGCTGATCTGTTGTAACTGGAGCGGATAAGACTTGAAACTAATCCTGTACCACCTGTCACATCCTTACTCATACATGCTTGGGATGATACACCAACTGCGCAATCCAGCATGTATCACGATACCTTGTTCACGATCCGATAAGTATCACGATACTTGTATGTGCTCTTATCTGTGGAGCGTAAACCATCTTTTATATAGGCGGGATAGTCAAATACCTGGCACGTACACTGACGATTTACAGTTGGCACTGTCAAATATGGTGCAATGGATGTAAATATTTTTTACTTTTTCAGTACTTAATTTCACTACTAATTAGTGTTTTGTGTAACAGTCATTAAAGTATGAATCAATATTTTTTTACTTAGTGCGCGACTGTGATCAGTACTTGTATCGGGAAGTAAAAAATCGCAATCCACCGATGCATAGGTGTATTGTCCCACCACTAATAGTAATACATGCAAAGCTAGGCTCCAAGCTTGAGTTTCTATTTGGTATGCGTTATGTGATGCCCAGAGGATTGGAACATCAAGTTCACCTCCTGTGCTGACACCAGTAGTCTAAAACTGGTGAATGCCTTCCACATTTTCTACAGCCAAATTCTGTATATATAATCTAAAAAAAAGTAAGGATATTTGAAAATAACAGATGATTACAGAAACATGACTATGTAATGAAACAACGTAATGAGATGTGTTTATATGCTTGGCATGATCTGAATCAATCTCCAAAAGACAATAAGAGGGATTCTTGCCAACTCCTCTGCAGGACCTGGTCCAGTTCAACTATCATAGCGGGTGGCCTGGTGACTTCTTGCCGCTGGAGATAGTCAGTTTTGACACATGCACGTTGGGCACAAGCGTTATTGTCTTGAAAGACAAACAGTTGATCAGCATGGCGTGGAAATGGCACAACTACTGGCACCAGCTTGTTGTCTTTGTAGTACTGTCCAGTAACTCTTACATGGACAATATGCAATGCCATTCTGGCTGTCCTAGTGATCATTACTAGAGCCAAATCTGACATGCCTATCCAAGAAGTCCACTGTTAATCTGGACTCATCTAAAATTGGAGTGGACTGTTTGAGTGTTGACAGACACACTGTTAAGGCTAGGACATGCATCTTTTCGTGATGCCTGGGATGTAATGAGCTCTGAATAATTGTTGATCAACCTGTAAGATGAACCAGTAGGTGACTTGAGTTTGTTGATCCTCTCCTGTTCTTCTGGCCACACCCTGACGTTGAAAAGTTCTCCAAACACTGTGAACACTGTTCATATGCGAGTGAGTTCTTTTAATTGACAGAGGATGGACCCGTGTTTGTGTCATGCCTTTGTATCAGTGTTGTGCCCCAATGTCAGTGTCCTGACCTGTGTCCTGCCTGTGTGTCAGTGTCCTGCCTGTGTCAGTGTCAAGCCTATTTGTCAGTATCCTGCCTGTGTCAGTATCCTGTCTGTGTGTCAGTGTCCTGTCTGTGTGTCAGTGTCCTGCCTGTGTGTCAGTGTCCTGCCTGTGTCAGTATCCTGTCTGTGTGTTCGTGTCCTGCCTGTGTGTCAGTGTCCTGCCTGTGTGTCAGTGTCCTGCCTGTGTGTCAGTGTCCTGTCTGTGTGTTCGTGTCCTGCCTGTGTGTTCGTGTCCTGCCTGTGTGTCAGTGTCCTGCCTGTGTGTCAGTGTCCTGCCTGTGTGTTAGTGTCCTGCCTGTGTGTTAGTGTCCTGCCTGTGTGTCAGTGTCCTGCCTGTGTGTTAGTGTCCTGCCTGTGTGTCAGTGTCTCCTGCCTGTGTGTTAGTGTCTTGCCTGTGTCAGTGTCAAGCCTGTGTGTCAGTGTCCTGCCTGTGTGTCAGTGTCCTGCCTGTGTGTCAGTGTCCTGCCTGTGTCAGTGTCAAGCCTGTGTCAGTGTCAAGCCTATGTGTCAGTATCCTGCCTGTGTCAGTATCCTGCCTGTGTGTCAGTGTCCTGCCTGTGTGTCAGTGTCCTGCCTGTGTGTTAGTGTCCTGCCTGTGTGTCAGTGTCCTGCCTGTGTGTCAGTGTCCTGCCTGTGTGTTAGTGTCCTGCCTGTGTGTTAGTGTCCTGCCTTGTGTGTCAGTGTCCTGCCTGTGTGTCAGTGTCCTGCCTGTGTGTTCGTGTCCTGCCTGTGTGTCAGTATCCTGCCTGTGTGTTCGTGTCCTGCCTGTGTGTAAGTGTCCTGCCTGTGTGTCAGTGTCCTGCCTGTGTGTAAGTGTCCTGCCTGTGTGTAAGTGTCCTGCCTGTGTGTCAGTGTCCTGCCTGTGTGTCAGTGTCCTGCCTGTGTGTTAGTGTCCTGCCTGTGTGTTAGTGTCCTGCCTTGTGTGTCAGTGTCCTTCCTGTGTGTCAGTATCCTGCCTGTGTGTCAGTGTCCTGCCTGTGTGTCAGTGTCCTGCCTGTGTGTTAGTGTCCTGCCTGTGTGTTAGTGTCCTGCCTGTGTGTCAGTATCCTGCCTGTGTGTTAGTGTCCTGCCTGTGTGTCAGTGTCTCCTGCCTGTGTGTCAGTGTCTTGCCTGTGTCAGTGTCAAGCCTGTGTGTCAGTGTCCTGCCTGTGTGTCAGTGTCCTGCCTGTGTGTCAGTGTCCTGCCTGTGTCAGTGTCAAGCCTGTGTCAGTGTCAAGCCTATGTGTCAGTATCCTGCCTGTGTCAGTATCCTGCCTGTGTGTCAGTGTCCTGCCTGTGTGTTAGTGTCCTGCCTGTGTGTCAGTGTCCTGCCTGTGTGTCAGTGTCCTGCCTGTGTGTTAGTGTCCTGCCTGTGTGTTAGTGTCCTGCCTTGTGTGTCAGTGTCCTGCCTGTGTGTCAGTGTCCTGCCTGTGTGTTCGTGTCCTGCCTGTGTGTCAGTATCCTGCCTGTGTCAGTATCCTGCCTGTGTGTTCGTGTCCTGCCTGTGTGTAAGTGTCCTGCCTGTGTGTCAGTGTCCTGCCTGTGTGTAAGTGTCCTGCCTGTGTGTAAGTGTCCTGCCTGTGTGTCAGTGTCCTGCCTGTGTGTCAGTGTCCTGCCTGTGTGTTAGTGTCCTGCCTGTGTGTTAGTGTCCTGCCTTGTGTGTCAGTGTCCTTCCTGTGTGTCAGTATCCTGCCTGTGTGTCAGTGTCCTGCCTGTGTGTCAGCGTCCTTTCTGTGTGTCATAGTCCTGCCTGTGTTTCAGTGTCAGTGTACTGAGCAGGAATGCGGAAACGGTCATATGTGCCGGACTCTCTGGCCAGGCCGGAATCTCAAATGTCCATTTTAAAATTTTGCTTACCGGACATTTAAATTTTTCTGTCCGGACATTTTTAAAAACAAACAGGGTCCAAATAATTGATGAGCGTTATCGTATCCCTTCAGCGAATTCAGGTGAATAAACAGGTATAACAAACTTGGTCATTAAAAGTATGAAATTTGATATGAAACATCACTAGACATGATGATTTACCATTTAAAATGTATTTCCTGCTCTCCAAGCCATTGTTTTAAATGCAGAGATTAAGATTACTGTGTGTATTTTCTCATAAACTAAGCCGGAAATAGCAATCAGCTGTGCACACGTTTCCTCCCAATCTACCGGTGATTCAGTTAAAACGTACCCTATGATACAACTTCAAAGAATTTTGATGCAATGGTCGGAAGAAATTGTATCTGAAACTATTATTTTATCAGGAATAATATATTCCAATATCGTGTTATTTTAGTTGCAGCTTCCACCATATATACTTAAAACTATAAGAACCATAAGCGTAGCACTTTGGTACAGATGGTATGCAGGATATTTTTTTACGTATGGAATGATTTTGACCATTCACCGTAGGGATTTCCCGCGCTACATGTATTTCGATTGGAAAACAAACTGCTACAAATATGACTTTTAGGGAGTCATGGTACGGCATTTATGATATGTGTATCCATTCTCTTACAACTAAAGTTCGTTTCAAGGCGTCAATAGCGGTAATCTGACCATAGTTGCTATAAATAACGGTGAGTTGTGCAATCTACTGATTTCGCCGAAATTATTGTAAACACTATTATAATTATTGAATGAAATTTGAAATATAATTAACAAAATATATTGCAAACATTACAATTTTTTTATAACCAGATATCATAATAATAGGATTAAATTGCGTACTTCAGTTTGGATTTATTGACTGGTAATTTCGGTGTTATGTGATGGCGGTGATCAGCTGATAATGTTTTCTGAGATGGTGGGGAAAACATCGTGTCATTGGAAAACTTGAGTTTATCAAAAATGTTGGTACATTTTGGGAGCCATGCTTTACCGCACGCTATAACCGAGTTAGAGCTATATTGAAGCGCGCAATAACGAGGGAACACTGAACGTAACAACTTGTAATGTGTGTGAAAAGTCATGCTAAAATACGCTATTTGAAGGGTGTGTGGCCCAAATGCAAATGACCGATTGGGATTTTAAATTTTCCGGACCCCTGGTACTGAGTAAAGCATATTAGAATTTGGGGAGTAGATAATTACAAGGAAATTGAATCTGTCCATTTGTTAGCCTGTAAGCAGTTTTAAGGTGTTAAAGCTTCCACATCAGACCATATTGTCCAGGGTGAATGTGGACGATATCCTTTATATATCTCAATTTATCGACGCTGCATTTCATGATGTAAAAAGTTTTGTACTTTGGGTCACGTGGCCTTTAATGCAAATAAACCTGTCTGTCTGTCTTAATTTCACAGACTTATCACAGACTTAATTCTTATCACAGACCGAGCCCTTATTCCATTCATATCTGTGACAATAATAGACAGCTTAGTTCAGTGAAGTAAATGTGATGGTACTGTAATTGGTAAAGATCATCAGCTGTAGCTGACCCAGTCCACATTAAAAGTCCAGCCGTTATATCAAAGGTTACCCCTTGCACCCCTCTCATTATAAAGGTAGGCTCATAACAGAGGAAATAGACTATGTGAAGTAGAGAGCTGCTGAACTCACATTGGTCATAGACTTTGGCCTTGTAACTGCCCCCAAAACATTCCTGCTCCAGACTGCTGTCGTTCATGTAAAACTCCTCTACGATTGTGTCGTTGAACTTGAACCACTTCCCTTTATTGCTGTTGGTGAGCACTGTGCCTCTACAACAAAACACAACATAATAGCACTGCAGCAAGAACAAGCATGAAATACTCATATCCCCCACCAATATGATATGTCCGGTTGTGTGCAATGCATTGGCTCCTGTGAACTATGTTCACTGGGCCTTTTTGTAAATGGCCTAATTGCAGCACTAAAAAAGTTATTACTGGTGTTGTTTTGGCATCTGCAGTTTATGATAGAATATGTAACTGTATTTGTAATGAGTAAGGATGAGACATATGGACGAACAACTTTTTTTTTACAATTAGGAGCGATGGTTTCGGTGTAGGTTCTAACACCGTTATCAAGCAAGTGAAGTACAGAGTATGGTTGACAAGAATATATACAGGATAGAAGGCAGTGTTTATACAGTTGAGAAGGTTTAAGATCAGTTACACAGTTGTATTTGTAATGAGTTGTGTTTCTGCATGAAGTTAGTCAGTGAATGAAACACCCATGTCCATGACACTTTTGGAGGAACATACACACAAGCAATGCAGAACTTGCCAACAAGAAAGGGAATGAATTCAATACTGCGAGATGACATTAAGCCAAGTTTGGTGAAGTAATATGGTACGTTTTTCAAGATCTGCTCCGGAAACAAAATGTGATGGACAGACGGACAGACGGAAGGACGGAAGGATGGCACCCATTCCTATATCCTATATAATAATGTGATTAGGAAGTTTTCTACTGCAAAAGTGAGCCTCAGATCAAGTGTTCTCACCAAGTTCAGTGTAAAGAGTGGTCAGTTTGTTTGCACATGTTGACCAAGCAGTTCTGACAGTTCTTGGTAACTTTGACAAATAATCCAAGAGTTAAAAACAAAACACTGCTCACCCACCTGGCCATGGTGAATTCATACATACACTGCTCACCCACCTGACCATGGTGAATTCATACATACACTGCTCACCCACCTGACCATGGTGAATTCATACATACACTGCTCACCCACTTGGCCATGGTGAATTCATACATACACTGCTCACCCACCTGACCATGGTGAATTCATACATACACTGCTCACCCACCTGACCATGGTGAATTCATACATACACTGCTCACCCACCTGACCATGGTGAATTCATACATACACTGCTCACCCACTTGGCCATGGTGAATTCATACATACACTGCTCACCCACCTGGCCATGGTGAATTCATACATACACTGCTCACCCACCTGACCATGGTGAATTCATACATACACTGCTCACCCACCTGACCATGGTGAATTCATACATACACTGCTCACCCACCTGGCCATGGTGAATTCATACATACACTGCTCACCCACCTGACCATGGTGAATTCATACATACACTGCTCACCCACCTGACCATGGTGAATTCATACATACACTGCTCACCCACCTGACCATGGTGAATTCATACATACACTGCTCACCCACCTGGCCATGGTGAATTCATACATACACTGCTCACCCACCTGGCCATGGTGAATTCATACATACACTGCTCACCCACCTGGCCATGGTGAATTCATACATACACTGCTCACCCACCTGACCATGGTGAATTCATACATACACTGCTCACCCACCTGACCATGGTGAATTCATACATACACTGCTCACCCACCTGACCATGGTGAATTCATACATACACTGCTCACCCACCTGACCATGGTGAATTCATACATACACTGCTCACCCACCTGACCATGGTGAATTCATACATACACTGCTCACCCACCTGACCATGGTGAATTCATACATACACTGCTCACCCACCTGACCATGGTGAATTCATACATACACTGCTCACCCACCTGACCATGGTGAATTCATACATACACTGCTCACCCACCTGACCATGGTGAATTCATACATACACTGCTCACCCACCTGACCATGGTGAATTCATACATACACTGCTCACCCACCTGACCATGGTGAATTCATACATACACTGCTCACCCACCTGACCATGGTGAATTCATACATACACTGCTCATGTATGTAAAAAGGACTGTGCTAACTTGTGTAACAACACTCGGAATCATACCTGACATATCTCATTGAAATAGGAATTTCCTGCTTAGATCACACGGAAGATCATATGTCAAGCAGTTGAAGTTAAGTTTGTGAAGATAGCAAATGATATTATTCAACCAAACTGCTATTTTGCTGATTAGTTTTAACAGTTCAGAGGCAGGGCTACTCACTTTAATTTCATGACATATTTTAAGGCCAAGGGTCAACACTTACAGTATGTGAGATTCATGCTCAGACCAAATAGAACTTGTTTTGTGGAAGATGTTTCACAAGAACAGACTTCCTTGAAGCACATACATTACTGGCTATGAAAGAAGTCAATATCCATGATCAATATAAGCCACAGTGGTCCATGAAGGTTGAAGCAGGACCAGATATCTCAATATGCAGCAAAACATAACATGTCTTGTAGAGTCACATTCTAACTGTATATAAAATTTCACATTCATGCAAGAAGCAATGGCTTATCAATGGGAATGATTGAGTGACTTCTGTTTAACCCTGCTTTGAACAATATTGAAGTCCTTTCAAGGTGTGTCAGCTTGATGTAGGGGGAACAACAGATGAAGCAGGTCTTAGATGTTTGCCACTTTGGTGAAACCCACAATCAAGGAAATCATGCTGAAAAATCTAAAAACCTAATCAGGGCAAACAGTGGTTTCCGCAGTGAGCTAGGTCGGCCTGTACAGGGGTTTCCCCAGTGAGCTAGGTCGGCCTGTACAGGGGTTTCCTAAGTGAGCTAAGTCGGCCTGTACAGGGGTTTCCCCAGTGACCTAGGTAGGCCTGTACAGGGGTTTCCGCAGTGAGCTAGGTAGGCCTGTACAGGGGTTTGCCCAATGAGCTCGGTAGGCCTGTACAGGGGTTTCCGCAGTGAGCTAGGTAGGCCTGTACAGTGGTTTCCTCGGTAAGCCAGGTCGGCCTGTACAGGGGTTTCCGCAGTGAGATAGGTAGGCCTGTACAGGGGTTTCCCCAGTGAGCTAGGTCGGCCTGTACAGGGGTTTCCGCAGTGAGCTAGGTAGGCCTGTACAGGGGTTTCCCCAGTGAGCTAGGTTTGCCTGTACAGGGGTTTCCCCAGTGAGCTAGGTTTGCCTGTACAGGGGTTTCCCAAGTGAGCCAGGTAGGTCTGTACAGGGGTTTCCGCAGTGAGCTAGGTAGGCCTGTACAGGGGTTTCCCCAGTGAGCTAGGTATGCCTGAACAGGAGTTTCCCCAGTGAGCCAGGTAGGCCTGTACAGGGGTTTCCCCAGTGAGCTAGGTCGGCCTGTACAGGGGTTTCCCCAGTGAGCTAGGTCGGCCTGTACAGGGGTTTCCGCAGTGAGCTAGGTCGGCCTGTACAGAGGTTTCCCCAGTGAGCTAGGTCGGCCTGTACAGGGGTTTCCCCAGTGAGCTAGGTAGGCCTGTACAGGGGTTTCCCCAGTGAGCTAGGTAGGCCTGTACAGGGGTTTCCGCAGTGAGCTAGGCCGGCCTGTACAGGGGTTTCCCCAGTGAGCTCGGTAGGCCTGTACAGGCTTTTCCGGAGTGAGTTAGGTAGGCCTGTACAGGGGTTTCCGCGGTAAGCTCGGTAGGCCTGTACAGGCTTTTCCGCAGTGAGCTAGGTAGGCCTGTACAGGGGTTTGCCCAATGAGCTCGGTAGGCCTGTACAGGGGTTTCCGCAGTGAGCTAGGCCGGCCTGTACAGGGGTTTCCCCAGTGAGCTCGGTAGGCCTGTACAGGCTTTTCCGGAGTGAGTTAGGTGGGCCTGTAAAGGGGTTTCCGCGGTAAGCCAGGTTGGCCTGTACAGGGGTTTCCCCAGTGAGCTAGGTAGGCCTGTACAGGGGTTTCCCCGGTGAGCTAGGTAGGCCTGTACAGGAGTTTCCCAGTGAACTAGGTAGGCCTGTACAGTGGTTTCCCAAGTGTTTGTTTGTTTGTTTGTTTGTTTGTTTGCTTGTTTGTTTTTCCCCACTCAGCAATATTCCAGCAATATGACGGCAGTCTGTAAATAATCGAGCCTGGACCAGACAATCCAGTGATTGACATCAGGAGCATCAATCCACACAATTAGGATCGATGACATGCATCAACCAAGTCAGTGAGCCTGAACACGCGATCTCGTAAGTCGCCTTTTAAGGCAAGCATGGGTTGCTGAACACCTATTCTACCCCGGATCTTCACGGGTTGGTTTCCCCAGTGAGCTAGGTAGGCCTGTACAGGGGTTTCCCCAGTGAGCTAGGTAGGCCTGTACAGGAGTTTCCCAGTGAACTAGGTAGGCCTGTACAGTGGTTTCCCAAGTGTTTGTTTGTTTGTTTGTTTGTTTGTTTGCTTGTTTGTTTTTCCCCACTCAGCAATATTCCAGCAATATGACGGCAGTCTGTAAATAATCGAGCCTGGACCAGACAATCCAGTGATTGACATCAGGAGCATCAATCCACACAATTAGGATCGATGACATGCATCAACCAAGTCAGTGAGCCTGAACACGCGATCTCGTAAGTCGCCTTTTAAGGCAAGCATGGGTTGCTGAACACCTATTCTACCCCGGATCTTCACGGGTTGGTTTCCCCAGTGAGCTAGGTAGGCCTGTACAGGGGTTTCCCCAGTGAGCTAGGTCGGCCTGTACAGGGGTTTCCCCAGTGAGTTAGGTCGGCCTGTACAGGGGTTTCCCCAGTGAGTTAGGTGTCCCTGTGAGATTTTTACCTTCTGTCTCTAATGTAGGAGTAGTAATGGCCTGCATTTGCCTGTCCACTGTGCACAACTACCCCGACCAGCTCATAGTTGATCTGCTTCTGCTGATAGGGAGTGCAGTCAGTTGTCACTTCAGACATGCTTCCACTGCTACTTGAGATGTCACCATTCAACTTTTCTGTTGTTTCAGTGTCACTGTTGTTGTTGACCTTCTCTGCTTCTCGCCTGGCCATACCATCTGCGGTGTACGGCTCCATGTCCAACACCCAGGGAAACTGTAACAAGCAGGGAAAACGTGCACATCATCAAATATTGGCTGTGTTTGCAGTCACCATAGTTTGCATCATTACATTGAAGTTAGCATCCTGAAAACAATCTTGAATCAGTGTTCAGTGTTCAGTATCTAAATACAGGCAATATTTGCATGTTAAAAAGCTTGTCCTCTGGTTTGAATTCAATTTCATGGAATGGCTGGTCCACACTATAGTCCCACATTATCCTAAATCTAATCGATATACTATATACGGACCACTTTAGCTGGCTAAACTTCCAAACCACTTCTACTTAATGAGAAACTGTTCGTGAAAAAAACCTGTTCAAATTTCCTTAATAATTTTTCATTTTGATGCAAGGCTATTGTGTAAGCTCTACTTGCGTAATGGAATAACTGATGACTAACAAACTCACACGGAAGTGGTCGTCAAACTTAAGAGCTCTATTTGTCTCCCAGTCATAGCCAAACCTCTTGAGTTGAATACAGAGCAGTGGAGGCAGTGTTTTGATGCACATACGCTTGATGGTGTTTCTCTGAAAGATGGAATATATAACATGCTTGATTCAAGCATCATAAGGCATGGTTCATATACCAGGTTCATACAGATATAATTAAATTTTTGTTGTGTTCATTGAAATTCCTGTATTCATATTAGCTGATTAGTTCACATGTTATTGCATTCATTTCCCAATGAATGTAAAAAATTAAGCCACGCCCACCAAGGCGCATTACTTTTATTACTGCAGAATGCCGGGGAATCCCAATATTACAGTCGAGGGAATTCCCTTTCTGCGCACGTGTATCATCATGCACAGGACATTTAGCAACTTTCATGCATATTCATTGTCCAAACAACCCTTTGAAACTGAAGGCCGAGAATGAATGTAACAGCAAATGTTCAGGCACGCTCGCCTGTTTTTTTCCCGCTCGCCTCGGTTCAACTTTCATGTCTTCGGGTTTCATTTCTAACTAGCATTTTTCCAACTGTGCTTTACCGTTATCAGGGAAGTAATGTTTGAATCTGGCCTTAACTGACCATGTAATTTGAAACAGGACATCTCCCGGACATATTTCTTCCGGTTTGTTACAATCTGACTGTTGCAGTTCTTTTCGCCTATAGCCTTAATTGACAGGTCCAATGAACATTGTTTTGATCCTGCTCTCTGATGATTGGCTACTGACTTTGTAGGCGTGTCATGTTATGTGCATAAATTAGATGATCACCTGATTCATGTCACCCTACAGTTTATATTCCTACACTTATAATTTGTAGAATTTTCCTATTCGGAATATTCTATAGTAATACGTTACCACTTGTTATACCGAGGCTGTTGTCTCCCACAACTGCTCTTATAGCGAAATCTACCACAGAGATCTCAATTACCTCATGCAGCACGTTCGTAGCCATCTAGCTGCCATGTGACACCCTTCACTCTTGTCTCTAGCGAGAGCAAGTGCTCGGGGGACGGTCGGGGGGGCATCAGCCAAAGTGGTAACGTATTACTATAGAATATTCCGAATAGGAAAATTCTTCAATTTAAAACCTAAACCTGAGTAAACAGTAAACAACAAGGCGGAAGCACTCGATGTGCATGCTCCCAGCTTGGCGTTACCCTATAGGAATACCAAAGCACTGTCAAGCGCATACCGTAAGGCTCAATCGTCTTTGCCAAACGATTGGTGACTCCAAACGGCCTCACTGGATAGGTATTTCATCACCGCAGCGGAGGATTTGGTTGGTTGGTTGGTTGGTTGGTTGGTTGTTTAACGCCGCACTCAGCAATATTCCAGCTATATGACGGCGGTCTGTAAATAATCGAGTTGGACCACCTAATCCAGTGATTGATATTGGGATCGATGACATGCATCAACCAAGTCAGCGAGCCTGACCACCTGATCCCGTTAGTCGCCTTTTACGACAAGCATAGTCACCTTTTACGGCAAGCATGGGTTGCTGAAGACCTATTCTACCCCGGAATCTTTCATTTGGACCGTATATCCCAGAGCAAGCCTACTTCAAGTATGCATTAGGCGCGTGACCTAATTCCAGTATTTGTAAGCATGCATTACAAGGTTGGAATACACGACAGACAATTAAATACATAATTGTCAAAATACAAATAAGGACAAAACACACAAAACGCCTCCCTCACCTGTGGTGTGAGTGCGCTGGTTTGGGGGACCCCCACTCCATTGGAGTCGACCCAGATTGACCACTGTGCAAGGTTTGACGCCTGTGGAGTTCGGAATTGTGCGGGGCACACCCCTTAGATGACCGGTTGCGCCGCGATCAGCGGCCCAAGATGGTGCACACGCTCCACGTCTTCATCAGAAACCTTTCTGAGGTAATGATTGGCAAAAACCGAGTCAGAACGCAAGTAACAACCTCTCAATATTCGGTGAACAGAGATATTGGAGTGTAGGGCAAATGTTGCCGCTAGCGCCCTGATCTTGTGCGGGTTTGACCCCACTACCAGTATCCCCCGAGACCGTTACGCCAGATTGATGACAGAACGAAGCCATAACGCAATCGAGTTGCGAGTTATGTCAGCAGTTCGATTAGGGTTACACGATATGAACAGACGGTCACGCCCTTATCTGCGTTCATTCGAGGCCTTAAGATAATACTTAAGGGCCTAAACCGAACACAGTGATCTGTCCTCAGTATCAGCAGGATGTAAGATTTCTTTGAGTGATCTTACAGAGAATTCTCTCTCCGTCTGGCCAAATTTCTGATTCATAGCGACGAAGCTCATGAGCAGGAGCAGGCCCAGGCGGACCGCTCCTTCGTCGCCCCTAATGAATCGTACTTTAGTGACATCGAGTGCATAAATCTCAGACACTCGTGCCGCCGTGGCAAAGGAGAGGAGAAATACTGTTTTCCAAGTCACATGCCGAAACGAAGCACTACTCAAGGGCTCATACGGAGCATCCCTAAGTGATTTCAACACTAAGGAAAGATCCCAGGCCGGTGCCCGAAGGCGGCCTTTCTTAAGATCTTGCTGTTTGAAACCCTTGATAATACCCCGAATCACCGGCTCTTTTGAGAGACTGGTATCCGTAGCAACGGAAGAGACATAGTTGGCAATGGAACCCCGGAGAGTTCCCGGGTATCTCTTAAGTGAGACATGAAACGAGCAACGTCCTGAACAGATCTGGCGAATGAATGTGATGTTTGCAACACCACTTCGTGAAAATAGCCCAGCGTGCATTATACACCTTTACTCCTCAGTCGCTCGGTGACAACATCCACGCGTGCAGATTGAACTGCCCTGCGTTTTGATGAAGTTGACGCGTGTGAGAGTGGATCAGTAGATCCGGTCTCACAGGCAGTGGAATTGACGACTGCGTGACCTGGGCCAGCAAGTAGGGGTACCACATTCGACAGCGAACTCCTCGGAGCCGGCTTAGAATGAGTGGTATTAACGCCGTCGGCGGGTAAGCATAAGCGTCCATGCCCGTCCAGTCTAACGCGAGAGCATCGTGATCGATGGCCCTCAGGTCCAGGACTGGTGATACAAACAACGGGAGTTGATTGTTGAACCTGGTTGCGAACAGGTCGACCATCGGACGACCCAGACGTTTCACACAGCCACTGAAACACTACTGGATTGAGCATCCACTCCCTGGGGCTCGGATCCTGAGGCCTCGACAGAGCGTCTGCCAGTACGTTCCGCACACCGGGAATGTGACGGGAGCATACCTGGCACAGAATACTGTCCTCCAGAGCGTAAAACTCGAACGTGAGATCGAGTAGCCAGTGACTGTGGGTTCCCCCTAGTTTGTTCACATAAGAAGCTACCGTCGTGTTGCATGAGCCGGGCGTCGACGAGACGATGCTTCCAGTGACTAACTGCGTTGATCACTGCCTTGAACTCGAGGCAATTGATGTGAAGACCTAGTTCATCTATGCACCACAGCCCCAAGCTCACCTCCCCCTCTAGATGGGCGCCCCAACCCACTAGAGAGGCGTCTGTATACAGGTTCAACGTGGCCTGGAAGGGCTGCATAGAGACTCCTGATAAGACGTTTCAAGGGACCGTCCACCACTCCAGATGCGGTCGGAGCCGATCTGGGAGGGCGACGGACGCACTGTTCTCCTCCTGTGCTAACAACTGGATAAGAAACCGTTGCAGCGGGCTGAGTTGGTGACGACCCTGTTTGGTGCAGTCCTGGGCTGACACAATGAGCCCTAACAGCTGTTCCCAAAATTGAACCGTCTGTTGCACCGCTAAGACTTTGGCAATCATCACCTGAATCTTGTGCCACCGGTCTTGGGGGACAAAGAGGCGATGGGTCACCATGTCAAATCGACCTCCGATGAACTGTGAGGTGGTTAACTCGCTCTTGGGGAGATTGACAATCCACCCCAATTGCTCCAAGAGCCGAAGGGCGAAATCGAGTTGACGAGACAGCACATCCGTCATCCGATTCGCCACTAGCGAGTCGTCCAGGTATGCAAAGTACCTGACACCCCTCTTGTGGGGGTGGTTAACCGGGTGAACAGCCAGGGAGCGGACGATAGCCCGATGGAAGCTACCCACTCGTAATGCCTGCCTTGAAAGACAAACCTGAGATACTTGTGATGGTCCGGACGGATCGGAACATGCAGATAAAAATCCTTCAGGTCGATCGATGCGAGCCAGTTGGCAGGCATGATCAGAGCTTTCAGGTCTGCCAAGGTCAACATTCTGAACTTGGGCGGCTTGTGCAGGTAAAACTCGTTGAATGACTTCAGATTGTGAATCATTCTGAGTTCAGCACTGTCCTTCTTGGGAAGAGAAATATCCTGGGGTAAAAAGCCGGTTTTATTTCTGGTAGGGCTAACTCCCGTACCGCCCTCTTCTCCACCAACCTGCCGAATCGGCCAGGATGGTAAGATCAGTTTCCGAATAGAAACCTTCTAACGGGGCAACGGTGAGCGGCGGATCCGCTTTGAGATCTAGCCGATAGCCATTACAGATCGTGTTGACCACCAACAAGCTGTCGAACACTTGTTCCCAGTTCTCCCAGTAAGTCTGGAGTCTGGCTCCCACCGGGGAAGGAGAGGGGGGCCTGACAGGCTGCGGCAGGCGCAACTGTCCAGGGCCGAGTGACTCGGGTTCGCCTACGGGCCAACTGAAGTTGACACTGCCAGCATACGAACCCCTCCAGTGAGAGTCACCTGGAGGAGCCCTTGCCGTCCCTAGATGGCTTGGACGTCCCCCAGTTCCCCTGCTTCCGGCGAAAGGGCTGCTGATTGCCCTTACCGGAGCCCTCAGGGCGGGGCTTCTTCCCGGGAGAAGAAGGACCCGACCCCTTAGACTTGCCAGCCGCAGCATCCTTGGGGGCACTCCGCTTAGTGGCAGCACCCAGGCGTCTATGCAGCGACCCAACAAGACCGAGTATGTGCCGAGAGGCTTCGGCAGACGAAGAAGCCTGTTGTTCTTTCAGAACACCAGGGATCTTGTTAAAAAGGGTCCGCGCAGACCATGGCTGCAAAAGGAGCACTTCCTGGTTGGCAGCGTCCAACCCTGAGGCGGCAAGATACGCTTGGCGCCTCAGAAAATGGCACGTTCCGGAAAGAAAGGCCCGAAGCCCCAGCAACATACTCAAGGGAAGCATTTAAACCGAGCAAGCAGTTGTAAATGCGCTGGTCTCGGTCCGTGGGAGAACCTTCGACCAGACTGGCCGCTGCAGCCAAGTATGTGTCTCCATGAGACATGGCAAGCATGGAGCGCCGAGCGAGGGTGTCCAGCTGCTGCAAGGTAGCCTGCGTTACAGGAGCAGCCGGTGGGGCAGGGACATCCAACCGCTCAACATGGGCCTCCGCGGTAGGACCAGCCTCGGGAAAGGCAAGGTCATGAACCGGGAATGAACCCTTTCTCCATGACGGGGGAGGCAACGGGAGACCCCGACCGGAGGCCACCGCGAAGGCTTTCTCCAAGGAAGGCTTGATCCCGCGCAGCAAAGTTGATGCGGGGAAAGCCTTGTCGGAAGACTCCTCGAATACCTCGGCGGAACCCACAGAGCCGTGGATTCCCCGCGGTACCAGCAGGGGCCTAGGCATGTCCTCAAAGAGGGCATATACCATAGCCACACGGTCCTTAACCGATAGCGGGAGCAACAGTTCGGGGGACGGACTGGTGACCACGGAAGCCGCCGCCGTACCGGTGGACCCCGCGGCCACCGAAGAGGCCGGGGACGGAACAGCCAGTGGCCTATCCTGAGATCAGGCCGCCAGCTTGGAGTCCACAAGTCGAGAAAGTAACGCTGTGACGGAATCCCCGGACAGCCCAAGGGCCGCCAAGACATCCGCCACAGCCGTGGAGGTGGTACCCGCAAGAGGACCCCGACCGGACGAGCCGGCCACCACAGGGTTGGAAACAGACTTCACGTACAGCCTGTAGCGCTCAGAAAATAGGTGATATAAACCCCCAAGACATACTATAACAGGGGACCGTAAGACGCAACGGGCATACGAGACACCCCACAAGTATATAGAAAAAAGGGCGGGAAAAATTTTCCTTTTGGCAGGAATTTTTTTTCCCAAGTTTCCATAGTTACAGCAAACGCCCCGAAATACACAGTTTATATGAGTCAATAAACAGTAATAAATATCACCAAAGGTTGGAGAAACAGGAATGCTTCAGAGCAGTCAAGTGTACACGTCTTGCTGGAGCAAGCGATGAGACAAGAGTGAAGGGTGTCACATGGCAGCTGAGATGGCTACGCACGTGCTGCATGAGGTAATTGAGATCTCTGTGGTAGATTTCGCTATAAGAGCAGTTGTGGGAGACAACAGCCTCAGTATAAAAAGTGGTAACGTATTACTTAATGTAATATTTATCAATCTTGTCATTTTTGCCTGTTTTGATACATACATCCGTTTTTGGTTAAACTATTGTAGATAAACCATGTTTTACGTTGACGAATTTAATCATAAGCATTGACTGTGTATTTTGTTTGGTTCATTGAGTTATGAATTGAAAAACCGATATGCAAACTTTTATAAGAATCCTCTACGCGGATTCATACAGTTTGCACATCGGTTTTTCGATTATCAAAGTCAATCCTTAAATGGATCACTAAAATTCAAGGCCTAATGGACATCTTAAATTTTCCAGGATTTATTTTCAAAACCAACAAACAAACAAAAATTAAGTCTGTCATAACTTCTTTGGCACACAAATCTATCACTGTGATAAATCAGTCTTAAACATTCTTGGTACATATTTTTGTGTTTTTTTAACACTTTTGTCATGAAGTAGATGCCATTTTGTAAAAAATCAAGGCTTCTCCAGGTACTTTGGTGATTTTGAAGGCTTTTCAAGGCTGACACTAAAATTCAAGGCTTTTCAAGAGGGACCTTCAAAGTCAAGGCCTTTTCAAGCCATAGTTCAAGTCAGCCATCTTCAGGTTACAACCACAGTTACAACCACAGTTACAACACAGTTTTGAAGGCCAAATATAATATACCATATGAGAATGTTCATGTGAACTAAAGCTTCCTTGTTACAAAGATATGTACAATAAAATAACTGTACAGAGTTGTCTCGTGCATGGCTTTTGCATCTTATATTACACACAATAACAGTTCACTTCTTCTGGCTACTCACCTTTTCTCCACATTTTTCGCAGTAGTATGCATTGTCACCTTCCAGAAGCTCTCCTTTTACAAACTGATCCAGCGAGTCTTGTAATGTAGCATTTTTCACAGTCAAGTTTAGTGCAATGAAAGCTTCTTCTCTTTCATATCGATGTGGACAGTCTTTACAAATCTTCTGATCAGAAAATATGCCCTGGAACTTTTTCTTGAATATCTCATCTTTACCAGTTTTCTGGAAAAAAGAAAGAAGTAGATTTTACTGAATGTACAGTGCATAAGGACAAGTCAATTATAATGTTCACGTACATTTGCTTACAGAAAGATGCTCCGGCAAAGTCCAAATCAGTAAACCATCCTTGCTGGAGAGCATATTATACATGATTTGTGACAACAACAAGTCCTGACACTGAATCCTACAATTTCTCTTGTAGTTCTGAATGCTCTGAATGTAGAGTACTAACTTCCCGCTAAGAGGACAGTTCTGAATGCTCTGAATGTAGAGTGCTAACTTCCCACTGAGTGGACTGTTCTGAATGCTCTGAATGTAGAGTGCTAACTTCCTACTGAGTGGACAGTTCTGAATGCCCTGAATGTAGAGTTCTAACTTCCCACTGAGAGGACAGTTCTGAATGCCCTGAATGTAGAGTGCTCACTTCCCACTGAGAAGACAGTTCTGTATGCTCTGAATGTAGAGTGCTAACTTCCCACTGAGAGGACAGTTCTGTATGCTCTGAATGTAGAGTGCTAACCTCCTACTGAGAAAACAGTTCTGAATGCTCTGAATGTAGAGTGCTAACTTCCCACTGAGTGGACAGTTCTGAATGCTCTGAATGTAGAGTGCTAACTTCTCACTGAGAGGACAGTTCTGAATGCCCTGAATGTAGAGTTCTAACTTCCCACTGAGTGGACAGTTCTGAATGCCCTGAATGTAGAGTGCTAACTTCCCACTGAGAGGACAGTTCTGTATGCTCTGAATGTAGAGTGCTAACCTCCTACTGAGAAAACAGTTCTGAATGCTCTGAATGAAGAGTGCTAACTTCCCACTGAGTGGACAGTTCTGAATGCTCTGAATGTAGAGTGCTAACTTCCCACTGAGAGGACAGTTCTGAATGCCCTGAATGTAGAGTGCTAACTTTCCACTGAGAGGACAGTTCTGAATGCTCTGAATGTAGAGTGCTAACTTCCCACTGAGAGGACAGTTCTGAATGCCCTGAATGTAGAGTGCTAACTTCCCACTGAGTGGACTGTTCTGAATGCTCTGAATGTAGAGTGCTAACTTCCCACTGAGAAGACAGTTCCGAATGCTCTGAATGTAGAGTGCTAACTTCCCATAGAGTGGACAGTTCTGAATGCCCTGAATGTAGAGTGCTAACTTCCCACTGAGAAGACAGTTCTGTATGCTCTGAATGTAGAGTGCTAACTTCCCACTGAGTGGACTGTTCTGAATGCTCTGAATGTAGAGTGCTAACTTCCCACTGAGAAGACAGTTCCGAATGCTCTGAATGTAGAGTGCTAACTTCCCATAGAGTGGACAGTTCTGAATGCCCTGAATGTAGAGTGCTAACTTCCCACTGAGAAGACAGTTCTGTATGCTCTGAATGTAGAGTGCTAACTTCCCACTGAGAGGACAGTTCTGTATGCTCTGAATGTAGAGTTCTAACTTCCCACTGAGAAGACAGTTCCGAATGCTCTGAATGTAGAGTGCTAACTTCCCACTGAGAGGACAGTTCCGAATGCTCTGAATGTAGAGTGCTAACTTCCTACTGAGGAGATAGTTCTGAAAGCTCTGAATGTAAAATCAGACTTACATCTCATGGCAAAATCTGGTGCCTTCATCATAGGAACAATCAAGTGTGCAAAGTTTCAGCTTCACTGAACAAGTGATAAGCATATCCTGACAAGTTCCCCATTCCTGGTAAGACTGGAGGAAAGCTGGACTGTTCACGACAAAGGCAGAAGACAAACTTCCAAATTCACACGGAAAATAGCACCAAATTACCTACCAGGTTATCAAAATTAGCTGAATGTTATATGTGGTGTGGCCATATAATGTGAGATGTTTGAGGTGAGGGAAGGTTGAGGTTGACAGTTATAAAGGACAGATCAATAGACAAACAATGGACAATGGGCCATCCCAGCAGCTGAATGGATTTTTGGTACAGACGTGCCAAAAAACTTTTTGCTTTAAAGGAAACATTGGAAATATGTAGCTAACAGTCTCTTACTTTCATATGTTCATCAACCTGGTCAATAATGGCCTGGAAGAAATCAAAGGCATCCTGTTGTTCTCGTACATTGATAGTCTGACCCCAGAGTTTGAACACACTCCAGAACTTCTCAGGTTCATGATACTGCAGGCGGCTTTCCATCATGTGGCCAAATATCTGCTGCATCTGGTAGAAAACACTGAAACCAACACAAAGCTTAACATGATCACAATGATAACTATGTCTCTCCAATCAATTGAAAAACTGAAAAATGTTCACAGGGGATTAAAAAAGCATACATCAGCATGTTGTGAAATTTCCCCCGACATTAGTGTTTCTGCTGTAACGTCATGATAAGATCACACACCTTTCATCATCTGGATTCTCTTCGTCCACGCCTAGCACCGCTTCAGGCACCCCTGGAATCATGTACAGCTGCTGAAGCACTGAGTTCATGTAGCATGTGGCTCCTGCATTCTTCAGCCCCACATAGCCACACACTGCCCTCCCATCTACTGGTGGCATGTACTGCAAATAACATTAAATAAACACATTGCAATTGATTCCATGGCATCTGCTTGCATGGCATTTATTTTGGTAGATTAATATGCTGGAGTATTATGGCAAGAACATACCTCCCATTCGTTAGCACAATCCAGGTTAGGCTGATGGTGCATCTGTAACAGCTGTCTACACACATTCTTCAGATTGGAAGGGCTCTGATAGGCGAGCTCTGTCAGCAGTTCATAAGCAGCAACACGGGAATCAGAGCTGGAACATCTTCATAATACAGAAGAATCAGCATTTAATCAACTTGACATCTTTCTATCAATTAACAAACACTTCAACAATGTTCCTACCCAAATTTAGAACAGGACTGACAACAGATGCTCTATAAGTTCATAATAAACCAGTACAAATGCCAGTCATGGGTGACAAATAATAAAGATAATTATGCACTTTATTATTTTAGCGTCTTCCAATTTTGACCTTGTAATTAAGTCAACAGGGTTATTCAAAATAATCACATAATAGCTATCATTGTTACCTTCAAACATCAACCTAGACGCAGTAACTGAGGAGGTGGGTGGAATTACTCCTGATGTAATAGAGGTAGTATTCTCAGAATTATTCACAATGATAACTTTTATATAATTCCACAAAAATCGTACCTATTACATCACTGCCAGATAAAAAAAGTTTCAGATACAATTTTTCCCGATCCTTGCACCAAAATCCTTCAAAGTTATATCATTGGGTAAGTTTTAACCGAATCACCGGTAGATTCCAAGAAAACGTGCGTACAGCTGATTGCTGTTTCCAGCTGAGTTTATGAGAAAATACACAAGGTAATCTTAATACCTGGATGTAAAACAACGCCTTGCAGAACAAAAATATAATTTAAACAGTAAATCATCATGTCTGGTGGGGGGCACGGGTGGCCCAGTCGTCTAAGGCGCCGCAATTCGCTGTGCAGAGTTGCGTCCCTTGGGCACGCCAGAAACCTATGATTGTGGGTTCGAATCCCGGTTCGCCCCGATTATGTTTCTAGGTTTGTCAGCACCATACCCGTGCTCGTGGGTTTCAGCGAAGTGGTAAACGTCTGAGACCTGAATCACTTCGGGCTTTCCTCCCACATTAAGCTGACACGCCGTGATATAACTGTAATAGTGTTAAAAGCGGCGTTAAACCCAACTCACTCACTCACTCATGTCTGGTGATTTTTTATCTCAAATTTCAAATTTGTCCTGACCAAGTTTCTTCAATTACAAGAATTTGCTGAAGGGGTACAGTGTAATTTGTTTCTGTGCATAATATTCTAAACTTCTTTTTTTTCAAAAAAACTGAATCCACAAGAGGGGTTGGGCATTAAACTTGGGTGCACACTATACTCAAGAAAATATGGTAATGTCTTTGTGTTGGGGGAAAAAAATATCAAAACTCATTATGGCTTGTATAATGCACACCCCCTTCTACACAGTGTCTTTTGGGGGAAAAGTGTGCACTGTACTCAAGAAAATACAGGATCAATGGAATGTTTAGTGAGCAGTTACAGCAGTGCACCAAAACAGAAAACAAGGTCATACTCCTCAGTCGCCTAGTCACAGTACCTATGCCAGTTCCAACAAGCAAACATACATGTTGGACACAGTGATAGATTTCCCAAAAAAAACAATATACAGTTGACTAAACCACTGCATTGAGAACCCATGCCGAGTCATGAAGTTCAGCCTGAGGAGCAAGACAACTAGGAAGGACAACACAATGAATCCCTGGGATACAAAGAGTTGTGGATTTTCTTTGTGAGCATCTGTAAATGTGTGTTCTGAGAGCCAGGCAAGGTAGGGTAAGAAATACCATCATTAATACCTTTTGATATGATATGGACAGGGATTGACCCATCAACCTTCTGTCCTTCGAGCAGAGGGTGTTTGAGGAAAGACTGCTGGAGGCATCACCTTAGCCAGTCTTCAGGACTAGGTGGTGTTAATAAGGGCAGACAATACTAACAAGGATACAAGTGATTGGGCCAGACAGTAAATTGGGGTTCAAACCTTCTGTGAACAGTACTTTAGTTATCATGAGTGGAAATCCTAACGTTACTCAGTTCTGCTACATATATGTTGCTGACAAAGGACAGAACAATCAGCAGATCCTTGTATCTTGGGGCTGCAGCTCTGCATAGCTCACTGTAGCACTGCAGACAACTGGGTGCCCTTGTTACACAGTGGGGATTGTAAAACATAAGAATAGAAGAGAATAAGAAAAGTTACGATATTTGTTTCCATGTACACAACAAAGGAAATGACCTGGGGTGTCAACATTGTATCACACGGGGAAATACTGACAATAAGAAATAACCTGTGAAGTGACAAGAAATAGGTGAAAATAAAACACTGAACAACAAAACAATGTAGTCCTTATGAAGCCTGCACAAACTCAAGTACATATTCACATTTATAAATATGTTCTCTGATTTTTAATGGCAATATTATTCTCAGAAAAAATTAGTAAAGTCTAAATATTGTTTACATTTGTATCCTTATCCTGCATTACTCCTTAATCCATTTACTGCTGTTGTTTGACAGAAAGACAAAGCTGTGAGAGTTGTTCCAACCAGTGGTCCAGCAATACCCTCACACAGCTGCCACGTGACCCAGAAGTGGTGACGTCACATAAGAGCACATTACTGCTTAGAACGTAACATCTGAAGACTTCGTGGGGAGGGAGCACTGTGATTGGAGGGCATTTAGACAAAGTAATGCAGGATAAGTATACAAATGTAAAAGATATTTAGATTTTATTCAATGTTTTAACTTATCCTGCATTACTCCTTAATGCAACTTTATCAGACGGTATGGAGGGGGGCATACCTTCTGATGTGATCCTCAAGAGACCCTCGCCAAATGTCTAAGTAACCATCAAAGCATCCTTTGCGGTCACCAGAACCATGTGACCATTCTTGTCAGAAAGAAACAAGAGTGTGAGGTATGCAGGATGTCCAGGTAACAGTACAGAAATTGAAAAAAGTGTGAGCTAAGGTCTAGAACTGAACTACCGAGCTAATGCTACTCGCAGGTAAACCTTCTAGTCTGGGGTGACAAGCACCAGGGAGGTTGAAAGGTCAGCTCTGGGCATCAGGAAGAGTAAATGGTGCTTGGGGTTGGTGACTTGCTGGCCGGTTGTGGCTCATGAGGACTGTGACAGAACGCCAGATGCAACCTTCCATGATGGATCGGACGGAGCAGTGGACGTTATATATAGTAGATAAGGCTGAATATATAATTCTTTGGGCTGAAAGATCATACTGTATGAAGTAAGGTGATCATTTCCATCCCCTTGGCATCTTATAAGAGCTCCCGTTCTTATATCGAGGTGAAGCTGAAGGGCAGTGTCTCGTTACTCCACATGTAGGCATCGGAGGTCTACTAAGTTGATGTAAGTGACAGGTTATCGAGGGGTTGCAGCATTAAGTACAATTAAGCATGCAAACCAATCTGTACAAAATACACTGCACGCCTAGCATTAGGTCAGTTGACCTGATTCCGGTTGGAGATGATTACCAGCAGAGTGTTCTTGACAGATGACATTACCCGAGAATCCCGCTTTTAGTCTGAGATGAGGTTCAAGCTCCCCTGAGAACTGTGTGGTAGACAGACAAGTGGTGTTTCAGAGTTCTGTGAAGAACATGCGACATGGCTGGGGTAGGTGCAAAATGATCAATATGATATCTGTGACGCCTTGTATTGTCCTCAACAATGATCCCCAGAGGTGGGTACCGGTAGCCTATGACAAATCTGTCACATGCCTGATCGATTTTGAATGATGAAAACCTACAAGTTCTGGTACATGATGTCTACCAGAAGCCATGTGAACCAAGGTCAAATAGAGTACTTTCACCCTCTCCGTGGAATATTTTCACCCAAAGTTGATCGTACACCAATGAGACCAGAAAAAAGGGCTTGGACCTCCCAAAAGTATGTCTGAGATCTGGATGGTTGTTGGTTCAGATGACTCCGTCATTCGGTGGAGATCCTCATCCCAGATGTGTCCTGTCCGCCACCTCCAAAGCATGGATGGGAAAAGTGTTCTTCTTAAACCGAGGAATAAACCGGCGATAAAGATAATATTGTAAAATCTTCGTCCAATGCTGAGACCAGATCCTTCAGCATCGGATCCAGCAGAATGTAGGTGGGATTGGACCAAACAGTGTATCTTTATCCACACAAGGGCCGGGAGATGGAGTAACGGCAGCCTAACATGACTGACTCATGAGCCAATCAGTCTTTGTTTCAGTCCTTCAATGCTGAGTGCCAGACAGGGTAACAAGAAGTACCATCTGTTAACATCTTGGTATGATGCAGCCGGTGATAAAACCCCGGACCTTCCGCTCTCTGGGCAGATGCTTTACCACTAGACCACAGAATAGGGCTCTTCATCCAGACTTGTTTAGGGCTTAGGTCAGTGTCCTTCTCAGGGAAAGAATCATCGTACTTTGGCACAAAAGAGCCTTCAGATGAAAGCAAGTGGAATCCGTATATCTGCACACATTATGAGGGGTGGTACAGGTTAACGCATGTATATATATTAGGAGTCGAATGCCCAGGGGGCATCATGGTTGCCATACACAGGATCCCTGGGAGGTGCTGAGGTGCTGAGGTGCTGTTGTCGCAGGTGGCTGGTGCTGCTGTTGTCGCCATGGTCATTGGTTGAATGAGAAAATTTCACGCAAGAAAGTGCAAAAAAAAACACTTAAATGCCCACAAAGAATATAGGCTATATACATGCAACAATTACCAAGCAATAAACAAGAATTCAAGACACAGGCCACGAGAACATGACCATGTGGAGAATTCAAAATGGCTAATTGTAACAACAGGATATTACAAAGACTAAGAGCCACTATCGAGCGCCAAAATTAACGCAACTAAAAGGTGAGACATGAAGTCACAAACATAAGCAATACACAATCACAAGTATAAAGTAGAGATAGAAATAACAAGCAAAGGATGCTATTCGATTCGGGAAGCTTTATTCTCAAACATATCTAGTCCGTTTGAGTGAGAAGCAGTAATGTGCTCATACACAGACGTCTCCACTTCCTTGGTCACGTGGCAGCTGTGTGAGGTTATTTGCCACACAACTAGTTGGAACAACTTCTTTCGCAGCTTGACCTCTCAACAGAAATTAATGCATTAAGGAGTTGTGCAAAATTAGTTTAAAAATTGTGTGTTTGTTTCAATGTCCTCTAAGTAATCATCAAATGTTTTCAAGTGCACAGAATCATTGTTGTTTTTAGATTTTCAACAACATCATAATACATATTGTTATATGGCAGTGTATTTTATTGTTGAACAATGATTGTAATTGTGTTACATTGTTTCTGTTGAGATTTGGTAGATGTTCACTGCATTGTATTTGGACAATGATTAGTCGCTTGAGTGCTGTGGTTACTTCCGGAAACAGCAAGACTCGACCAGCATTGTATTGAGCCTTACAGCACTGTGTAGAAAGTTCTGGAAGCAAGTTACACAGTTTTTGGGGGACAAGAGCATGCCTCTCGCATCTCTCATGATTTCATTACATCTGGACCAGCTTTCGTGTGAGGATCACTCATCATCCCTGATTCCCTTCCTAGGCCCGTCTCGGAAGCATGACCGCTGTCGTCGATGGGTGAATATATATTATTATCACTGACTTTTTCTATCGCCACTGTATTTTTGTATTTAATACTGACCACTGCCATTATATTATATACTGTCACTGAATATTGTACCACCATACAATTGTGTAATGCCATTGTAATTGCTGTTCAGTAATTTGTATTGATCTGTAAACCTACTTCATTTTGTGATACATTTGTTGATTATATACCACTTGTTGGTTGTTTGTTGGTCTCACATGAAGTTCTTTTACATACAGATTTCTAGGTTAAGATATTGTTTCAATTTTGGAATCGACACATAACAGTATAAAAGCTAATTTCCAAAGAAACTTTTAAAAACATTGTGTTTGTAGCCACACAAGAGGTATTGCAAGTGATATGTTGGAACTTACTTTGGGTTGAATTCTGCCAGAGACATCTCTGTGTTGGACTGGTTTAGACTGTCCATCATGAGCTTAGACGCAGGGAAGAGGAAGTCATGAAGGAGTTCTCCCACAAGTGTGTTTCCTGGAACACAGCAATCGCCATGAAACCACTTCCTTTCAGTCTGGTAAACATGGACCGCCACAATTCTAACTTCTGCTTTTCATCTCAGTACCTTGTAACCTATTTCCATAAGTCTCAATAGCTTTATATTTTTATGTTATAATGCTGGCAGCAATAATGTAAGTTTTTTACACAACTACTGGAGCAAGGCTTGTACTGAAGGGAAAAAAACAGTTTCAAATACACTTGAAAAGTTTATGCAAAGACATACAAAAGAAGCAGCCACTTCACAGACATTTTACCAAGGCCCCAGAAATCATTCTTTCTAACCTCTAGTGTAAGACCATTACCTTCAGTTTGGGGGAATACATGCCTACCACAACCTGCTACCAGAGGAAAGTACTTTGCCTCCAGCTCACATACTGAGAAACCTAAAGGCATTTCTGATCAGATGCTACTACTTGTAGTCTGAGATAACTCATCACCTACACTCTGAAAGAATGCCGCTCAATAGTTATATGATTTTAGTGAGCTCCTGGAATATATATTCCGATGGTGTTCAATATTATGCCTGTCATGCTATGAATGTAAACAGAAGTTCTATGGACTTTCTTATTAAGATTGTGTTTTCATGATAACAATAACTGCAGGTACTTGCAAAATCCACCAACCCATGACCATCAAGCAAGCTCACCATTACTCCAGTTCAATATTGGTTTCTTCAAGCAATGCATTTTATTGGTATTGGTATGAAAAGCTCTCAAATTATAAATTCACCTATATCCTTCTTCTGCACTCCCTCACAGGTGAGTAGTGTCTTGATCAGCTTCAGGTGTCCCCCCAGTAGTGTATTGTCTGTCTGGTTCAGTTCAGGATTTTTGGACGGAACAAAATTACTCAGCCATGCAATTTCATCCTCAAGCATAGATCCAACATCCACATGGAGACGATTTTGATCACTCACTAGAAGAGGAGAAAACAGTTCAATCAGTACCCTGCCAACATCTCCCTATCTCATTTCCCTGCTGATATCCCAAACTAGCACATGTAAGCCCCATCTCATTGCCCTGCTGATATCCCAAACTAGAATATGTAAGCCCCATCTCATTGCCCTGCTGATATCCCAAACTAGAATATGTAAGCCCCATCTCATTGCCCTGCTGATATCCCAAACTAAAATATGTAAGCCCCATCTCATTGCCCTGCTGATATCCCAAACTAGCACATGTAAGCCCCATCTCATTGCCCTGCTGATATCTCAAACTAGAATATGTAAGCCCCATCTCATTGCCCTGCTGATATCTCAAACTAGAATATGTAAGCCCCATCTCATTGCCCTGCTGATATCCCAAACTAGCACATGTAAGCCCCATCTCATTGCCCTGCTGATATCCCAAACTAGAATATGTAAGCCCCATCTCATTGCCCTGCTGATATCCCAAACTAGAATATGTAAGCCCCATCTCATTGCCCTGCTGATATCCCAAACTAGCACATGTAAGCCCCATCTCATTGCCCTGCTGATATCTCAAACTAGAATATGTAAGCCCCATCTCATTGCCCTGCTGATATCTCAAACTAGAATATGTAAGCCCCATCTCATTGCCCTGCTGATATAACAAACTAGAATATTTAAGCCCCATCTCATTGCCCTGCTGATATCCCAAACTAGCACATGTAAGCCCCATGTCATTGCCCTGCTGATATCTCAAACTAGAATATGTAAGCCCCATCTCATTGCCCTTCTGATATCCCAAACTAGAATATGTAAGCCCCATCTCATTGCCCTGCTGATATCCCAAACTAGCACATGTAAGCCCCATCTCATTGCCCTGCTGATATCCCAAACTAGAATATGTAAGCCCCATCTCATTGCCCTGCTGATATCCCAAACTAGAATATGTAAGCCCCATCTCATTGCCCTGCTGATATCCCAAAGTAGCACATGAAAGCCCCATCTCACTGGTTTGTTTGGCTGACTCACCAGAAAGACCCTCCAGCAGTCGACACCTGAGATCAAAGTACTGTGAGCACTGGTTCAATAATCTGAAAGAGAGTAATAGAGCCATCCATCTGGAATTATAGTGGATATTGTTTTACACATAAGAGATCAGTACTTCAAAACATCCAATATTGTAGTAGTGTGATTCTCAACTAGAAAAGTGTTTACATTACATGAGCAGAAAAACAGAAGCAGCCTGAGACTTTAAAAATATCTGCTAAAAAAGACATGACTGACCAATGTAAATACTATTTCCCAGAGATACAAAGGAGGTCTATGATGCAAAAAACTAACAACATAAAAAAACAAAAACAGCATGTGTATAAAACTGTCCTACTTCTGACTGGATCCCCTGGTATTGGAGGAGGTCACCCAGAAGGGGAGGTAAGCTCGCAAGAGAAGCTGCAGCATGAACTGATGTGGGGGCTGGAGGGTGGAGTCTGGTGGCAGAGGCATCTCCACCTGACTGGTGAGGTAGAACTGTTCCAGTGCTGCATTACGGATATCATTCTGCGAACATCCTACTAGGAGGTCAATGACAAAGTCACTGACACATGAAAGGGAATAGAAAGAGGCTGAAAAACAAATTGAACAATATAATAACATGTGCTCCAAGTTTCAAATCTGTGAAGAGACCACTATACAAAAAAGGCTTGACAGTAATAAGATACCATGCCACAGACTAACAAGGATACCTCATTCAGGCACATTTTACTGACCAATCCTGGTTATATCCCCTTATCAACAGCCATCTTCTAACAAGTTACTGTAAATCATTATATATGTGCAAAAAACATGAGTGTCTCTTGCTCACATTAATAAAGTGATGCATTTTTATTGGGACATATTGGACATGGGTGGAAACAATGACATATATAACTAAGTTCCCAATAAGCAACATAACTAAGCGCTAGATTTAGACAGTGCTGGTCAGTTTGTTTACACAATCTGATCAAGCTGTTATGACAGTCGCCAACCGTGTATGACAGCGTCTTTGTTCATGGTAACTGGGTCAAATAATCTTACAAACTGCTGAAAATGTCCAGTACCAGCAGCTGAGGTGAATACATAAAACAGTCATTAATGTTCAAAGGATTGCACTAACTTCAGTAACAACACTTGGAAGATCTATCTCTTATTTGAAGATGCCATATTGTGAACTTCGCGCTTTTGATTTCTTTTTCAATCACCAGTCAAGCAGTTGAAGTTAATTTTTTGAAGACATCAAATAATATTATCGAATCGAACTGCTATCACCCGTACTATATCATGGAATTGCAAGTCTACAGTCTTGGTGTCATCATTTGCTGATTAGTTATCGAAGTTCAAAAGTAGGGCTACTTACATTAATTTCATGACGCACAAGGCCACGCGTAGTCACTTGTATGAATTTGGAGACGCATTAATTTCATGACTTACGGTATACTATGGCAGTGACAGGTGGTGATCATGTCACAAAAACTGTACCCAAGAATATGGTCATCAGCTCAAATCTCGGATCTGATTTGGATATAATATTTCAACATGAGATCAACATGAGATCAACATGATCCAAACCAGATGAAACTGAACCTGTCTCAGTGTGTGAATGCATTCTTCCATGGACTCCATGTTGTCTGTACTAACTCTATATCACCCACCTGTAAATTCAGGCCGTTTCTGAAGACATGTAACCAGAATCTCCAGAGCTTCTTTGGCAATGTTTGTATCTTTGGTTGGTATGTTGATGTGGTGAGAACACACGCCAGCATGTAGACTCTGACAGTCACTGTCACTGTTTGTACTGGCAGAACTACCTGAAATATACATACACACGAGCATTGTCACTGATTTGAAATTTTAGTTTTGATATACCGGTATCAACTCAAAAGAGTCACGATATATTGCAATATAGCAATTATAATAAAATTTGTTATTCATTATATGACATTTTCCATGTAGACCTGCAATAAATTAAATTAATACTAAATATGACTAGGGCTGATCCTTGAAATGCTTAACTTAATTTCTGCCTTTTCATTGTCCATCTTAACCATGGTTATCTTTTTGAATGTAAACATTTCAGTGGCCATGAAGTTCATGAACTGTTAATTAAGGATTGCTATAATAAATATGTGTCTGTATATCACAATAACATCCCTCATATACATATGTTCTTGGAGCATCCTAAGTTAGAGCCTACCATTAGAATGTAACACCATACGGTTTACTACCCACAGGTCACAATACCCTTGCAAAATTTTGATTTTGTGGCAAGGTACACAAGCAAAATAATGCCTTGTTACATCAGTCTAGCAACAGAGTTCCTGGGGTCATCGAGGGTGCATAAGCTCTTCTCAATGATCTTTCATCTCAACATGCTATGTCAATGCATAAGACCTGTAACCAGAGACCATATAATAGAGGGACGGCCCTCTAGCCTATGCGCGAAGTCATCAGTGCTACGGCTTGTACTGCGCAGCCTGTCCGGAAGCGAGCAGAAACGCGTTCACTGCAGTCATCGTTGTTGCGTTTTTTTCCCATGCAAAAGATATATTTCACAATACATAATTACACTCATGTATTTCTTAACATTGTTAACATTACAACTGAGATTTGTTGGTGCCCTAAAGCATGTCGTTGTCACTGTATTTGATGACTGTGATCACGCTTTGTCTTTGTCCGAGAGAACAAAATGGCGCACATGTAAAATCGGCAAAAGTGCAGATTTTGATTTTCAATAACGGCCTCTAATTCGCAATGAAAGTCCTTGGTTACCTAGGTGTATAAAAAGGAGATATGTTAAAACATGGCTTAGTGCCATTAACAAATTTAGGGCGGATGCGAAATTTCAGATTTTGACTCCAGAAATGGGACTAAATCTGAATTTTCCCGAAATAATTACACCACAATTCTTAATTTTCGCATGCTTTCAGACGAATGTGTTCCTATTATCGGTCCTGAATTTAATGGTTTTACATTCATCACGATTTCCCCTTTGGCTTGGTACCAACGTTATTTAGGTACGATCGGTAGTTTTTTTGGTATGATTTTTTGGCGCAAAGCCATATTTTATGTCACATATTTTAAGTTAAATTACCATATAGCAGACGACATAAGATGCATTTTGTCTGTGATTATCATCCGCATATATCCTTTGAAACATTCTACAAAGTGACTTATATTGTATGATATTAGAATTGTTTTTGTAAAATGCGTATTTCTTTTACCATTGCTTTCGCCATTTCTTCGTAAGTTTAACTTTGTTTCAATTAGGCTTCTGTCACATATCGCGCATATTCTACATACTACAATACTGCATATTTGTTATCTTCTGTAGATTTTGTCTGTATAAATCATGACTACATTAAATCAATTATTTATTTTATGCCGTGTAAATATTGATTATGAGCAAAATGATATTGGCCTAAACCCAATCATAATAATATAAATATGATGAAGGTACTACTTACTTTGTGTATTTACACAACAATGAAAACATCATACAAAAATAAAAATCCGTTACATGAAATATTTGTATAATAAAATTATCATTTTTGTAAATGCCAAGAAAGAAGAAGGATTATATCGGCAGTCGTCGTGAGAGAAGTTCCAGACAACAAGGTCGAAGGGGTCATTCAGTAAAATATATAGATGGTCTATTGTCCTTTTCTGTGAAAAATACATTTACATATGTCAGAGTTTGTGATGTTTTGTTTTGTTTTAATAGTAATAGTTGCATGCTTCGTTCCTGGTTAGAGTTTAAAGTTTGTTTTTCATTGATCAGATATAGAAAACTATGATGAAAGAATTTTGAAAACAACAAACGTTACTACAGTTTACGATATACTAGTACATATCTGGTACCATACTCGTTGAAGCTATATTGTTATACCTGAAATACCTAATTATTTGTATGCTGAAATATCAATCTAATCGGGTAATATCGAATAACGATTGTAAAATTACAATCGTCCTCTTTGCTTTGGAATTTAACAGTAGCCTCCCTTTGAAAAAAAACTTACCTCGCTCCGGCAAACCCCATTATCACTGCTAGCCCCAAACTGGCATTAACCAATAACATTTGATTCTTTCGAAGCCCATTGTCGGACACATCGAAAATTCATTTAACAACGCTCGTAGTTTAATGTGTATTTCTAATTCATTGGAACTATTAGCATTATAAAATAGTAGCGAATTTACATGAAATAAAAACATTAATATGGCGTCATTTTTTTTCTGGCTAACAGTAAAGCATTTACACCAGACGGTGATCATGCATTTTTGCAAGTAAATCTAGTCTGGACTTATTATAAGATATGAAGTTAATCTGGAGATATATTTTGTGAAAATCGGGAATATGGTGATATGTTAAAGTGTCTTCCCTGCTTCTGGATGAGTTTTATTTACACTTCCTGAGTTCCTGTGCACTTTACCGGATCGTAGTTTTCTGTGGCGTTCGTAGTAGATTTGGTATATTTGTTTATTTATAATAGTTAACAATTGCAGCATAAAATGAGATATTTTAACTGATTTTTAAAACAAATAGAATACGTTATAAAATACTTTTGATATCGGAACGGCTTTTTCTTCACACGCCCTCGAAAACTTACGCTTGTGGACAGACGTCATATTTTCATTTCCTATCTTTTTCTTTGAGTGAAACTTTTTGGGAGGTATTACCAACGGCTTGGTAGCGGTAACATCACTGTCATTCTATTTAGACCAAGAGTCATCTGAAACCAACCCCTGGTCGAAGAGAGGGAATTCTTCAAGTGGCATATCTAGGTCCAAAACGAAATCGTCCAAGTGAATGAAGTCGTCCATGGCTGTGGCGAATGTAAATTGAAATAAATGTCCCGGAAGACACACATGTTCAGCAAATAATTTGCAGCCAACTGACATGTTCTAATGAGAGATATCATAAAAAAATCTTTGTAATCCGCTAATAGACGCCCTTTTATTGGATTGTCGCTGGTCGTAGTCGGAGAAATCTCGGCTAAGGGAATTAACTCTTACCCCGGATATTATGTAATATTGTTTACGTGGTTACCAGAATGGTCAGTCGTGAATGTCTGCGCATCTATTGCGCATCTGCAGCGGTACAGAGAGGTTAACAGCAGGGTGTCGGGGTGTATCAGTTACATGCCAGACCGTAGCGCTGATGGTTTATGATAAACTGTTGGGGAGGGCCGTCCCTCTATTATATGGTCTCTGCTGTAACGTTGAGAGTTCTTAAATGGTTTACTGCAGCTGCAAATTTTTTAACAAGCACCAGTTTATGAAAGCTTTATTATTTTCAACATATTGTTGTTTCTTGATCATGGGGAAAAAGGATTCATAAATGCTATCTGATTTACATGTATTGATTTATTTTATCAATTCCGTAATTATTATAGAAACCTGAGTATTTCACATATTTTATACTTGTCCTGCTGTAACAGTATGCAGTTTGCTTCTTTTATCTTCAATACTCTTAACATGGAGTGAAAAAACATTTCAGATGGTGACCAGACGGAGTTACTTGCCCTTGATATCCCTCTTGTTTCATATTCCATAACTCCCTGCTGCAGCAGGGTTAGTATGTAACATTATAAATGTAATTATCCCACAGCATGTCAGACGGACCTGGAGTCAGTCGCATCATCCTCTCTGAGTAACTGTTGCCAGATTCATTGAACTGATCTAGACTTATTTCAGTCTTTGCCAAGAGGTGTATTCACAAGCTGGTCCCATACCATCAACTCATGAAGTCTGGTCAATGAAAAAGCTCAGCTGATTGTATCACATCCATGTGCTGATATTTTGAGATTTGAAGCCTCCCGTAGTAAACAGAACAATAATGTGTAACTCCTGCCTGAGGCTACAGTCAGAAACCTAACAGGAAACTACGAGGGAACCTCCTGGTACCTTACCCCTAGTGTCAGAGGCTAAAGAACGTAATTGTATACTCACACGCAAAAGAAACGCAAGTGGTTTTAAGCAAATAGGTAACAAACACAGAACCATAAATTGATACGAGTTTTAGCATGTAGTGAAGCCTGATGGTGTTATCAGTAAAAACGCAACATAAAAAACGAATCGCAAAACCCACCATTTCAATGAATATGTGGGTATCATGCACCCATTTCTCGCGAATTTGAAAATGCACGAACTGTCACGAACTGTAGTGGGTATAAAACTGTGGCCGATTCTTGGACCTACCTCGGTCAACAATGCCACGCCTATCTCAAATTCAGAGAAAACAGGCTATCGGACGTTTGGAAGCTGGAGAGTCTGTCCAAGATGCTGCCCATCATTTCAACGTTAACATAACCACAATTTACCATCTCCTGCATCGATACAATGCTACACAGACCACAGATGACCTTCCTCGGAGCGGTCATCCTAGGGTCACCACACCTTGACAAGATCGGCAGATTACCTGTCAACACCAGCGACATCTGTTCCTAACTGCAAGTGAAAGTGCTTGACAGACCATAGGAACACATAATCGACACATTAGCCAGGACACTGTGATCCGACGTCCTTGTTCCAACAACCTCAGATGTCACCGACCAGCACGTCGTCCTGTTCTCCAACCACGGCATCGACAAGCATGACTTCAGTGGGCACAGGGTCATCACAATTGGCGTCATCGTGAGTGGAGGCGTGTCATCTTCTCTGATGAAAGTCGCTTTTGTGTCTCGGAAGATGGAAGAGTCAGAATTTGGCGGCGTCAAGGTGATCGTTTCGCTGACAGAAACGTTGTGGAAAGGGATCCATGGGGTGGACCTAGCGTCATGATATGGGCAGGGATTGGACTTAATGCGAGACTTGGACCCATGTGCTTTCTGAATGTTGGTCAAGGTCGGGGACATGGCGTCACTGCTCCGCAGTATATCGACCAAGCAATCAGACCCCGCGTTGTTCCATTTTTTGCACAACATCAACAACACATTTTCCAGCAGGACAACGCTCGTCCCCATGTTGCCAGAGCTACCATGGCCTTTCTGCAACATCACAACATCCGTGTTCTACCGTGGCCAGCCCTCAGCCCTGATCTGAACCTTGTGGGATGAGGTTCAAAGGCGTCTGCACAATGTGCGCCCAGTCCCCACAACTGCTGATGAACTACGCACAGCTGTTCTGGATGTGTGCAGGAGGATCCCTAGGGCCTTCACAAATCGTCTGATCCACTCAATGTACAGAAGATGTGTGGCAGTGATCAATGCTAATGGTGGTCACACCAGGTATTGACTGACATTTTGGGTATTGCCCCGGAACTGTGTAAGCCCTTAACATTTGAAAAAAACAATTACCTTATTTTCTTGAGTATAGTGCGCACTTTTTTTCGAAAAAACAGCTGTGTAGAAGGGGGTGCGCATTATACACGAATTATGAGTTTGGATGTTTTTTTCCCCCATGGAAAGACATTACCGTGAGCACGAAACACCGGAAATACCATGTCAACAAATCCATATTGAAGTACGCAAAATAATTATGTAATTATACTGTCTGGCTATAAAAAGTGTTCTTTGTATATCTGGACTTATGTTTGTAACTTACTTCATTAATTTTATTCAAAATTCCTTATAATATTGTTATTATTAATTTCGGCGAAATCGTGTGTGAAGTGATCGGAAGATCGCACAACTCACTGTTATTAACAGCAACCACGGTCAGAATACCGCTATTGACGCCTTGAAACAAACTTTAGTTGACAGAGAATGGATACATATATCATAAATGACATACTTTGACTCGTTAAAAGTCATATTTGTTTTTGTTTGACGATTCTATGTCAACATGAAATTCTCGCGATCACGTGATCACGTGCGCGTGAGCCTTAACGGTGACTGGTCAGACATGTTCCATGTAAAAAATAATACCTGGGAATAGCGATCAGCTGCTTCACTTAGGGTTATTATTATTTTAAATATGTTTAGTAAAGGCTGCATATAATTAAGAAAATAACGGAATATATTATTCCTGATAAATAAAATAGTTTCAGATACAATTGTTGCCGATCCTTGCATTAAAAATCCTATAAAGTTATATCATTGGGTGTGTCTTGACCGAATTACCGGTTGATTCCAAGAAAACGTGTGTACAGCTGATTGCTGTTTCCAGCTTAGTTTACGAGAAAATATAAAACAATGCCTAGCAGAACAATAAATACTATTTAAACGGTAAATAAACATGTATTCGAATTTGTACTGACGAAGTTTCTCAGCACCCGTTCGTTTGCCGGACTTCGCTGAAAGGGTACGGTGTAATTTTTTTCTGCGCATAATATTCAAATTTCTTTTTTTTTTAAATATTGAACCCGCTAGAGGGGGGTGCGCATTATACATGGGAGTGCACTATACTCAAGAAAATACGGTATGTCATCTGCCTTTTAATCCATTAAACTGTCTTCAGTCAAATTTTTGTCAATCTTGCCCTATTAGTATTTCTTGTCTTTACTGTTGAAAATAAATATCATGTATACTGCATACTCGACTTGCGTTTCTTTTGCGTGTGAGTATATATATAGTACACTGTTGGTCAAGGCTGATCTGACATTGACATAGGATCCACTACCACCAGCCAACTTCTGGATAGGCATGAAGCAGGATTTATGTCATTTCCTGAGGTTGGAAATTAATAAAGACGAATGACATACTCCACTGTTAAATCTCACATGTAATACTTGGATGAAGGTGGAATCTGTCTGTTGAAACCAATCTCACAGCAATAAGTGTAGAGGCGAGTTTGTGAGGACAAGGTGATGGCAATCCAACATGCTGAAAAGCCTCCAATATTGTCCCCCACAACCATAAGGAAAGAGTATTACCTGTCATACCAGTACAGGAAATACTAGTGACAGTTCATCACGCTGTTGGCATAAAGGCCATGTCATCTGCAGATATTGTTTAACTACCCAGACTGGACACAAGGAAATATCCCAAAATGAAGGATAAGGGAGAGAAGGTAAAAGTATTAGAAGCATGACCATTCATGATTCCAAGGGATGAAATCCCACCTCAGGTCTAGGTGTACTTCATCTGCATTGCCTCTGTCATGGGTGCCTTGAGTGACATCAAAAGTCTGGATTTCAACAATCCTTGCTGCCTTTGCTGGAGCTATCAGAAAGTCAGTTTTCAGTTTGGAGTTAAAAATCAATGACTTCAGGTGCCTATAAGGTCAAGTGTCATCAAACACTGAGATCCCTCCATGGGTCTCGTTCCACAAAGCGATCGTAGCGCTAAGATGATTGTAACTGCCATACTTTAACATAGACTTTCGACAGTCGTAGCTCAGCGATCGCTTTGTGGAATGGGGCCCAGGCCAGTGGTCAAAATCTGTTGTTTCATTGACCCTCTTGTTGGAAACCTTTAATGATAGCCGAAATCTCTGGTGCCTTGCTCATCATGTAAGGCCTTGAAGCAGCTGGAAGTGTTGACTGCTTGTACATTGTGTCATATGTGAGCAATCTTAATCGCAGTAGAAACTGTTGCAAATACATTTGTAGTAATTATCTGCGGATAGCACAAGAATGGGTGATTTTTTTACATAAGTTTAGATGATTATCTTTTGAGTTGCAAGTTTTGAATGCATCATCCAACAATTTCAGCAGTCTGAGTATCATAAATACCACCCTTTCCTCATGCTCTTTCAGGTCGAAAGTACAAGTACTCATTTTCTTTTGGAACCATATGCATGAAGCATGGGATCTTATGTAAAAACAGCAGCTACCTGGAGGAGACATCTTGTGGGGGCGACTAAACCAGAGTCCTTGTCTTCCAATAACTGAGTGAGTGAGTTGGATTTCAGGCCGCTTGGAACAGTATTTCAGTTATTTCCTGATTCCAAATGTGAATACACATTAGCAGTTGAAGGTGTAGGCGCTATACAAGAGCTCTTACAGATGTGAATACATGTAACCCCATTATGACCCCTCCCTCTCCCTAGTGATCAATGAATAAATATCAAATTTATAATATTTCTGTGAGCATTTTTAGTGACATCAAAGCTAGGATCATACATCACACAAAGTTTCACCTCATAAGGCCTTGCTGGGACAGACAATATGCCATGACAAAATCTCACTGACTTTCCATCAGGTGAGCTAAAATATGAAGGTTGTCAGTCACACGAATCTGTCAAAAAACTTTCACAATCTTACAAATGTTTCCTTAGCTTTGAAATTTACACTTTTCTCTTGGTCATCAAGGACCCTTATTAGCATATGTGTGAAGGGAAAGCTGCCCTTTTATATGACAGTCATTTGAGAAAATGATCTTTCTTGGAATGTCTTCTGTTCAAAGCAGATGAATTAATGACTGGGTTAGATAATAAGGTGTATGGATCAGAAGAAACAAGACATATGACTACTAGGGATGAGTAGTGGAGGTATAAAGTGTATCACAAAATTTTGCAATGCAGAAGGACGTATTGCGATACGTATCACGATATATTGGATAATTCTAAATTATTAATTCAGAAGCAGCCTGATACATTAAGGTATGAACTGATGTTCACATATGGAACAAAACAAGATGCTGGTACAACATAATGTTCACTCAGTCAAGGAATACACAGCCATCTTGGGAACCAGGATGCTCGCTCTAGGGCAGCAAAGGCAGTTGGCAAGTATAAAACATTAAACACATGATAAAAATCCCAATCTGAAATCATACTATATAATAAACATGAAAAAGTGATATTGTGATACGTATCGTGGAAAGAATGCACCTCAATGTACCGGCAATACCTCACACCTTCAATGACTACTGAAAGCAAAATGAGGAAAGTGTTGTACAACAAGCAATATGTACCTGTGCTACTTTGTCGACTCCTGTGTCCACAGCTATAGCTCTCTCTGCTCTCTCGGATGGGATGGTTGTAACTGAGTAGATGCAGTCTTCCCGCTGCTGCTGCCCATGTGACTTTCATAAAGCAGGACACTGTGTCAGTGAACTCCTGACTTCCTACAGTCTGCAACAATATACACATGGTAGACAAATATAGTTCAACCATGTTCTGTACCTCATCCGCAACATTATAGATAAAATAGTGCCACAGCACTGTAGCTCACCTGGATATGTAGTCCACAGTTATGTCAACAAAGACAGCCACTAAATTCAAATATTTCCTGCACATATACTAAGGACTAAAAATGAACATACATACAATCAAGTTTCAGTTTCATTGGTCCAGTGATTTCTAAGAAGATTGTTTTTACAGTGCAAAGAAGAGAGAGCATTTCTGGAAATTGTCAAAGGTGAAATAGAGGTCAAAATTCCAAAAATTCACTAAAAACCGACCATATATGTTATGACCCAAAAACTAACAACACAAAACTAAAAATATATATTTTATTTGCTGTGGATTTAAAGTCTTGATCAATTTGGTGTGTCTTCATTGCTGGGAATAGGAATGTCACGTTTCAGCTTCACATCTTACCGAGGCAAGGCTACAAAAATGACTACAAAAGCCCAGTTTCCACCCTTGCCATTCATTGGAGGTTGACGGAATGGTCGTGGGAAGAATTTTAAAATCAACACTGTATCTAGTAGCTATGTGTGCTATGTCCGCCACCTCCAAAGCATGGATGGGGACAACGTCCTTCCTCAACCAAGGAACCTTTAACGCTGACCATATAGATAATATTGCAAATTCTTTGTCCAATGCCGAGATATGATCCTTCAGCATTAGGTCCAGCGGAATGGGGGTAGGCTTGGACCAACAGTGTCTCGTTTATCCACGCCCAAGCCAATGTTTCCTGGAGATGGACTGCATCATCTGCAACCAGGAGGGATCCATATGGGGAGCCTGGATGAGCTGGTTTGGCTCCAGCTGGAAGAGTGGTTCCGAATCCCAGAGGTGATGTGAGCACCGGTGAGGCCATGTAGCTGCTTAAGAGCACTGGCCCCGGTGCTGAAAACAGGTGGTAGCTTGTGGAAAGGCAGATCTCTGGGTCGTGGGTGCCAAGGGTGGCACCATCGCCGGGGTAGTCATAGAATCCCAGAGGTCGCTGAGAGTGATGGCAGTGGCGTGTAGCTGCTCAAGAGCGAAGGTCAGAATCCCAGAGGCACCACAGGTGCCCTTTGTAGCTATTCAGGAGCGCTGGCGCCGGCGCTGGTAACAGGTGGTACGTTTGCGAGAAGGCAAATCTCTTGGTCGTTGGCACCAAGAGTGTTGCCAGCGCCTGGGCGGTCATAGACGTGTAGATAGGCGTAGTTGGCGGTGTCTGCAGTACTGTCGTCTCTGGACACTGGCGAGGTGTTTGTCAACGTAGATAGAAGAGATGCAGGGTAGGCCGATCTCAGTGGGGTAGACATTGGTAGGGAACAAGATGGAGTAGCCGTGGCTAGTGGAGATGTAGCAGTCTCAGAGGAGTATGACATCTTCTATTTAGCTTGTCTACAAGCTTGCTGCGAACGGCGCATCAGAGACCCTCAAACAGACTATAACATTAGCTCAAATGACTTTCACTCAGTTGAGCTAAAAGTAGAATTCTTAGAACTCTAGGTATGTTCATAGGAATCTGTAAAACTGGACACTGATTTATCCAGATCTCTGTCAATACCAGACCAAATTTACCCTCCCAAACTTCCACAATCATTCAGCATAAAGTATAATTTTGAGTCTGGATTTGGGGCTAAAATTGGGAGAAAAGTCCAACATATCATGTAATTGATGCTCAATATTAGGATGAGCGTATCACATATCTCTTTTGCATGTCCAGTAAACTGTCCTCAACAATAGGCTGCCACAAACTATGATGTATTGCCTAAATAACATCATTCTAACTTGTACAAAAGCACTTGGGACATTTGCAACCTTCACAGACTGACCTGACCTGTATCATTTGAATGGGTCTTATTTCGGAGATAGATACTGTGGTTTCAATGTAGAGCTAGGTTACCTGTAGATGTAAAGACACAAAATTGAATGCGGGACAGAACACAGTATATGAACATATGAAAAGTTCTAAAGGCCATGTGGTTTTAGAGGAGAAGAAAATGAGCGACCTTAAGCGACCTTAACAATGAACAGTGAATGGACCAAAACCATTATGGTGTCATCATCTGTGTGCACATGCATGGCAGATATCAGCTCACCTTCATCAGGCTGAACTAACAGTGTAACATTGAGATGACATACCATGACCAAAGTGTAAACAAAAGAAAGTATTCAATATACCAGCCGCCCACACAATCACAAAACAAAGTCATGTATCTCATTGTACCAAAAAGTGTTAATCCTTAATCCTAAAGTCTGTGAGTAACAAAACCAAAAGAATGCCTCTTTTGTTTAAATGCTTCCTTTCACTAATTATAAACCTCATCACTTTTATTACGTTCAGTTTCACTGTTCACACATCCTGTCACTTCAATCTGTGCTAGGTTTCACTAATTATAAACCTCATCACTTTTACATCCCGGTTTCACTGTTCACACATCCACTCACATCTGTGCTAGGTTTCACTAATTATAAACCTCATCACTTTTACGTCAGGTTTCACTGTTCACACATCCACTCACATCTGTGCTAGGTTTCACTAATTATAAACCTCATCACTTTTACGTCAGGTTTCACTGTTCACACATCCACTCACATCTGTGCTAGGTTTCACTAATTATAAACCTCATCACTTTTACGTCAGGATTCACTGTTCACACATCCACTCACATCTGTGCTAGGTTTCACTAATTATAAACCTCATCACTTTTACGTCAGGATTCACTGTTCATACATCCACTCACATCTGTGCTAGGTTTCACTAATTATAAACCTCATCACTTTTACGTCAGGTTTCACTGTTAACACATCCACTCACATCTGTGCTAGGTTTCACTAATTATAAACCTCATCACTTTTACATCCCGGTTTCACTGTTCACACATCCACTCACATCTGTGCTAGGTTTCACTAATTATAAACCTCATCACTTTTATGTCAGGATTCACTGTTTATACATCCACTCACATCTGTGCTAGGTTTCACTAATTATAAACCTCATCACTTTTACGTCAGGTTTCACTATTCACACATGCTGTCACTTCAATCTGTTCTAGGTTTCACTAATTATAAACCTCATCACTTTTACGTCAGGTTTCACTGTTCACACATCCACTCACATCTGTGCTAGGTTTCACTAATTATAAACCTCATCACTCTTACGTCAGGATTCACTTTTCATATATCGCATAATATAAGTACAGCTTTCTTTGTTTATAAACCTCACTCACTGCTTCTGTACTAGGTTTCATTTTCTACAAAATCACCAAAATTAATGTTTTAAGACGTCTTGCACGGACTGTGTCTATTTTAATCCCCAGCAGCACAGCGAATGTGGGGAGGGTAAAACAGAGAGACAAACTACCTTGATTGCATGACTGCCCATGGAAACTGTAGATCGGACAGAATGTGTAGATCCGTGAGCAGGAGAGGCAGTAGCAAGCGCCGTAGCCCCCTGGGATGGAGTAGCTTCATCTTCTAGGGGTCCTCCAGGGTCCCCTATTACTGTCTCCCCACACAACAAGTACCTGGCCATCAACAAACAGCAACATCAATATACAGACCCTTAAAAACCACAGTATGTTGTTTGTTTGTTGTTTGACGCTGCACTGAGCAATCCTTCAGCTATATGACAGCGGTCTGTAAATATACATGATGGGCGTCGATCTGCTCAATTGGGCTACAATAACATGCATCAGTGATGTCACCCAGCCCGACCATGCCATCCAATGAGTCATCTTTTACAACAAGCATGGGTTGCTGAAGACCTATTCTAACCCGGATCTTCACAGCAGGCCACAGTATGTGTTGCTATCTGGGTGGAATATTACGTTATTACATGAACGTGGCTACATGAAGGAAGTGAGTGAGTTGGGTTTAAAGATGCTTTGAACATCATCCAGTTATACCTCAGCGTGTTAACTTAATGTGGGAGGAAAACCCGAAGTGATGCAGCTCCCCTACATTTACCATTTTGGTGAAACCCACAAGCAAAATAATCAGGATGAATTTGGAATTTGAACCCACAATCCTAGGTTTCCAGTTACATATGGCACAAAAAAGGGACGTAACTCTGCCCAGTGACATGTGGTGCCTTAGACTACTGAGCCACCCATGCCCCTTCAATGTTAGGAATAAATATGAGTTCCAAAACAGTGTGGATAATACATGGATAGACAACAGGCAACATACACCTAATCATTAACTAGAACACTCAACACTGCCTCCTAGTCTTTCAATGTGTTTGCTGTGACAATTGACTGACCTTGCCAGCTGAAGGCAAACAGAATAGCAGCCCTGTCTGATCTCATAGTTGATATCTGAAGGAAGAGACTCAGGCTGCAGGACGTTCACCACCAGTGACAGGCCACCTGCAGCCAGGAAGTCATCACAGAAGGTTTGAGAGCTGAGTCGGGTACCAATATCATCACCAGTTGGCATCAGCTTCCCGCTCACAACCTACAACAAAAACAGTATTCTTGCTAGATTATTGTAACACTAACACACACATGAAACAACATCGCTATACCCACATCAAACAATATCACTATACCTACATCAAACAATATCACTATACCTACATCAAACAATATCACTATACCTACATCAAACAATATCACTATACCTATATCAAACAATATCACTATACCTACATCAAACAATATCGCTATACCTATATCAAACAATATCACTTTACCTACGTCAAACAATATCAATATACCTACGTCAAACAATATCAATATATCTATATCAAACCATATCACTGTACCTATAACAAACAATATCACTATACCTTTCACATCCAAAGCATGAAGAAGTTATCAAAAACGTTTACCATAATGTATCAAATCTAGTGCTGCTGTGAATATGTTCTGAACAGTTCATAATGTCAACAAAGATAGACACTAAACATGAGATGTTGTCAGCAATGATATTCAATATCAATATCAATTTCTGCATAAATACTGACGACTAACGGACTGAAAATATGAAACAATCAACTAAATTTCACGAATAATTGTAATCTACAACAATTAATGTAAGGTGTAATACTGTATAATAAAAAACACAATGGTCCAAACAGCTTTACACAGAGTTGGAGCATTATAACCCCCTTCTGATGATATTAATTAACCTATCCATGCCAGGGCAGTGTTAACCACGGCGTAAACATGCAGGGAAGCTAACTCTCAAGCTGTCCAACAAATTTATATGGCACCAGGCTGAAGGTGAGACTCTTCTTCAATGTATCTAATTCAGGAGCCCACAGTTAGATATACAAGAGGACAAATTTATCAATAACCCCTGTAATGGTAAATGGTTGTCAAAATAAATATATGAAACATATTTGTTCAAGAAATATTACAAACAATCAAAACTAGAAAGTGTTTTTACTCGTAAAAACATATGTCTCCCCCCACTCCCCTAACCCCCATTCATTCGTTTACTTCACGTTAAACCCCATCTCTTCATTCCCACCCTCCATTACTAAATAACAGAGACAAAAATAGAACTCCTAGAAATTTCAAACAACTAATGGGCACCACTTCAGCGTCTAATCAACACCACTAATCCCTCAATCATTTACCCACCTGACAATGTAGTCATCTAAGTAGCACAGTTTTCTTGTTACTGAAGTATTTGTAGAAAATCCACTTAAAGTACTAATAGAGTTTGGACACAAATATATTAATATCCCCAACATATCAGAAATGATGTAGCAATGTTATATGGCACAAAGGAAAGTCTCTGTGATGTAATTGCCCGTGTATCTGACTCTGCAGGTCTTCTACACAATGACATATGTGATGTCATGGAAACTGTAATAGCAAGGCACCACACCAGCTCTCTGATGTGAAAGATCCTTGACATAAATATGGTCAATAACAGTTTCTTTCCTGGTAGTGGACACTTCAATCAGCTGCGTGAAGGGTTCTTGCAGAAGAGGTTGCGCTTTGTTTGTATTGAGGTCAATGTTGAAATCTCCCAGAAGAACTGTACTGTTAGTCGGAGATAGGTCCAACATTCTGTTCAACTCTTGTCTGAAGTAGGGAATGGGAAGTGTTGGTGGTCTGTACACAGAGAAAACAGAAATTGATGAACACTGCAACTGGATGCCAAGGCATTCCAGTCCTACACATGAAGTGTCAATGACTTTGTAGGAAAGATCCTGATGGATGAACATAGCTACTCCACACCTTTCCTCTCGTTTTCAATGAGTCTGGTACACTAGAGGCTGAGTTGTACTGATTTCCCCTGCTACATGTCAGAACATTGTGGGTAGGCAGTGGGTTAGTAAATGACTGATTTGGAAGAAGCCATGTTTCTTGAAGGGCTATGATGTCTGCAGCTGGCAGAAATCTATTTGCTGTGAAATCTTTCAAGTGAGGGAGAAATCCTTCAGTGTTGTGGCCCACAAGCACCAGGGAATTTGCATAATCAGGAATGTTTGGTGGTACTAGGTTATTCCATCTTGGCAAACTTGTAGCAAGCGGCATTTCTGAAATGGCATTTTCTACCCTGCTGTCTGCATAGATTCCACTTGGTTTATAATAGTCCTTAATGAGGAACAAGCCATTGAGTGATGTCACTCTACTTAGCGCAACATAAGCTGTCCCTGCTTTAAATATTCTGTCTAATGAAACAACAGCCTTGTCTGTGGTCATTCCCTGCACTTTGTGCACAGTCACCGCCCATGCCAATTTAAGTGGAATTTGGTGACGGGTAACTTTAATTGGCTTGTGCTGAATAGGTTCTTTTTCAGGTTTGATGACCGTGGAACATGGGTCAATTCTTGGTGGAGGTGGATGAGATTTCCTTGCGTTGCGTCCAACTTGGTCATCATCAAACTTGACACACACAGCTGTAGGCAAGCCAAGTGGGCTGTTTCCTGCAATGATGGATGTTACTGTTCCAAGAACACCATTTGAAAGGCCATCTGGTACGTCAACATTTGAGCACAAGAGGACACGTGCACCAATGCAGAGAGTTACACGAGGTGGAAGTTTGGCGTTGTCAGTTTCCATTGGATTTGTGCTTTTGTAGGACTTGTTTGAGGTAGCTGAGAAACAAATATCAGCTGCAGTGATTGTTACCAATGGAGTGCTTTCAGCTCGTTCAACAAGCAGTGCTTCATTGTGATATTAAACGGTTTCTGAGTTATGGTCAGGAAACAAAGCTTACCCCCATTCAGAGCCTATGTTCAACTTATCTCCATGGAAACGAGAAAAAATAAAAATGTCAAAAATCCCTAAATAGCAAAAGGCACCACTTCAGTGCTGGGTTAATGTGTATACAAAGTTTCGCGAAAAAATATTAAACGGTTTCCGAGTTATGGTCCGGAAACCAAGCTTACCCCCATTCAGAGTCTATGTTCAAGTTATCTCCATGGAAACGAGAAAAAATAAAAATGTCAACAACAAAAAAATCTCTAAATAGCAAAAGGCACCACTTCAGTGCTGGGTTAATGTGTATACAAAGTTTCGCGAAAAAATATTAAACGGTTTCTGAGTTATGGTCCGGAAACGGTGGGAACGCCGACGCTGACGGGAACCGTGCCAAAAACAATATGTCTCCCTCCATTCTGGGGGAGACATAATGCACCAGTTCATAATTAGACCTATCTATGTGCCGTATGGTTTTCAAGATCTGCTCTGGAAACAAGCACTATCCTAATTTGCAGTCTAAGTCAAAGTTGATGCAAAAAAAAACATACTAATAAAAAGTCACCACTTCACATAGACCTATGTATTGTACGGTTTCAATATCTGCTCTGGAAACAAGCACTACTGCCAATCCCAGCCCTCGTCAAAGTTGTTGCCACACTAACTCCAATTTTGTTATTTTTTTTAAATCCCAACTATCAAAAGGCACCAGTTCACCACTAGACCTAGCAATGTGCCAGGTTTGGAGAAAAAATACTGTCCCTTTTTCTGCTATAGAAACTATATTTTGCACAGACGGAGGGTTGGACATTGTCCATCTTAACAACCACTACAAATTGCGTTGGGGGGATAAAAATAGTACCACATACCACAGCACTGTAGTTTGAGGGGATGGATAGGCAGGCTGTCATTTCCTATTGTGTCAGGATAAGTATATAAAATAAGGGGAATACTGTGACTCCCTATATCCTATTATCCCTCCACAACAGTATGCAATTATTCCAAAGTAGGACGGTGGGTAGGATAAACTGCATATCCCCATTTGCGATTGGTACTAGACTGCCACTTAGCCTTCAACCCATGGGTCTGTTCAACTTCACTTGTCCCATAATACATCATCACCCTGCCTGATTACAGGTAAGGCTGGGTCTGAAATTATGTTGCAACTGGAGGTACGCGAAAGATCTGGAACTGCATTTACCCTCACGATACACAGTACCCTCGGTACGGAGGTTAATGCAATCATTCCGTAGAAAGAAAGAACAAACATGCAGGTGTACCAGTATGGGCCTTAAAATTGCAGGCGCACCATTTCAATTCAGCAGCGGTGATGGGGAGGAGCGATGAATACAGATCTCGGACGTGTTTGTGACGGGAGTAGTTTGTGTGAAGTGCCATTGTGGACACCAAAACCCGAATTCAGATGGGAAGCTCTAGGCAGACCCAAACCAGCACGGTGTAAGCTTGAAGAATGGTGGACAGTAACCAGAATGACAGGGTATTCTTGGAGATATTCCAATGACCTTTGTAACTGAGTATTTTGCGTGAAGTGCCATTGTGGACACCAACACCAGAATTTAGATGGGAAGCTTTAGGCAGAACCAAACCAGCATGGTGTAAGCTTGAACAATGGTGGACCGTAACCAGAATGACAGGGTATTCTTGGAGATATTCCAATGACTTTCCTCAGTGGTCAGGAAGAAAGTTTTAGCATCGTCTGCACCAAGAGGAGGTGCTGAAGTTGAAAATGAAATCCCATGCAATTTAAAGTGGAAAGATGTGACCTTATCCAAAGCCTGCTGCAACAGCGCAGGAATAGTTGACCAAATTATAAGCAGGGACCGTGTAAGATGGTGCAGTATTCTTTGGATCGAAAGAGCAGTTCGCAGAAGCTGGGGGGGCAGGTTCCTCTAGTTTAAGGATTCATGATCCCTTGAGGTATAGAGTGGCTGCTTCCCAGCCTTAGAGGTAGCAACAAGAGGAGGCCCTTGGCGAAGATCACAGTTGCTGAACAGGAATGCCTGATGAGCCGTGACGGGTGACGAATGAAGTAGGGGGGGTACCCCGAGGAGATGAGAGTCATAGTACCTGTGCCTGGGTATACGGTGTCTGGTGAGGCGTGTGGAGAAACGCTTGCACCTGTGCCATATGAGGATGCGCCGGGAGAGGAGCTGTAAAGTGTGCGGTGCCTGGCTAGGCGCATGGAGATACATTTGACGCAGCGCCAGCGCCTCAAGAGACCACAGGAGGCTCCAGATCGACTGACATGATAGGATGTGAGGAGGCACTTGCCAATAGGCATCAGTAGTAGACAACAGGAGGTGAGGTGATCCAAAGAGAGAGTGAGTGAGTGAGTAGGGTTTTACGCCGCTTTCAGCAATATTCCAGCAATATCACGGATATATTCAATTCAAATGACACACAAATGTAGACTGGGAGCAAACACGTCCATTCACTGCAGGCGATAACGGAAAAAGTGATGAGTAGTATGGGAGCATGGTGGGAGCAAGGATGTCGGAGGGTGTGTCCCGGGGATTGTTGTGATCCCTCTCTATTGTGCTCTTCGATAAAGCGCTACCTCGGTTACTACGCACGGTAACGCATGGCTCCCAAAATTTATGTACACTTTTTATACTGAGAGTTTTACACATGATTGTATTGTTGTTCGTTGTTCATTTGCACATAATGCTTCTCATTGCATAATCAACCGTTTATCGCTGAATGGAGTTCTAATAATCTGTTTGAAAACATCACGGCAAGTCACGGAAATACGATTGTTCTGCTAGTTAACTTTTCACACTATACATCCTTTGATCTTAGAAGCGCATGCATGCAATAAAAGAGAACCACAAGCAAAGTTCATATTCTTAATTAGCGGGCAATCCAATTTGAGGCGACACTGTCAACTCACATCTAGTTGCTGTCACAACACGACGGTCATTCCTTCTGATTCGGATCAAGTAACCGTATCAAACCAATTAATCTGGCTTGAATGTGTATCTATATTTGTATGAATGTGTATGAATGCGCACATGTAATAATTTCTAGTGCTTGTCAAAACTCTTGTTTTCCGTATTTTAAGCAACATGACCAATCAATGCCACTGAAACACTCTGTACTTGCGTAATGAATTGAGATTGGCTCTTCACTCATAGCGTCTGTTACTACCATTATTGATCGATATTTTCATGTAAGTAGAATACTTTCACATTGAATGTGACAGTTAAGGCTTGTAAATAATAACAAACGGCGAAAACATAATGGATATATTTTTTACACTATGAACCGTAAACAACTTGTATCATTGCAATGTGCGAGACGAGGCGAAGATCGTGAGATTGGCCGAGCGCGCTCCCCCGCCTCCGCCTGGGTTAAACGGCTCATCGTCTATAACGCCCACCAATTATTTGGACCCCATTGGTAGCGTTGTAGCGAGGGACCACTGTATAATCAAAGCAAGAAGGAATATTGCATACTGTTGTGGGGGGATAAAATATTAAAAACAGGAACTTACTTCAAGATTGTAAAGTACTCGAAATGCTGACATCTCTGGTCCGGTTACATCAAAAAGTGATTTCAGCACTTCCTTGGGTGCAGGCCGTGTACTGTTGGCAGCTGGGTTAGGTGATTTCCTGGGACTAGATTTCCCAGAAGATACATCATCACTGGATGAGGATGGCTTCAAACTCTATAAATACCACATGACAAATTTTGCAAAGACTATGATTAGAAAATACAAATTCTAACACAGCTTCATAAGAACTAGGCTTTTACATTAAGTGGCTGGTGACCTGGCCTTGTATAGTGGAGAGCTTTGACACTGTTAGATGTGACATCATTTTTTCACTATAACACAAACATGTGTACAAGCTATGACTGACTTTCTGAATGATGCGTCTATGCATCTACCTTCTGACTGATTGGAGTCAAGGCCTTCAGCAACTGATGTACCTACCTTCTGACTGATGGGAGTCTAGGCCTTCAGCAACTGATGCACCTACCTTCTGACTGATGGGAGTCAAGGCCTTCAGCAACTGATGTACCTACCTTCTGACTGATGGGAGTCTAGGCCTTCAGCAACTGATGCACCTACCTTCTGACTGATGGAATCTAGGCCTTCAGCAACTGATGTACCTACCTTCTGACTGATGGGAATCTAGGCCTTCAGCAACTGATGTACCTACCTTCTGACTGATGGGAGTCAAGGCCTTCAGCAACTGATGTACCTACCTTCTGACTGATGGGAGTCCAGGCCTTCAGCAACTGATGCACCTACCTTCTGACTGATGGGAGTCTAGGCCTTCAGCAACTGATGTACCTACCTTCTGACTGATGGGAGTCCAGACCTTCAGCAACTGATGTACCTACCTTCTGACTGATGGAAGTCCAGACAATCAGCAACTGATGCACCTACCTTCTGACTGATGGGAGTCTAGGCCTTCAGCAACTGATGTACCTACCTTCTGACTGATGGGAGTCTAGGCCTTCAGCAACTGATGCACCTACCTTCTGACTGATGGGAGTCCAGAAAATCAACAACTGATGCACCTACCTTCTGACTGATGGGAGTCTAGGCCTTCAGCAACTGATGCACCCACCTTCTGACTTATGGGAGTCTAGGCCTTCAGCAACTGATGCACCCACCTTCTGACTGATGGGAGTCCAGACAATCAGCAACTGATGTACCTACCTTCTGACTGATGGAATCTAGGCCTTCAGCAACTGATGTACCTACCTTCTGACTGATGGGAATCTAGGCCTTCAGCAACTGATGTACCTACCTTCTGACTGATGGGAGTCAAGGCCTTCAGCAACTGATGTACCTACCTTCTGACTGATGGGAGTCCAGGCCTTCAGCAACTGATGCACCTACCTTCTGACTGATGGGAGTCTAGGCCTTCAGCAACTGATGTACCTACCTTCTGACTGATGGGAGTCCAGACCTTCAGCAACTGATGTACCTACCTTCTGACTGATGGAAGTCCAGACAATCAGCAACTGATGCACCTACCTTCTGACTGATGGGAGTCTAGGCCTTCAGCAACTGATGTACCTACCTTCTGACTGATGGGAGTCTAGGCCTTCAGCAACTGATGCACCTACCTTCTGACTGATGGGAGTCCAGAAAATCAACAACTGATGCACCTACCTTCTGACTGATGGGAGTCTAGGCCTTCAGCAACTGATGCACCCACCTTCTGACTTATGGGAGTCTAGGCCTTCAGCAACTGATGCACCCACCTTCTGACTGATGGGAGTCCAGACAATCAGCAACTGATGTACCTACCTTCTGACTGATGGGAGTCTTGGCCTTCAGCAACTGATGCACCTACCTTCTGACTGATGGGAGTCCAGACCTTCAGCAACTGATGCACCTACCTTCTGACTCATGGGAGTCAAGGCCTTCAGCAACTGATGTACCTACCTTCTGACTGATGGGAGTCTAGGCCTTCAGCAACTGATGTACCTACCTTCTGACTGATGGGAGTCTAGGACTTCAGCGACTGATGCACCTACCTTCTGACTGATGGGAGTCCAGGCCTTCAGCAACTGATGCACCTACCTTCTGACTGATGGAATCCAGGCCTTCAGCAACTGATGCACCTACCTTCTGAATGATGGGAGTCCAGACAATCAGCAACTGATGCACCTACCTTCTGACTGATGGAATCCAGGCCTTCAGCAACTGATGTACCTACCTTCTGACTGATGGGAGTCCAGACAATCAGTAACTGATGTACCTACCTTCTGACTGATGGAATCCAGGCCTTCAGCAACAGCTGGATCAGTGGGGATTAGCATCAGCAGCTTCCTCACACGCTTTGTGATCCTTTTGACAAAAAACACAAATAAGCCTGGATCTGTAGTTCTTCTTACATTATACCAAATTTATTCATATGCAGTCTATGAAATTTCAGACGAGCAATCCACATTTCAATTACACAAATATGTATTGCTGAGAGGTTGTTGACTGATTGAGCAACATTGCAATATTGGCAAATGTTGCCAGACAGCAGCACAAGTACTTCACTTATGGAGATGGCCATCCTTGAGTTCGGACAGAGTTGCCTTGATTCAGGGAGGGAGTTACTGATTCCACAGATGTCAGTTTGAAACTCTCCTGTAGGAGGAGGTGGATGACAATCTGGAAAGATATCCTTCAGGAAAGGACATCAATGTCCTGAAATGGTCAAAACCCTTCCCAAGGAACAAACTGTGGCTATGGTTTAAATCGGTGACCCCTGTAACCAGTCCACATATTTAAACCTAAGGAGTCCTGCTACATTTGCCCTGCTAGGCCCAGGTTTTCTACGGGAGTGAAGATAGACGGTACAGAGTATGCTTCTTCTGCACAGCTAGGGCGGACATTCTATCCCACTCTTCCAGGAGTGGAACCCCCCTTGCCAATAGCCAATAATACAACCTGCCAATAGCTGGACACACACAGCAGACAAGCAAGCAATAACGAGTGTCAGTGAATGGAAGGTATATCGATATATCAGTCTAGATTGAAAAAGGTAGAAACCTTGTAATACAGCATGATGAAATAGCTATTCCTTTTTCCTCAGTGGGGAAACGCTTGGCTATTCTTCGACAAGTTAAAACTCACTGCTGTTATAAATAAGAATGGTAAATAGAATAAATGTCCTTTAAGGCATCATGGAGGTCAACTTGGTCTCAGTGGTACTAATATTCATTCAGCCATGCAGGAATTATGAAACTACGTACAATGTACAGAACACCATTTCCAACATCTAAATCAGGTAAGCTGGAATTGAACTATCATCATAGAAAGATGTTATGATGCTGTGTGTGAATGGAGAGGACACAGAGGCACAGGTGACTTACTTTGCTTCATCAAGCTCCGTCAGCTGATACAGCATCTCAAACACCTGACCTCCTTGTGCCATCACATAGCCTGGAAGCATCTTTTCCTGCAACAGTCAGGTTTCAATAGTCAGTCCACAGTGAATGTGTTCATTTTCACCAAGATTATTTGCAACTGATCAATCAGCAAGTAATATTGATAAGCACCTGAAATTTTATTTGACAGTCTATAATTTCTTGTGTACAATACAGAAAATAGAGCTGTGTTATACACACATATATTTCCAAAGCAAAACAAGACCACTGGCATGTTAATAGCTCCCAACTAATTAGTCAATTTCTAATGAGTATATTATGTCAAATACGGTAAATCAAATTAGTTGAAGATACAACCACTACCAAATGCTAGGATAAGCTACATGTACAACCACAACCAAATGATTAAATTTTGATTGTGTTCATTGAAATTCCTGCATTCTGATGAGCTGAACTGGTCAGGTGTTATTACACTCATTTCCCAGTGAATGTAAAAATTAAGCCACGCCCACCGAGGTGGACTACTTATTACAACGGAATGCCGGGGAATCCCAATATATTACAACCGAGGGAATTCCCTTTCTGCTCACATGTATCGTCATGCACAGGACATTTTGCGAAATTCATGCATATTCATTGTCCAAACAACCCTTTGAGACCGAAGGCCGAGAAGGAATGAAACAGCAAACGTGCAGGCTCGCTCGCCTGTTTTTTCCCCATTCGTCTCGGTTCCACAACTTTCATGCAATCAGGTTCCATTTCTAAATAGCATTTTTCCAACTATGTCTTCCTGTTCTCAGGGAACTAATGTTTGAATCTGTCGGTAACTGACCATGTCATTTGAAACAACCGCCTTCTCACAGACATATTTGTTCCAGTTTGTTACAGTCTGACTGTTGCAGTTCTTCTTGCCTCTTGATTGATTGACAGGTCCTATGAACTTTGTTTTGATCCTACTCTCCTTTGACTGGCTACTGACTTTGTAGGCGTCTCAAGTTATGTGCATAAATTAAACAATCACCTGATTCACCTTTTGTGAAAATTATTCATACAGTTTGCACATCAGATTTTTGATTCATACCTCATTGAACTGACAAAAAAACACAGCCAATCCTTAAATGTTAGGATAATATACAACCACTACCAAATCTTAGGATAAGATACAACCACTACTCGATTTCTTTATTTCCGTACTGAGGAGGCCATAGGCCTTGAGTACATTTATAATTACAGTAAACTACGTTTATAACGAACACGCTTATAACGAACTGACGGATATAGCGAACTTACTTTTTTGTCCCGACTATTTGCTGTAGTATATGCTTATAACAAACTACAGTTATAACAAACTAAAATGAGTGGTCCCTTTGAGTTTGTTATATCCGTAGTTTACTGCAGTACATTCAGAGCAGTAGAGTCTATAACATTGCATGATAAATGTGCATAGATACATTTTGTAAAAGTAAGTACTTCAAGTTGTTTAACAGAGATGTGAATTTAAAGAAACTGGGCTTGACATAGTAATAATCAGGTATATACTTAGCCTTAATGTTGCATAAAATAGGCATATAAAAAGGAAGTGGTATTCATCTTCAATGTCATTCAGGGCGCACAATTGACAATTGCGTTGTTCTCTTATAATAACCGTGTAACGTCCAGTTTCAATAAATAGATCATGTGAACAACATCTAAATCTTGCTAAGGAAACCCGGAATGTTTTTACATTGAAAAAAGATAAATACTGTTTGGGACATAAATCATTTTTTTACCATTATATAATAAATACTTTTTTTTTATTCAGATACAGATTGAAGTCAATTTTGTAAATATATATCTTTTAGTCTTTGTGTCAATGATCTAATGAAATAAGAATGACACTGTTTATTTTGTTCACACCATAATAGCCATAACCAACGGAAAGTGGTATCTAACTGAGCGAAAGCGAGGTCAGATACCATAGAAAATTCCCTTGTTTCATAAAAATGGTATATAATGAGAATGAGTGTGGTATTTTATTTATGACCCACATTAAATATGTATTAAAGTGTAAATACATAACTTTCTTTTGTTAACAGACCAAACTGAAACCGATTGCAATTCTGGTTGTGCATGAATATTAATATATGGCCAAATATGGGCACTGCTGAGATTTCTATGCAAACACATTAACAACATGTTCCTGCTGTTGTGTGTGCCAACATGACAGCACCAACGCTCAACACCAACGCTTTTTAAGTATTTCTTCAACTAATGGTAATTTACGGGCATTGTTGTCAGTAAGCAGGATAACTGTTCGAAAGTTAAAACTTTCAATCTCGGACCAACACTGAGTCCTTCTCACCGACATGGTCCCTCCTGTGCAATCAAAATGATTCAGTTTCCTTGATCTATCAGTTGAATTTATATCCTGTCCATATCATTTTGGAAGAGGGAAATCAGAGTGCACGCCAAACACATTCATGTTAACTGTACAACCCCCATACTGAAGACGTGAAAATCAACAAACTCAAGTCTGCTTACATGTCAGTGGTCTGGTTGTGCAGTCGTGCATGTTCATTCATGAACAAACACCTTAGGAAGCAATGTCACAAAATATGCTTTGAATGGGGTCACGGATGGCACAACCGGAACATCCAACATAAGTCTAGATATCTGTCCAGATAGTTTAAACTGACTTCATTTCAACACGCTTAACCTTTTACGTTATATCAAATTGAAAGTCGCGAGAGTGGTCCAGTGCGTCACGCTAATTGGGACCCTCGATAGAAGATCTATCGGTAGTCGTATATTGTATATCGAGTCGTATATTGATTATATAATGTCTGTGGTAGCTCTATACATAACTTAATCAAATATAGAACGCAAAGCGAATTTGATGTGTGTGACGATCTTGTTTGGTTTAATAAAGGGTATGCAAATGTCTCTCGCTTTCCTTCAGTTCGGCCTTGTAGTTGTAAAAGTGAATGCCTGCCTCGCGATTTTACTGTGAAAGAAAAAAGCTGTTCCCATGTGACAGGTCACTGTTATCCAATCAAAACGAATAAAACGAGGTCAACCTTGTATGACACACCTGAGACGTACGGATTTAGTATCTTCCCACCTGTATCTTCACCAAGTGAGTAATAAAACCGTCCCTTGGAGGATTTCGGTATAATATGAGGAAATGGTGCAAAACATTCCTTGAAAAAGAAAAAATAGTAATTTTGAAACATCATTCAGGATCTCCAGGTTGACCTTGACATGACTGGTCAGTGTGTCCTAGAAATTTCCCAGGGCAATAAAGGTGATATACATGATATGATATACATGGGATGTCCAAGTGCTGAGTGGTTTAAAAAACAAGGTGCACTGGCAGTGGTCAAATTCAGACAAAATCATAAAACATCCCCATTTACATGATTGAATGATTACCAGACTGAAAAAGGACTATGGTATGAAAGCAATGAATGCTGGTGAAATCGTATCACAACTGTAGATCATAGTATTACCTGTTCAAGATCGAAGGTTTGTTTGGAAGTGGGAGTTGAAGTGCTCTGAAACAAAAGATAAGGAAATATGGCATTAAATGCTATGTATGAACTATGTGTATGAGTGAGTGAGTGAGGTTTGACGCCGCTTATATTCCAGCAGTATCACGACAGGACTATATGTGTTTGAAATAAACCTACCATCCCTTAGAGCCCAAGTAAGAGGTCATCATTTGATGACTAGACTATATCTATATCCTGCTGTAGGAACAGTGTGAGAGAATGTTATGTTATGGTTGTCTAGTTGATGTCTATCATCCTCCATCTGTTACAACACAATAATGTCAAAATAGAATTACACCAAAGATTACTGTACCCTGATCACTTAGTCAACAGCTCTAAATCTCAACCTCCTAAGACAAATGACAACCAGAATATCTAATATCAGATATCCTTAGTGAACATTTGTTTTCAAAAGGCTGAATAAGGCATAAATGTAGTTTTTTGAGCAAAGATATTATGTATACTTATCTTGACTCATACTTATTGCTTATCTCTCTCTCTTCCGAATAGTAGTGGAAACATCCTGTTCCGTGTTCCCAGAGAACAGTGAAAACATCTCCCCCCAACGTACCCTGTGTCCGCTGAGACGCACCGTAACCTCGCAATACAGACCAGTACCTTGTCACTCTCTCTTTGACCCTACTTAATGGTCCGAAAACACATCAGTGCAGAGAGGGGAGGCCGGGTGGGTGCTCATGCATATGACCCAGGATAAGTAAAAATAATATTTTTACTAAAAAAAAATACATATTCTATCTTATCCTGACTCACACTTATTGCTTGAATCTCACTGAGGTGGTGGGATCCACATCATTCTGATTAACGTCAATCTGTTTTGTAAACCCCATTGGAACGTTGAATAATTTTTGTGATGTTTTCTTCTTAATCATTCTTTTGGGGTACCACCTTCCTTTTTCGTAAGCAGCAAAAATGGAAGTAAATATTCTAGATTATGTGGATTTTTCAAGGTTTGCGAAGATTTGTAAGATCTTGCATGCCTAAAAAGATTATAATGTTAAGAGAAGATTGACATAGAACAGTAACCTGACTTTCACGGATGGATGGCGGAGAGAGCCGGGACAATGAATTGTCTGTCTGGTTGGCCTGGTCACTGTTTTTTTTGCCATGAAGTCCCATCTCAAGTTGAGATGCGCTGATCCTGCCAAATCTAATGTTAAATCTATCGCATGGATCTCAGACATTCTGGCTGCTGTGGCAAGAGCCAGAAGAAACAGGGTTTTCTGTGTTAGGTGTTTGAAGTCTGGCACTGATGACACAAATGTTGTTATCTGATTGTTGAATCTGGAAGCAAATAGGTCCATCAAGGGGCAACCTTTGTCCTTTATAACCAACAGGAATGCTTCTGGGTGAAGCTTTCTTTCTGTTGGTGATGGTTTGGCTGCTCTGTATAGGACATCAGCTAAGACATTTGCCACTCCTGGAATATGTCTTGCCTTTACCGTTCGATTTCGTTAGAATTGTCTGTTCTGATGATCAGACTGCTTGCTAACAGTTGGGTCCAGATGGATATTGCTCGGATAACTTATAACTCGCATTACAGATAATTGACATGGAAGGATTTTTCTTTCTCAGACCATAGGCCTGACGTTACTTCCGGGTAGTGGTGTGCTCCCCAACACTGAATTTAATATCCAAGTGAAGGTGATTGTTGAAATGTGCCTCATTTAAAGAAGTTCCTGTGCAGACAATGTTACTGTCTACCATTAGGAGGTGTTTCCTCAATTTGTGGGGTAATCGAAGTTTTAAATCCTGGTACTCTAGGTACAGATTTAGAAATCTCTGTTTTGGGCGTAAGTGTAGCCTCCCTCAAACAATTAGCACTTGAGCTGACATGAGTTGGCCGAGTAAACCTTGCCAATGGTTGATAGAGATTTGGTTGAGAATTACAGCTGGTAAGTAATTCTTGATTTTTATCCACCGCTCTTCCAGTACTAGAATTCGATTCTGCCTCGTTAAAAACCTGATCCCTAGGAATTTGAGGTCCTGGGAGGGTTGTAGGTCTGATTTGTGATAATCTATTAACCAACCTACTTGAGTTAATAATTTCAGGGTGAAATTAAGTTAGTGTTGGAGTAGTTCTGTTGATTGTTGGGCTTGAATTCCGTTGTCTAGGTAGAAAGCACAACAAATTCCCTTTGTGTGGTCATACGTGTAAATAGCCACGGGGCTGAAAAATTCTAAAGAGCAGGACTGCTCATTTGTAGTGTTGGCCTTTGAAAAGGAATCAAAGATATTTCTTGAACTTTGGATGAATGGGAATATGTATGTATGCATCCTGTAGAACTATGCTTGCGAGATAGTCATGCTGTCTTATCATTTGTTCAATAAAGGCAGATGAACCATTCTGAACTTTTCCTGTGTTTGGAGGTATTTCTTGTTGAATTTCCTCATGACATAAATCAAACTGTGGCTTGTGAAAACAGCTATTTTTAGCTCCTCTGTGACTGTTAGAACGTTTCTCTTTAGCTGTTTGGATTCCTCAGAATATATATTGCATCACCTCCTTGTTATTGTTACAAATGTGACCATTTAAAATGGTTGCTGCTTTCCAGGGTTGATGCAGTAACTTTTTGGTGTACAGGTCTGACCAATTAGATTGGCTATGAGGCCTTGACATCCTTGCAATGTAAGATCTGTTGATACCGAGCTCATATGATCAGAAATGAATTCTTTCTTTTGGTCTTTCTTTTGACCGATTACAACTGAAAGTAGCAGTTTTTCGTTTTGTGGATCTTTTAACTCATCAATCATGGACCAAGGCATGGCTTGTCCATAGAATGAATGTCTGGTGATTGTATCTAGTTGCGCTAACTTTCGATCTTCAATACGATAAGACCTAGTCGTGAAGTCTTACGTGAGTGTATAATTTTCGTCAATCTCTGTTTCTCGGAGAAAGGGAGACATGGCTAGAGCTTGTATGAACGTTGATTGATTAAAAGTGGGCTGCGCGAAGGCCAGTATCTGCCCAAAGGTATGCAGTTGCAATGTGCTTGTATCATGTGTGTTAAGAGCCTGATTGGATGACAATAAGGTGTTTGCAAAGGCTAAAACTGCATTGATCTGGGTTGTTGTACGAAGTAGTAGGAGATCTAATAGACCCCTTAACCTTTAATGATGATGGCAGAGCAGTAGAGGAAGATATATTCTTCTTCTTAGCTAATACTTGTAGGTTATGGCTTTTAGACCATCTGGACTTCTCACTGGTAGACAACGAAGTAAGTAGGGTGGTGACTGTTATGTCATCAACGGGAGTAAGTTGGATATTATCCAAATCAAAATCTCTCCCTTCTTCAGACGAAGGACAAGGTGTAGACTTGCGTCGTTTCTTCCCTGAAGCTGGGGATAGAATAGATCTTTAGCAACCCATGCTTGCCGTAAAAGGCGACTATACTTGTCTCAAAAGCGACTAACGAGATCGGGTGGTCAGTCTCGCTGACTTGGTTGATGCATGTCATCGATCCCAATTGCATGGATGGATGCTCATGATATTAATCACTGGACTGTCTGGTCCAGACTATTTTATTTATAGACCGCCGTCATATAGCTGGAATATTGCTGAGGGCGGCGTTAAACAACAAACCAACCTAATCCCTGAAGCTGCCTCCATGGACGATGAGGACGATAAGGGGCGTGATGACTCAATCTTTCAATTCAATCTTTTTCTTCTGCACTGCGAAGATATATTTGTCAAAATTCTCCTTCCCGAAAGGGGCGCACAAAGTGCACCTATTCCCTGCAGTGCAGTTAAGTGTGATACAGTTGGCACAGATCGGGTGAGGTTACTGTGCGCCTGCAAGGATACGGAGTGTGTTGGGGTGAGATGTTTTCACTGTTCTCCGGGAACACAGAACAGGACGTTTCCGTTACTATTTAGAAGAGAGAGAGATAAAGAGGAGAGAGACAGGCAATAAGTATGAGACAGGATTGGATAAAACTATCAAATTAACAAATATTCATCAAATATTATATTCCTAATCAGTGAACATGTTCCCAGGAGCGGTGAGTGTTTACTCATCATGCCAAAGATTCAGATTAAAGTCCTACGTGATATAAAGTCAAAAGCTGGTGAACAGATTATGATGGCCTCATAAGCGTACATACCTCCCTCGTGAGTGTGGTGCTGGTGGAGGTTGAGGAAGAGGATGTTGAGGATCCAGCACCAGACTGAGACAAGCGAACCTGCAGCATCTGATTGTCCTCAAACTCAAGCTGATGAAGGAGCTTCTGGTCCTTGGCCATACCAAGCTGTAACAAACACACTTTCCACTTACATAATGTAGGTGGCACATACAGACTACTGACGTACATCCAGGTGGCACACACAGGCTACTGACATACATCCAGGTGGCACCTACAGGCTACTGACATACATGTAGGTGGCACCTACAGGCTACTGACATACATTCAGGTGGCACTTACAGGCTACTGACATACATGTAGATGGCACATACAGGCTACTGACATACATCCAGGTGGCACATACAGGCTACTGACATACATCCAGGTGGCACCTACAGGCTACTGACATACATCCAGGTGGCACCTACAGGCTACTGACATACATCCAGGTGGCACCTACAGGCTACTGACATACATTCAGGTGGCACCTACAGGCTACTGACATACATCCAGGTGGCACCTACAGGCTACTGACATACATCCAGGTGGCACCTACAGGCTACTGAAATACATTCAGGTGGCACATACAGGCTACTGACATACATTCAGGTGGCACATACAGGCTACTGACATACATTCAGGTGGCACTTACAGGCTACTGACATACATCCAGGTGGCACTTACTGGCTACTGACATACATCCAGGTGGCACTTACAGGCTACTGACATACATGTAGATGGCACTAACTGGCTACTGACATACATGTAGATGGCACATACAGGCTACTGACATACATGTAGGTGGCACCTACAGGCTACTGACATACATTCAGGTGGCACCTACAGGCTACTGACATACATCCAGGTGGCACTTACTGGCTACTGATATACATCAAGGTGGCACATACAAGCTACTGACATACATTCAGGTGGCACATACAGGCTACTGACATACATGTAGATGGCACATACAGGCTACTGACATACATCCAGGTGACACATACAGGCTACTGACATACATCCAGGTGGCACTTACTGGCTACTGATATACATCCAGGTGGCACATACAGGCTACTGACATACATCCAGGTGGCACATACAGGCTACTGACATACATCCAGGTGGCACCTACAGGCTACTGACATACATGTAGTTGAAACATACAGGCTACTGACATACATGTAGATCACACATACAGGCTACTGACATACATGTAGGTGGCACATACAGGCTACTGACATACATGTAGTTGAAACATAAAGGCTACTGACATACATGTAGTTGACACATACAGGCTACTGACATACATCCAGGTTGTACATACAGGCTACTGACATACATCCAGGTGGTACATACATGCTACTGACATACATGTAGTTGACACATACAGGCTACTGACATACATCCAGGTGGCACATACAGGCTACTGACATACATGTAGTTGACACATACAGGCTACTGACATACATCCAGGTGGCACATACAGGCTACTGACATACATCCAGGTGGCACATACAGGCTACTGACATACATCCAGGTGGCACATACAGGCTACTGACAAACATGTAGATGGCAAGACAGGCCACTGACATACATGTAGTTGAAACATACAGGCTACTGACATACATCCAGGTGGCACTTACCGGCTACTGACATACATCCAGGTGGCACCTACAGGCTACTGACATACATCCAGGTGGCACATACAGGCTACTGACATACATTCAGGTGGCACATACAGGCTACTGACATACATTCAGGTGGCACATACAGGCTACTGACATACATTCAGGTGGCACACACAGGCTACTGACATACATCCAGGTGGCACTTACTGGCTACTGACATACATGTAGATGGCACTTACAGGCTACTGACATACATGTAGATGGCACTAACTGGCTACTGACATACATGTAGGTGGCACATACAGGCTACTGACATACATGTAGGTGGCACCTACAGGCTACTGACATACATTCAGGTGGCACCTACAGGCTACTGACATACATCCAGGTGGCACTTACTGGCTACTGATATACATCAAGGTGGCACATACAGGCTACTGACATACATTCAGGTGGCACATACAGGCTACTGACATACATCCAGGTGGCACATACAGGCTACTGACATACATCCAGGTGGCACATACAGGCCACTGACATACATGTAGTTGAAACATACAGGCTACTGACATACATCCAGGTGGCACTTACCGGCTACTGATATACATGTAGATGGCACTTACTGGCTACTGATATACATGTAGGTGGCACATACAGGCTACTGAAATACATCCAGGTGACGCTTACAGGCTACTGATATACATGTAGATGGCACTTCCTGGCTACTGACATACATCCAGGTGGCACCTACAGGCTACTGATATACATGTAGATGGCACTTACTGGCTACTGATATACATGTAGTTGACACATACAGGCTACTGACATACATTCAGGTGGCACATACAGGCTACTGACATACATCCAGGTGGCACATACAGGCTACTGACTTACATCCAGGTGGCACTTACTGGCTACTGACATACATCCAGGTGGCACTTACAGGCTACTGACATACATGTAGATGGCACTAACTGGCTACTGACATACATGTAGGTGGCACATACAGGCTACTGACATACATGTAGGTGGCACCTACAGGCTACTGACATACATTCAGGTGGCACCTACAGGCTACTGACATACATCCAGTTGGCACTTACTGTCTACTGATATACATCAAGGTGGCACATACAGGCTACTGACATACATTCAGGTGGCACCTACAGGCTACTGACATACATGTAGATGGCACATACAGGCTACTGACATACATCCAGGTGACACATACAGGCTACTGACATACATCCAGGTGACACATACAGGCTACTGACATACATCCAGGTGGCACTTACTGGCTACTGATATACATCCAGGTGGCACATACAGGCTACTGACATACATCCAGGTGGCACATACAGGCTACTGACATACATGTAGGTGGCACATACAGGCTACTGACATACATGTAGTTGAAACATACAGGCTACTGACATACATGTAGATCACACATACAGGCTACTGACATACATGTAGGTGGCACATACAGGCTACTGACATACATGTAGTTGAAACATACAGGCTACTGACATACATCCAGGTGGCACATACAGGCTACTGACATACATCCAGGTGGCACATACAGGCTACTGACATACATGTAGATGGCACATACAGGCTACTGACATACATCCAGGTGGCACATACAGGCTACTGACATACATGTAGATGGCACTTACTGGCTACTGATATACATGTAGTTGAGGCATACAGGCTACTGACATACATGTAGATGGCACTTACTGGTTACTGATATACATGTAGTTGAGACATACAGGCTACTGACATACATCCAGGTGGCACATACAGGCTACTGACATACATGTAGTGAAGTTATCAAGTATGCTAACCGGCTTGTCATTGGCTACAATCTGGACATGATCAACTTGTTGAAGGAGTGATTCTGCAACCTTGATCCTAACTGATCCAAGACTCTCATTACTGTGACACTGAGAACAGAAAATGTTTATATTACCTCAGCATGAGTGCAACAGTAGTTTCTCTTCCATAAGCAAAACACCTGCAGCTAAATTCAACAAACAGATGATAGCCATTACTGACACGTTAAACCTCATCAAAATCAGACATTGAAATTGAAGCGAAAGAAAGATAGATGATGACTTTGACAAGAAGCTTGTTGTTTCTGTGAAGCAAGGCAAAGTAGAAAAGCTGACAAATATGGTATTACAGAGGCTTACAAAGGCTGATATCATAAAATACTGAATTCAACATTTTCGAGGTTGCATGATCAGAAAACACATTCAGACTTTCACTTTTGCGTTCTCGTAAGCAACTCTGTGATTGGTCAGATAGATACATGACAGTGCTATATGGTGTTCACAGGATAATGAATGCTAACATTCCTTGCCCTATACGAGAAGCAAGTGTGTACATACCACTGTAGTGAACTCCTGCTTGAGGGCATCACAGGTTATATAGAGGTTAATCTGGTAGCCATGGAAGGATGCTCCATGTGGAAGAATACTGCGAGGGGTACAGTGAATCTCCTCCACGGACAACACATAGGCTTCTGCTATCCACAGCAGTCGCTCAATAGCCAGCAGCTTCACAGACCTGAAGGAGAAACAGGTAGCAAAACACAGGCTATTAATCTGACCTGCCTTTTGAGGACTCTCTATTGACCAAATTTGATGACAATCTTGTCCTTTGACAATCGGTTAAGGTGTCTTGGTCCAGTTCAGCTACTAATAGACAGTTTGGCAAGTTAAGATAATTTGGAAGTAGTCAAATCAATCACTAACATTTTGACAGTACTTCAGTGCAAAAAGGCAAATCCAACATTTGTATAACAAACTGACATTTCAAGTTCTTTGGAAATATATTATGAACAAATGACAAAAACAAAGATTTCAACCCCAACCATAACTGCGAACTGTTGAGAAACAATGACACACACACTTAGCTCCAGCCATTTTGCAGTGTTAGTCAAGATTGTCCCTAGCCATTGGTTGTTACTTAGTTATAGTAGTCAGCTGAGTCTAGGATCCTTCACTCAACAACACTGTAGCAGTTTTCTTTACTCACTTTGAAGGAAGTGGCACATTAGCAACCTCAGGTACAATTGCTGCAGTAAGTAACTTGGTTGCATTGGACACCGTCTGGGCCACAACATTCCCACCGATGCCTATCATTGCCATCTGAAACACACAGTGGGTACAACACCATACTGTCAGATAAACTTACAAGAATGTCAGAACCTGAGCCTTCAGCTAATCACAGTTATATTCATAGTTACCCAGGATATCAAGAGCCAAAAGTGTTCTGTAGCTATCCATGTATATTATTGACATGACATATATTATACATGTTGTAATTTTTCAATTTAGGACAAGTCCATGCCACAAACAACTACAAGTCCCATCATGGTCCTATATATCTTCATAATTCTATTGTTAAAAAGCTTATATATTTTTCAGGAATGGACAGTTGTTTGTCAATCATAAGCTATCTTGAACCAACTTCCAATTAATTTACAGTTGGAATGGATGGAGCTATTGTTTTTATATTTTGACAAGTGAATCATGTCAAAGTTTGTTGGGAAACATGTGATGCCAGCGGGTTTTGAACCTTCATCGTTTGATTTGTGGACTTCTAATTGTCGACCTCAGCAATGGTGGCACATGAAGGTATGGTGTGAAATAACTTTGAAATATTTTTAAATATTTGCATAATGATTTAAAGCTAAACAAGAGTCATCAGAAGGATGACATATCCCCCCGGCAGCTGTCTGTAAAGTAACCACAAATAAATGTGCTATTCTGTATTCTGTGTGTTTTTTTTATGCAAACAAATGACAAATTACAAGAAACAATGACTAAACAAGTGTACAGTCACGAAGTCATCTATATCCCCCACCCATTTTAACACGTTATGGTCCCAAACCAGGTAAGTGACCCAACATTTCTTTTAGCCCATTTCAAAATAGCTGCAATGGAAATTCTAAAATAAACATTTCTAAAACTTATTAACTTCCTTAATATCAAATGGCACCAGTTCAGTATGTGCTCTCTTTCTCTCTCTCTCTCTCTCTCTCTCTCTCTCTCTCTCTACCTATATATATATATATATATATATATATATATATATATATATATATATATATATATATATATATATATTATATTATATAGACATGCAATGTTTGGCAAGGAAATATTTTACAGTTTATTTGTTTTACTCCATAAGTGAACCCACCCTATATTAAAACTTAAATCCATCTTGTTGCCATGGGAACATAAAAAATTAAAATTTATAAAATTCCTAAATAGCAATAGGCACCAGTTCAGCAAGAGTCTGATAGACATGCAAAGTTTTGTTAGAAAGTTTTGAATAGGTTTTGAGTTATGCTCCGGAAACGAACTCTACCCTATAGAACCTAAGTCCAACCAGTTGCCATGGAAACCTTAAAAAATAAAAATTTATAAAATTCCTAAATAGCAAAAGGCACAACTTCAGTATGAGACTGATAGCTTTGCCAAGTTTTGATCAAATACACTGAATGCTTTTTGAACTCTGCCCCGGAAACGAACCCCATCCCCAATTAAGTCTATGTCCAACTTCATTCCATAAAAATTTAAAAAAATAAAAATAAAAAAATCACAAAATATCAAAAGGCACCACTTCAGTATGTGCCTGATGGATTTGCCAAGTTTCGAACAAATACACTGAATGGTTTTCGAATTCTGCCCCGGAAACGAACCCCATCCCCAATTGAGTCTATGTCCAACTTCATTCCATAAAAATTTAAAAAAATAAAAATTAGAAAAATCCCAAAATATAAAAAGGCACCACTTCAGTATGTGCCTGATAGATTTGCCAAGTTTCGATCAAATACACTGAATGCTTTCCGAATTCTGCCCCGGAAACGAACCCCATCCCCAATTGAGTCTATGTCCAACTTCATTCCATAAAAATTTAAAAAAATAAAAATTAGAAAAATCCCCAAATATCAAAAGGCACCACTTCAGTATGTGCCTGATAGATTTGCCACGTTTCAATCAAATACACTGAATGCTTTTCGAATTCTGCCCCGGAAACGAACCCCATCCCCAATTGAGTCTATGTCCAACTTAATTCCATAAAAATTTAAAAAAATAAAAATTAGAAAAATCCCAAAATATCAAAAGGCACCACTTCAGTATGTGCCTGATGGATTTGCCAATTTTCGATCAAATACACTGAATGGTTTTCGAATTCTGCCCCGGAAATGAACCCCATCCCCAATTGAGTCTATGTCCAACTTCATTCCATAAAAATTTAAAAAAATAAAAATTAGAAAAATCACAAAATAACAAAAGGCACCACTTCAGTATGTGCCTGATAGCTTTGCCAAGTTTGGATCAAATACACTGAATGGTTTTTTAATTCTGCCCCGGAAACAAACCCCATCCCCAATTGAGTCTATGTCCAACTTCATTCCATAAAAATTTAAAAAAATAAAAATTAGAAAAATCCCCAAATATCAAAAGGCACCACTTCAGTATGTGCCTGATGGATTTGCCAAGTTTCTGTCAAATACACTGAATGGTTTTCGAATACTGCCCCGGAAAAGGAAATGATTACGAACAGACAGATGGACGGACGAACAGACAGACGGACGGACAGACAGACTGGCTGATCGCTATATCCCCCCGCATTATATGCCGGGGGGATAAAAAGTAATATGTATAGAGGTGTTGGATTACAGCTGTTTACCTATAACAATGTTGATAATTAAAGCAATTAGATAAATCTTTGAAGAAAAAATATCAGGTAAACATATATATCCTGTACAGGGCTCTATATTTCCTGTACTCCCCATCAGCATGTATTAACAACGTGCAAGCGAATGGTGAAAAAATAGTTCAGGACCACACGGTATTATGAAAAGCCATGTACAATGCATTGTAAATATCAGCTCCCAACAGAGCTTGGTGCACATGCAACAGCAGCAGAGAATGTATTCCACAAGCATCACGTAAGGGTGACTCACACAGTAAAGTTCTGGCTTAATTTTCAAATATTATCCACAACAAAATGTTTTGTCAAAGAGGTAAAGTTAGAGATGTGTTTTAAATAAGGGAATATCCTTGGAACTCTCCATTCCTTAAAAATAATTGGCCTTGGTTCCATTATTTTTAAGGAATGTAGAGGTACTCGGACATTCCCCCCTACTTAAAGTACTGTAAATCTTGAAATTAACACAAGTGTGAATTAAAAGTGAAAAATTTGTTCGCATAAATAAAACTTCTCATTTATGTCTCTAAAATGACTATCTACAATAAGACGGCCGGCCTCACTGCACACATAAATTCCCCCTAGTCTGTGAACATTTCATGCACAATCATGGCAGGTTTGCAGCAGGTTGAGTTCATTACCAGTCAAAGAGGTACTCTCCAGGTCCTCTTTCAGGGATATCTCCACTACAAGAACAAAGTAAGACAAACTGGTACTCATTGGCGATGTACCGTTAAGACCTTGGCAAATGTACAACAGTTGGAAATTTTGTTAGAAATTTCATTGTACACAACCACCCATCAGAAGACACCAGCAGAATCCAGTTCCTTGGCAGCTTAAGGAAGACAGCTAGAGAAGAACCAACCACTCCTATGCCAGCCCTCTACAACGACGAGGTCTTGAGACATGATCCGGAGGCTGCAGCTATATTTCCCTCCTTCTGCAGTCCCACCATCCCGAAACTCCCTAAAACCAGAGCTGAAGTCGACATTGCAGCACCCTGGAGAGACACCCATGATGGTGAGCGGTTTCTGCTTTTTGCCGACGGTGAAGAAGACAAGATGCTGGTATTTGCAACTGATGATCAGCTTAGAGTCCTCCAGTCAGCTTCCATTGTCTACATTGATGGTACTTTCTCCGCCTGCCCAGATCTTTGGAATCAGCGTTACATACTGCATGCACGGAAAGGATGCATTACCTATCCCCTAGTCTACGCATTGATGCCTGATCGTCGGACTACAACATACCAACGCCTCTTTGCTCAGTTGAAGGTCCACATCCAACAACTACTGAACCAACCATTCAACCCAGAGACATTCCAGGTCAACTTTGAAGTTGCTGCCATGAGGGTTTCCACAGTCGCCTCAATGCATCACTGAATCATTGTCATCCTAATCTCTACAGGTTCATCGAGATCATCAAGAAGATTGAGAAATCTGAGAAGACCAAGCTATCTCAGTTAGACCTAGATGCAGCTCAACCAGCAGGAAAGCGTGTGTACAAGGAGATTGACAATTGACTTTCCAGACTGAAGGATCAGCTATCCCAGGGTGTCAAGACACCACTCCAGTTCTTGGATGCTGTTGGCAAACTTCTGAAGATGGATTAAGGTTGTGTCAGTGTGACAACCTCGATGTGAACTGTGATGTGAACTGTGATATTAACTTTAACTGAACTCTAAGTGGCGAATATGTTAAAACAATGGATTTAAGGGATGGATGAATTAAAATGTTGAATGAAATAAAGTAAAAGAGGGTATCAAGCATCTTGAGTCATTTCTTTTGTCTATAAGAAAAATAAGACAAGTTCATTTTCATGATAGGGGTTAATTACCTGATTAACATGTGCAACCAGGTTTGACATTGTTGTTTTAAGGTGTCTCACAACTGGGCTGTCTTACTAATGGGAGGAGACCATCACTCCAATCAGTGAACTGTTGTTGGTTCAATTATTTTATTGCCTTTGAACTTCCTTAAGTCAACAAAATAAACACATTAACTTACTCAGTGCTAATAAGCAGTGCTATTTGCTGTTTGATTGGATTAAGGTAAGGATATGTATCATTCCACTGGGGATGGGGTAGGGGGAGTCGCATTGTTTTTGAGTCACATTTTTGGCTAGGGGTAGGCAGTCATATTAATTTGGAGACACATTAATTTCAAGATTTACAGTTATCATTTACATTTTTCTTCCATTGACACAGACTGGGCAAATCTTTTGGATGATTCAGCTTACCTCATGCACCCCATATTGCACAGTATAACACTACTGAAATGAAGGCGAACCCAACAGACACCTTTCCTGGCAGTGTATTTGGGATCAATGGAGAAATGCTGAGGTAGAACTACCAGTAAGGTGAATCATTCCAAGTACAAAAGTGGAACAGGGTAAAAAACAAACAGTACCTAATGTTGCCATTGAAATGCTGTATTCCAAAAACATATTGTGCAGAAATTACATTTCATTCAATCATGTTTGTCTTCCATATAACTGTTTAACAACACCATTGCAGGGAACATGCTTTTCAAGTTTTAGCTTCACAGCCCAGGCAGATTAGGAATGAAACTAGCTCTCTTGGACACAACAAATATATGTGACAAAAACACAAGTTGTCCTTCCACCTAATATTCCATGCTCATATATGTGCAGTGTACAAACAGGACAAGTACAGGACTCTGTGTTACCTCCAATCTGTTGTTACACTCGGAAATAAACTTCTTGTGAATGGCAACTGGGTCCTGCAAACAGAGAACACACAGATGATGAACAGATCACTGAAGTCTCCACATAATGATGAGACCTTCTCCACAATTGGAATAAGTAGGGACTCCCAGTGGTTGTTGTGATTGTGACTTTTAAAGTGATGAAATTATAGAAAGTAACAGCCAGCCAGCTAAGACAGTAGTCAAGCCAACCAGTTGCAATTGTCATCAATAACACAGTCAACATCTGTTTGACACTTCAACACAAGCAACATAAATACATGTTAGATCATTACCAAGCACAACATGTATCTAAAATAATCAATGAACATAACATCAGTTGATATCAGGTAACACACTATTTATTTACTGTTACGTGTAAGAGAGGATGTGTGTAATTATTATTACTATTTCTAACTAGTGGACACGATGGATAGTTTGGCTCCATAACTGCTTCACAATGGAAATGGTCAGTCATGGGAAGTAGCCCATCTATCAACTTTTGACAAATGAATGAGATAGGCGTATACCTGCAACACTCTGCAGACAAGGCTATCTGTAGCACTTCCTGTCAGTGATCAGTGATATGGAATGATGAGTTATATCATCTCCGCATTAGAAACTATCTGTCCTTATAATCAAAACATGTAGCAAAACAATAATGGCAAATTTCTACTAGTCCTTATGATATCCTAACTATTGAGCATTTTGGCAAGGACGATAGGACTAGTGCCAATTTCTAAAGCTGTCATCTTATGTCAGTTTAATGTGCCGAAAGGGACTTGAGTGGGAAATGACACGCCAGACGACAGGTGTGGTGCAGACTCACCAACATTACTTCCATTGTTTATGACAACGGCCTTAAATGAAAAATAGTGATGTCTTGAAAAACTCTTAAAGTCATAGCCATTCACACACAGTTGAAGCCTCCTGGCCTGTTGTTCTTAAGAATATATCATAAAACTTTGTAAGGCCATAATACATTAAGTGCTAGATTATCATTCCCGCCTGACTCACAAAAAAACCGACAAATTAATTTTATTTGCCCAAGTGAACTGTTTAGAGTACTGTAATGACATCGGCTTCAAACGGCCATTTCATGTTTACAACAAGTGGTAAACAGGTCTACAACCGACTCTCGGTGCGTGCCTGCCTATCTGGTTGTTGCCAGCTGTCAAGATGGTGGTCACTATTTTGAAAATATGGGAGGGTGTGTAAACCATTAAAGACTGGTATGGCTGTCCTTTGCCAGAGTATATGACTCTTCAACAAGTTTGCTTGTGGGGAGTTTGAAAAGTTAACGTCAATTGAAGATAAATTCATAAACACCCGAGTACAAGTTAAAGCAGGGAAAAAAAAAATAGGTTTGACACAGAAACATCCGACTGCTTCTTTTGAAATCAAAGTTTATTTATTATCTTTGTTATTTCAGTCATCTATTGTTCATACCAAGCTGTCCAGATTTCAAAATGACGACATTAATAGAAAATAAAACATAAAAAAAAAAAGCCTCCCTCCCCACTTTTGAAAAAAAAGCGGATGATAATCTAGCAATTAATTTATTATGGCCTTAGTGAGGGTTGCAGGGTCATGTAACTTTTAGGCAGTTCCTTACAAAAATGAAAGCCTTCTTTGAATTGCTGACAGCCAAAGCAATGGCTGTTTTGGCTTTGGCCAGCAGTGGGTAAGTGACACAGGAGTCAAATTGGCAAACACGCTGGCCTTACAGGCCTTACATTTGTGGACACTTTGGAAGCTTGAACTTTTCACTATTTTCTACAATACCACAAGGTGAAGGCTGGTGAAACTCTGCTTGGCTATCAACAGTCTTTCGAATTTGTTGCTCGTACCATTTCTTTTCAAAGTCAAGTTGGGTTTCTATGGCAACCATATGTGCAAACCTAGTTTTTGATATTCATCACTCTGTATGCAAATAATTTGATGAAATATAATAGTAAGCTAGTGTGCAGTGGATGGGTCTCACATATGTTTTTCCTTGTTTTTCACGTTTTACACGTACTATGTTTTAATTGCCCATGACATGCATTTTCACTATGGTGATACCAACTTTTATGCTGTAAAGGATGACTCATGGTTGAAATTCTTATCGCTTAAAAAATTAAACATGCTAGTTAGGCGCCACTACTAACTACACACATGCCAAATTTAAAAAGATTGTCATTTAATAGCCATCAATGGGTTTCTAAATTTGGCTGAGGCTGAGGCAATAAATTTTTATAAATCGGATCAAAATCCTGTGAAGAGTTTTAGAGACACCACAGCCATGTAGTTTCAGATGAGATGTTGAAAATGCAGTAACACCAGACAGGATGTTGAAAATGCAGTAACACCAGACAGGATGTTGAAAATGCAGTAACACCAGACAGGATGTTGAAAATGCAGTAACACCAGACAGGATGTTGAAAATGCAGTAACACCAGACAGGATGTTGAAAATGCAGTAACACCAGATGAGATATTGAAAATGCAGTAACACCAGACAGGATGTTGAAAATGCAGTAACACCAGACAGGATGTTGAAAATGCAGTAACACTAGAACAACAGTGGTAGGTGAATTATTAACAATGAAAACTATTGTTTCCTAATTTCTACAAACAAAACTTCTATTACATCAGAACATTGTGTAATACCAAAGCGTGTGCTTATGTACTGCGTGAACAAGCTTTACTAACACATATTGAAAACTCGTAACATTCATTGGCTTCAATGACATTGCATGTAGATATGACAGTTGGTTGGTTGGTTTGTTGTTGTACGCTGCACTCAGCAATATTCCAGCTATATGACGGCAGTCTGTAAATAAATGAGTCTGGGCCAGACAATCTTGTGATTGATATCATGAGCATCGATCCACACAATTGGGATCGATGACATGTTTCAACTAAGTCAGTGAGTCTGACCACCCAATCCCTTTAGTCTCCTCTTACAACAAGCATAGTCGCCTTTTCCGGCAAGCATGGGTTGCTGAAGACCTATTCTTCTACCCCGGATCTTCATGGGTCATAGATATGATAGATCACTGAGAGGAGCTAGGCTGACGTCACATGGCATTGTTTTGGAAAGAAATTCCACAAATTACGTCATAGGGCATTGTGACATGATTGTAAACTTTGAGGTGCAGGGCTCCGTTCCACAAGGAGATTGCAGAGGAACGACAGTCTTAAATCTATGCATAAGGATGGAAATGACGATAACTTTAGCACTACGATAGCTATGTGGAACGGACCCCTGAATACTAAAGGTGGGCAGCTGTATGGTATTGAAGAAATAAGTATGAACTTTTGACATGTTTGAAGCATTATACTGTTAAACTCAATTGGAGTAAGTTGTGGATTGCGTAGATGTCTGCCTATTCACACACAAAAGTGAATTATTTTTGTAAAATTATAAACGGCAAGTAATAAATAAAATACCAAACTTGTGAATGGTTATGGTATCTGACTCGCCTTTCAGATACCAGAACTATTCACTTGATTCATAAAATTGGTATTGCATGGGAGCTCGTTTAGCATTATAATGCTGTATTTAGGGGGAGAAAGTGTGCAATGCACAAAACATGGTACAATGTACTGTCATCCAAAGTTTCAATGACATGGGGCAGATCACCACTTTTCTGTTTGCTATCACATATCTGGGTTCATGGCACACAACATGATCACACCAAAAACAATACTATTAATGAAAAGTATACTTTTTTAATACGTGGATTGAGGTTGGCATATGCCATGCTGAGGAGAAGGCTGATGGCTTGAGAAGCAATGGTTTCATCAGGAATGTTGAGGCAAATCTCCCACAGATAGTCCAATCCTAACAGCTCACACTTTTCTACAACCTGAAACAGACACAACCCCATATTGTCATGGCAACACTTCCATGTGTAACACACAAACATAGAAGAAGCTTCATCCCTACAGGTCGAGTCATAGGTGGTAGATGACCATCAAAACAGTATACATGCTCTGCCTACCTAACACAATCTACGTTGCACGTTTCAGAGTTTAAAAAAAGATTAATATAGAAGTTATTTATGATTCATAGTGTAAAAAAAGATTTATTGAGTATAAATGTGCTTTAAAAAAAAACACATGTCCCTTCAGCGAATTCAGGTGAATAAACAGGTATAACAAACTTGGACAATAAACGTATGAAATTTGACATAAAACATCACTAGACATGATGAATTACCATTCAAAATGTATTTCCTGCTCTCCAAGACATTGTTTTATATGCAGAGATTAAGATTACCGGCTGTATTTTCTCATAAACTAAGCCGGATTAAGCAATCAGCTGTGCACACGTTTCCTCCCAATCTTGCAGTGATTCAGTTAAAAAGTACCCAATGATACAACTTCAAAGAATTTTGATGCAATGGTCAGACGATTCGAACCCACAATCATAGGTTTCTGGCGTGCTCAAGGGATGCAACTCTGCACAGTGAATCGCGGCGTCTTAGATGACTAGGCCACCCGTGCCCCCATTTCAATTGCGAAAACGGTATGTTGACATTTAATAGTCAACCTTCCTCAAATATGACTTTTAGCGAGTCATGGTACGGGATTAATGATATGTCTATCCATTCTCTTGCAACTAAAGATTATTTGAAGGCGGCAATAGCAGTAATCTGACCGTGTTTGCTGTAAATAGCGGCGAGTTGTGCCATCTACCAATCACTTCACATACGATTTCGCCGAAATTATTGTGAACATTTTTATAATTATTGAATGAAATTTTGGAAGCCATTCTTTACTGCGCACTATAACCAAGTTAGGGCTATACTGAAGAGCACTATAACCGAGTTAGGGCTATACTGAAGAGCACTATAACCGAGTAAGCGCTATACTGAAGAGCACTATAACTGAGTTAGCGCTATTCTGAAGAGCACTATAACCCAGTTAGCGCTATACTGAAGGGCACTATAACTGAGTTAGCGCTATACTGAAGAGCACTATAACTGAGTTAGCGCTCTATTGAAGAGCATAATAATGAGGGTACACTGTGTAAGCTAATTCCTAACTATTCTGATATCTGCTATCATCCCCAAACGAAGCATTCACTACATAGGTCTAGTTATTTAAAGTCATACACAAAAAGTGCTGAATATACATGTAAAGCCCATAAATACACCATAAAGCAATAGAAAATAATGCCATGGGCTCTGTAGCTCACCTGGCACAAACTGATACAAACTTACAAAATTTGTTGAAACACTAACCATACTAACCACACAAAACACATATAAGAGTTCTGTTTGGCCAAATTGGATGGCAACACAAGAGGAAGGAAGATTAATGGCCTTAACATCCCAGCAAATTTCACATTCCCAGCGGCTCATGTTTGTGAAGAAGCCAAAATTGACAACTCATTAGACTACACTACACTGCGGGCCAGATATGCTAAACTTGATTTACACATATCTGGGGGTGCCAAGTCCCAACCCCTCCAGCTACCTTAATAACAAAGACACATGCACTTCCTGATAAATGATCTTGACCCTCAAATTCAGCCAATCACATGCTTCATTATTTTGTAGTTGAAACATGGGTTTTAGCTCTTACAAACATATCATACAAACACAGGAATTGGTTCAGTCCACAAAAGAAAAACTACCTTGTCAATGACCATTCCAGTGATCCTGACCCTAATAAAGGTCCCCCAAAAGCTTACTGTGCCAGTTTAGCACCCATTCAAAGACACTTTAACGTCTACCCTCAGTGTGCTATGTTTTATTTCACACAGTAAACAAGTCTTGAGTTATTTTGATTATATGATAATACATTTTTAGTGAATGACCCTGAGAGTGAATTGAATCTTCCATTTCATTTGCGAATATTTTAAGAACATACTAAAGGGCTATCCAGCATATAACCCAAATATATTGTCTCCAGGTGGAACTCACTGTAATAAACCTATGCTATTCATTGAAAGACTTAATAAATATTGGCAGAAAAGGGCATTTTAGTTTAAAATTGTAGTTAAAATGGCAAACGTTCTTAATAAATAGCCTTCACCTTGAGGATAGCCTTGACCCTTGACATAACTTATCAATGTAAAACATAGCCACTTCATGTAAAAGACTTAAAAACGACCTTTTCCAATCTCTGCCCCTGCAGCCAAAGCAATGGCTGTTTGGGCTTTATTTACCATATATTTGCTTTACACTGATACATGCAGAAATGGCTGCATAATGGGCAATATCAATACTTTCTATCAGCGACAAATGTGGTCATGTTTGAAATCGGATTGGAATTCTGCGAGCACCTATAAGAGACACAATAGGTGAGATCATTCTTGCAAAGTTTCAGCTTCACAGACCACAACACAAGCTCATTTCACTTTCAATTAGGTGAATAACTAATAAAAAAAACTAAAATATTAAAAAATGTTTTGAATTTCATGTTTTATTAATTATGTTATTCATTTAACTTACAACACTATTGAAATACCAAGCCATACAAAACCTCTACACTTGCTAACTTCCATACCAGTATCATTAACATGTTGTAAATTTGCACACGACATACTCACCAGAGCATTACCAGATCGCTTCAACTTGTGCTCATACAAATTGACACTCTCAAAGAAATTCTTGAAACATGTAAATCCTGAAAAATATAGAAAATTACATGAATTTAGATATTCATGATATTAGTATAGTTATCCTGACGATAAGATAAGATAACGAGAACCCCATAACTTGGGGATACTAATATCATGAATATCTAAACTTATGTAAATCAATTCTTATCCTGACACAACACACTGCAATATTTATCCCACAGATGGCAGCAGGGTCTGCAGCTTGAGGTATTGGTAACCAGCTTCAGATTACATCTGGATTAGACTGTGCCAGCACCCTCTTCGCTAAATCTGTATCACCTGTCCCATCCTTAGTCTAACGTGTCAAGTATACCTGTGTGTCTTCCGATACATGACAAGTTGTAGCACATAACAACCATAGCCCAACAATCCCTCAGAATCTATATTGTGACAGGATGAGTCACTCAGAATCTATATTGTGACAGGATGAGTCACTCAGAATCTATATTGTGACAGGATGAGTCACTCAGAATCTATATTGTGACAGGATGAGTCAATATGACAATATTTACATTAAATGACACACTAAAAAAATCCTGTCAACACACAGTGGTGACATGTCCATGACACAGAGCACAATCTAAATTCTTCAGAGAATATTTATTCCTGAATGATATTCCTACAGCATCATTGTCTGTGATGCAAACGTGGAAAATCTGTGACAGGGTGCCGAAGCTGATGAACCCCCTCTACACCTTCCACAGAGAGATCCCCCAGATAGTAGTTGGTAAAGGTAGAGTCCGTTTGCCAAAAGCATCCCTTGGTGACATCACCCACTGAACAACTTGTTTGCGAATCCAAACCTGCATTTTGATACCCTGCAGATACCCAGTCTTTAATCTGCCACCAAGAGAGAATTTATTTTGACAATCGGTGATGGCAGCACCTGGGAAAATGCCAGTACAGGAGCTAATGTCTTCAAATATCCAGAGAGCCATAGAAAGTGTAGCAGTCACTGGAACTAACAGTTGCCAGTGTAGTAACCGCAGATAGAGAGGCGACAACTGCAAAAACACATAAGTCGACACGCATCACCCATTCACGGTATATTATCATAGCAGCCCTGGATGGAGAAGAATGGTTATGCTGATCCAAGGGTGCTGTTGTCTCTCCAAACAGTGGGATCCCACACCGAAATAGGCTGTTTCAAAAGTCAGCTCCAGATGGCGCCTTTAATATGGTTTCAGAGTTTTATAAATTGACCTGGACTTTCAGTTCATGGGAGCTAACAAGGCCTTTAACCTTTAGCCTGCTGAATTATTTTCACACTTCTTACCCCTGCCTGCTGGATTAATTTTAGCATAAGGCGCTCTAAAGAGGGTGGGTGATTTCAAACAGTCGGTGCCTCATTAAACAAGGGCCAATTGAAGAAATATTTTGCACATTTATTCCTTATAGAAAACTACACAGTACTATATAAAAATATCCCGATGTTTTCAATCATACCAAGGTTAAGACCAAAGCGAACACAAAATTTGTAAATTTTCTTGAACTTACCTGAATTGCGTTATTGAAGGTGGTTTGCATTTCATGCTAGGAACCTTTTAATATCGTAACATTTGTGCAAATTGATTTCAATAATCATATCTCCGATATCTTAATTTTAATTGAGTAAAGATTCGGGGGTTTTTTATCAGCAAATAACAGCGCGATGGTAAATTAGGAACCATTTCAGTGAATTTATTATCTAAACGTTAAACAGAAAAATAACTTAATTTTCGAGGTCATCATGTCGGTTGCAGAAATACGAATATTCGGGTTAATCTGACGGGGTGCAGGCTAAAACGGCACCTCAGCAAAACGTCACCGATTTCTCTGGCGAAAACGGCACCGCATTTGGCGAAAACGGCTACTATGTGTCGGGCGAAAACGGCACCTCTATTTTTAATAACGATAACAACGATTTTTGTGGTAATATATATGGTTTATTTACATGGTATTTGATGTATAGAGTACATCTGAAGCCGTAATGTGAATTTCCGATAGGTTTGGTACTCTCATTTCTTCAGCATCTTCTGACTGGAAACTGACATCAAAGTTACCGATCACCTCTTCAATGACGGTAGTTTCGCATTTCACACAGCGCAAAAGGGAAGTCAGTCCGGCAAATTTCTCTATAACGGGCCATAGAAAGTCCGGTTCCACATACACGATGGGTCCACTGGTCACAGTTATCACATGATACAGCATGTTGATTTTTTTTCTGACATTCTTCTCGCATGCAACACATCGAAAGGCCATTGTGAATAATTGTGATCTGACAGCACCATGTTAGGCCTCTAAAATACAGTTTCAGTTTAAATTGAGTAAAGGTACTTAAAACTTCAAAGCGTATAGTGAATAAAAGTCGGTGAGTAAATTGGAGTAGGGGGCTAATTTCTTATTTGTTTTATTTCACAATTATTTGTGTTTGTAAGAGACGATGTGAGTTTAATTTCTATTATCTTTCGTCAAAGCATGTTATGTTTTCACCATAAGTTGAGTTGCGTATAAGCTAAGTTGGATTATAGTTGGAGCAGAGGCTAATTTCTAATGTAAACTTGTTTTAACATCTCACAATTATTGGCCTTTGCAAGTTACAATGTAAGTTTAATATCATTTATTTGACCAAGGTAAAAAAAATAAGGTGCCGTAATCGCTCGAGTCGAGGTGCCGTTTTCGCTTGAGTCGAGGTGCTGTTTTCGCCAATCGGTGCCGTTTTCGCCCGGTGACGTTTTGCTGAGGTGCCGTTTTCGCTATAACCCAAAGTGGGTGCAGGCTAAAACGGCACCTCAGCAAAACGTCACCGATTTCTCTGGCGAAAACGGCACCGCATTTGGCGAAAACGGCTACTATGAGTCGGGCGAAAACGGCACCTCTATTTTTAATAACGATAACAACGATTGTAGACATTCTCTGGTATGTCGGCAAAAGGGGGCTCCAGCATGGTGACATCTCTTATTGAACTAAAAAAAATAATAAAAAAATATAATAATATATTACTATATATGAATTATTGGTATTATTATTATTATTATTATTATTATTATTATTATTATTATTATTATTATTATTTCATTTTTGTGTGGCAAATACTTTGAAATGAAATAGTTACTTGTTACGGTCGTCTTCGTCTTCTAAGAGCAAATCTGAAGACGTAATGTGGATTTCAGATAGGTTGGGGACTCTCATTTCATCAGCATCTTCTGACTGGAAACTGATATCAAAGTTGCCGATCACCTCTTCAATGACGGGACATTTTACACAGCGGAAAGGGAAGTCTTCTTCATTCCGGCAAATTTCTCTGTAACGAGCCACAGAAAGTCCTGTTCCACATACTCGATGGGTCCACTGGTCACAGTTATCACATGATACGGCATGTTGATTTCTTCTGACAGTCTTCTTGCATGCAACACATCGTAAGGCCATTGTGAATAATTGTGATCTGACAGCATCATGTTTGGCCTCTTAAATACAGTTTCAGCTTAAATTGAGTATTGGTACTTAAAACTTCAAAGCGTATAGTGTTTTCACAATAAGTTAACTACGCCTCCCAATCGGAGTCGGTGAGTAAATTGGAGTAGGGGGCTAATTTCTTATTTGTTTTATTTCACAATTATTTGTGTTTGTAAGAGACGATGTGAGTTTAATTTCTATTACCGTATATGACTGCGGATAAGCCGACCCCGTAGATAAGCCGAGGTGTTAATTTGACCATTGAAATACGAAAGAAAATGATATGACCCGCAGATAAGCCGAATCAGGAATTGAAAGACAAAAAACACTGCGAAGTCGGACTGAAAGACATGTGCCGGTACTCGCAGATATTAAAAAATATAAGATGAAAAACGTCATTTTTATTTCTAATAAAGATTTAACAAACCAGTCATCCACTTTCATAATGTGGGAAGCTGTTTCTCGTGGTTTTTTTTAATCCCATTATGATCGTTATATGTTGCCATCAACAACCAAGTGCCATTTTGTGAGTCGGTGTATATAGAATTATGAACCCGTGAGAAAATATATCAGCTGGAGCGAAGACTCGCAGTTTGAATTCAGCATCGTAAGCATGGCGTTTTCGTTTAAAACTCATGATGAAAACGTCAGTTCGTAGAAATATACCAACTTTTATAACCCCCTTTACACCACTATTGTATGTTAATCCAATTGAATTAAATAAACTATCATACTATGAACACATTGAATGACCATCACTTACTCACAGGCTTTTCCAGTTTATTAAACTAATCTCTCGAAAACAAAGGAATTAAGCCCCTACTCCCAACACGATCGCTAAGCACCCACAACTTGAAAATGTTTGTGTAAACAACCTGACAATACCAATCGGCCCGTTATTATCAATGCTCATTTCCTTGTGTACCGTGTTGCTTTAAACAACAGGAAGCAATCACAGTGGTCACCGTTTGTGACGTCACAGGAAACAGCTGATCACATGTTTTTGCAAATGGCGAACGGAATAACTAGCCAATACAGTTGTTTATTTGCCTCTTTCAATAAAGGTAGACACTTGTTCACTATCAATTTATGAACTTTGCAAAACGTATGTAATAGCTATTGGCGATTTTATCTGGGGATTATATATTATAGCTGTGAATTACATATATTGTTACATGTAAAGATTGTGGAGTTTACGGAGAACGATAAACTTTGAACATTCAATTGAAAACTTATTATCGGAAGTAGTAACATGCATAACATTTTTTTAATAATGACAACATTGGTGTATAATAATATCTTTATTGATAATTTATAACAATAATGGCTCTAGTCGTGGCAACTTCCAAACTTTCGGGAAGTTGTAATCTATCGGACCGTCATTCAGGCGATGTTTCTGACAGATCACGATCTGAAAAATACTATCATGAAAGTGTATCCCGTGGATAAGCCGACCCCTTTCTACAGAATCTTTTTTCTGGTCCTCAAAATTCGGCTTATACGCGGTCATATACGGTATTTTTCTTCAAAGCATGTTATGTTTTCACAATAAGTTGAGTTGCGTATAAGCTAAGTTGGATTATAGTTGGAGTAGAGGCTAATATCTAATGTAAACTTGTTTTAACATCTCACAATTATTGGCGCTTGCAAGTTACAATGTAAGTTTAATATCATTTATTGACAAAGGTAAAAAAAAATAATAAGGTGCCGTTTTAGCTCGAGTCGAGGTGCCGTTTTCGCCAATCGGTGCCGTTTTCGCCAATCGGTGCCGTTTTGCTGAGGTGCCGTTTTCGCTATAACCCCCAAAAGTCAACAATGGCCGTTTCTGGTAGTTGTGTGCCGAGAAGTTTGGCCGAAACATTTTTAACTCGCGATATTTTCTTTTTGAGGTAAATAAATGACTGAACGTTTTGATATTGAGCAAGCTGAGGATTTATGCATGTCATACGTAATTTAAATGTTACGCAAAGCCTTCTTGGTAAATAGATATGGCGAGTTTTATTTCGGGGTGTTGTTATGCTATTCGCCTGTCGAATGGGTTCGACATCAGATGCACGGGGATGGACACCTCTGTCGAATGGGTTCGACGTTAGCGTGCAGAGCTTTAAAGAATGCATCTAAAACATCTCATGACAATTAATAATATATATTGATTATTTGGATACTGGCCTCTCTAAGGATTTAGTATTTAATTTCTAATAACATCAGGTTTTGGTAAATATCAGCATAAACACACAAAGTACACAGCAGTTAGAATTCTCACCCTTTTCACTTAGTTTTGCTGGATCGAGACGCAGGATCTCTTTCTGGAAGAGTTGGTTTTGTGTTTCTGCCTCCAGATCTGTTATCCCCTTACTGAACCACTCATAGCATGTCTGCAACCAAGCACACAGAGTACTTCACAAACTTACTTCAAATTGTCATACTTCCAGTGACGAGGACTCGAGATGACATACATGATACATAATCCATAAACCTAAAAGTGCAGTCAACTGTATTTAGAAAAGTCTGGAATATTGCCAAGGTATTACTCAGTAATTGTCATCAAGTATACTGTTGGGTATCATTGCCAGGGAATCTTGAAGTCAATACTACCAACATATACTTGACTTCTCCAGTGGTGTTTCAACCTGAGTGAGTTTATGTGATATAATATGGATGTTGTTTCAAAGGCAATGCATCACTTTAATCTTTATCATGACTAACTAGGCTGATATGACCAGGTACATCTGGAAACAAATGGACAAACTTGTGAAGTAAATCTGACAACTGGTTTGTTTTTTGTGTGTAAGGTGAGTTAACTTCACATCAACATTATTTAGAATGTTTAAGCCTTGGGGTAGCCTCCTCACCCATATCATCACACCTAACATGCTCACTGGTAAATTTAGAATTGCATTCATCTAATACAGATTCAACAGGAAATCAGAAGCAATACCTTTTGGTGGCACATTTTCAGACCTGTCTTGATATTTCTTTATCACATATTCAGATGACACAACATTTTTTACTGTCTGACATTCAACTCATACAAGACCTGACCCCAACAAGAAATTGGACCCTTGATCAGACTAAATTACTTTGATTAGGGAAGTCGACCACGGTGAAAAATGTGATTTTCCTCCATGGAATGGCTTCTGGACATCTGGTTTAGTGCATATTGTCAACAAATACCAATTACCAGACTTGGCTTTAGACAAGTGACCACCACAGTCAATAATGACCCGACTGAAGGGCTCTCCAAATGCTGGTTTTGCAATTTTCAGTTCATTGTTGTTCAAGAGTTTTAGAATATACGCTTATTCCTCAGTAATGGTAGACATAGGACAAAAATACTGCAGCTAACTTAGTGTTGGGTACTTATAGATGAGAAGTACCTCAGTCCTGGTGACTGCAAGCTTCTCTCATTTAAGGATGTCCGCTGGTTTGTATCCAGAGTACATAACTTCTTAATGTCTTTCACTACTTGACTTTTAGTCAATGAAACTCAGCAGTACTGATTCAGTTTGGCTAAAGATTGACTCCTGATATGTGAACAAATCATACAGACATCATAGAGCTAGATCTTTGCAAGATGAAGGCATAAACAAAACAGGCTCATTCCTCTACAACACTGCAGTAGATATTTAGCATACATTATCATGAGTATCCATGCATAAACTAAAACATCTGCTCAAGCAGTTAACCATCTGATTGAAGTGAGGGCACAACGTCATAACACAATAATGTCTTTCGACTCAATATGAATATATCAATACAGTCAATAACCTGTGAAGCCAACAATAGTTGAAGTATGGAGCTACTGTGGTGAAAGAACAAATGCTACAGTCATAACATGATAAGGTCCAGGTCGTCTGTCTGGAAGTAATACAGCTGGCAGGGAACTTACTTCTCTCTCCCAGTCACAGGCCCGAGGGTTGGCAACCATGGTGGTCCAGATATCACGTGCCTTGCTCCATGGCAGGTACAGAACTCCTTCCTGGAGAACGTACTGCAGGAAGTACAGGTGTGTTGACATGTACTGAAATAACATGCACAGATGATAGGTCTAGTCCAAAACACTACATAACTCTTACATGTCAACCTACAGGAACAACATCAAAGATTAAAGAGCCATCAAGCTCTGTATGTCACCTGAATTTAAGGACATTTACAGCACCTGAGATCAAATTATTAATTTTCTCAAAATCCAGTCCTCCTACTTACATCAGCATGTGTGTATCTGCCATCCACTACTGAGTTCTCCTGAAGTGGCTGACCATCACCAACCATGGCAGTTGCATTCTTGTGACACTTGACTAAACTGCTGCTCACCAGCTTGATGACGTCACAGTTCTTGTTAAGTTCATGTATGACACCCTGTAAACAGCCAAGCAAATACATGTAATAACATACTGTATGTCATAAGGGTGACAGATCTAGCAGTCTGTGCCAAAAACATTTGAGTGTACTATCCTGGCTCTAGTGGAGTATAGTGTAGTCATATGGACTATTGATTATATCTGTGCTTACAAGACTGAACAGAATTTTATTAGACTAGACTTCAAACTAGTGACACTGTTAGTTAAAGGTATACCATACAGACAGGTTGGCAGGTAATGAGGTATATCGTATCACACAGAGTGACAGGTGTAGTATGTCACACGGATTAGAATATATCACAGAGTGACAGGTACAGTACATCAAACACACACAGTCACAGGTACAGCAAAACACACAGACAGTCACAGACATAGCATATCACACAGACAGAGACAGGTATAGCATATCACAAAGAGACAGTGACAGGTATAGCATATCACACTGAGACAGTGACAGGTACAGCATATCACACAGACAGTCACAGGTATAGCAAAACACACAGACAGTGACAGCTATAGCATATCACACAGACAGAGACAGGTATAGCATATCACAAAGAGACAGTGACAGGTATAGCATATCACACTGAGACAGTGACAGGTACAGCATATCACACAGACAGTGACAGGTATAGCATATCACACAGACAGTGACAGGTATAGCATATCACAAAGAGACAGTCACAGGTATAGCATATCACACAGAGACAGTGACAGGTACAGCATATCACACAGACAGTGACAGGTATAGCATATCACACAGACAGTGACAGGTACAGCATATCACAAAGAGACAGTGACAGGTAAAGCATATCACACAGAGACAGTGACAGGTATAGCATATCACACTGAGACAGTGACAGGTATAGCATATCACACAGACAGTGACAGGTACAGCATATCACACAGACAGTGACAGGTATAGCATATCACACAGAGACAGTGACAGGTATAGCATATCACACAGAGACAGTGACAGGCATAGCATATCACACAGAGACAGTGACAGGTATAGCATATCACACAGAGACAGTGACAGGTAAAGCATATCACACAGACAGAGTGACAGGTACAACATATCACACAGACAGTGACAGGTATAGCATATCACACAAACAGTGACAGGTAAAGCATAACACACAGACAGTGACAGGTATAGCATATCACACAAACAGGGACAGGTATAGCATATCACACAGACAGAGACAGGTATGGTATCTCACAAAGACAGAGACAGGAATGGTATCTCACAAAGACAGAGACAGGTATTGTATCTCACAAAGTCAGAGACAGGTATTGTATCTCACACAGACAGTGACAGGTACAGCATATCACACAGACAGTGACAGGTATAGCATATCACACAGAGACAGTGACAGGTATAGCATATCACACAGAGACAGTGACAGGTTTAGCATATCACACAGAGACAGTGACAGGTAAAGCATATCACACAGACACAGTGACAGGTACAACATATCACACAGACAGTGACAGGTATAGCATATCACACAGACAGTGACAGGTATAGCATATCACACAGAGACAGTGACAGGTATAGCATATCACACAGAGACAGTGACAGGTATAGCATATCACACAGAGACAGTGACAGGTAAAGCATATCACACAGACACAGTGACAGGTACAACATATCACACAGACAGTGACAGGTATAGCATATCACACAGACAGTGACAGGTATAGCATATCACACAGAGACAGTGACAGGTATAGCATATCACACAGAGACAGTGACAGGTATAGCATATCACACAGAGACAGTGACAGGTATAGCATATCACACAGAGACAGTGACAGGTAAAGCATATCACACAGACAGAGTGACAGGTACAACATATCACACAGACAGTGACAGGTATAGCATATCACACAAACAGTGACAGGTATAGCATAACACACAGACAGTGACAGGTATAGCATATCACAAAAACAGTGACAGGTATAGCATATCACACAGACAGAGACAGGTATGGTATCTCACAAAGACAGAGACAGGAATGGTATCTCACAAAGACAGAGACATGTATTGTATCTCACAAAGTCAGAGACAGGTATTGTATCTCACACAGACAGTGACAGGTACAGCATATCACACAGACAGTGACAGGTATAGCATATCACACAGAGACAGTGACAGGTATAGCATATCACACAGAGACAGTGACAGGTATGGCATATCACACAGACAGTGACAGGTATAGCATATCACACAGAGACAGTGACAGGTATAGCATATCACACAGACAGTGACAGGTATAGCATATCACACAGAGACAGTGACAGGTATAGCATATCAACAGAGACAGTGACAGGTAAAACATATCACACAGAGACAGTGACAGGTAAAGCATATCACACAAACAGTGACAGGTAAAGCATATCACACAGACAGTGACAGGTATAGCATATCACACAAACAGTGACAGGTATAGCATATCACACAGACAGAGACAGGTATGGTATCTCACAAAGACAGAGACAGGTATAGTATCTCACACAGGGACAGGTATAGTACCTCACACAGACAGTGATGGGTATGGTATCTCACACAGACAGTTACAGATATGGTATCTCACACAGACAGTTACAGGTATAGTATCTCACACAGAAAGTGACAGGTATAGTATCTCACACAGACAGTTACAGGTATAGTATCTCACACAGGGACAGGTATAGTATCTGACACAGACAGAAAGGTATAGTATCTCACACAGAAAGTGACAGGTATAGTATCTCACACAGACAGAGACAGGTATAGTATCTCACACAGACAGAGACAGGTATAGTATCTCACACAGACAGAGACAGGTATAGTATCTCACACAGGGACAGGTATAGTATCTCACACAGAAAGTGACAGGTATAGTATCTCACACAGGGACAGGTATAGTACCTCACACAGACAGTGACGGGTATGGTATCTCACACAGAGAGTGACAGGTACGGTATCTCACACAGACAGTTACAGGTATTGTATCTCACACAGACAGAGACAAGTATGGTTTCTCACACAGACAGAGACAGGTATAGTATCTCACACAGAAAGTGACAGGTATAGTATCTCACACAGGGACAGGTATAGTACCTCACACAGACAGTGACGGGTATGGTATCTCACACAGACAGTGACAGGTACGGTATCTCACACAGACAGTTACAGGTATGGTATCGCACACAGACAGTGACAACATTTCACACAGACAGTGACAGGTATTGTATCTCACACAGACAGAGACAGGTATGGTATCTCACACAGACAGTTACAGGTATAGTATCTCACACAGACAGTGACAACATTTCACACAGACAGAGGCAGGTATAGTATCTCACACAGACAGTTACATATATGGTATCTCACACAGACAGAGACAGGTATAGTATCTCACAAAGACTGTGACAGGTATAGCATATCACACAGACAGTGACAGGTACAACATTCCACACAGACAGCGACAGGTATTGTATCTAACACAGACAGACAGGTATTGTATCTCACACAGACAGACAGGTATTGTATCTCACACAGACAGTTACAGGTATTGTATCTCACACAGACAGTTACAGGTATGGTATTTCACAAAGACAGTTACAGATATGGTATCTCACACAGACAGTTACAGGTATGGTATCTCACACAGCCAGTTACAGGTATGGTATCTCACACAGACAGTTACAGGTATTGTATCTCACACAGACAGAGACAGGTATTGTACCTCACACAGACAGAGACAGGTATTGTATCTCACACAGACAGTTACAGGTATTGTATCTCACACAGACAGAGACAGGTATTGTACCTCACACAGACAGAGACAGGTATTGTATCTCACACAGACGGTGCCAGTAATGGTATCTCACAAAGACAGAGACAGGTATGGCATCTCACACAGACAGAAACAGGTATTGTATCTCACACAGACAGAGATAGGTATTGTATCTCACACAGACAGAGAAAGGTATGGTATCTCACACAGACAGTTACAGGTATTGTATCTCACACAGACAGAGACAGGTATAGTATCTCACACAGACAGAGACAGGTATAGTATCTCACACAGAAAGTGACAGGTATAGTATCTCACACAGGGACAGGTATAGTACCTCACACAGACAGTGACCGGTATGGTATCTCACACAGACAGTTGCAGGTATAGTATCCTGCACAGAAAGTGACAGGTAAAACATATCACACAGACAGTGACAGGTACAACATTTCACACATACAGTGACAGGTCTTGTATGTCACACAGACAGAGACAGGTAGTGTATCTCACACAGACAGAGACAGGTATAGTATCTTACACAGACAGAGACAGGTATAGTACCTCAGACAGTGACAGGTATTGTATCTCACACAGACAGAGACAGGTATAGTATCTCACACAGACAGAGACAGGTATAGTATCTCACACAGACAGAGACAGGTATAGTATCTCACACAGGGACAGGTATAGTATCTCTCACAGAAAGTGACAGGTATAGTATCTCACACAGGGACAGGTATAGTACCTCACACAGACAGTGATGGGTATAGTATCTCACACAGACAGAGACAGGTATAGTTTCTTACACAGACAGTTACAGGTATAGTATCTCACACAGGGACAGGTATAGTACCTCACACAGACAGTGATGGGTATGGTATCTCACACAGACAGTTACAGATATGGTATCTCACACAGACAGTTACAGGTATAGTATCTCACACAGAAAGTGACAGGTATAGTATCTCACACAGAAAGTGACAGGTATAGTATCTGACACAGACAGTTACAGGTATAGTATCTCACACAGGGACAGGTATAGTATCTGACACAGACAGAAAGGTATAGTATCTCACACAGAAAGTGACAGGTATAGTATCTCACACAGACAGAGACAGGTATAGTATCTCACACAGACAGAGACAGGTATAGTATCTCACACAGACAGAGACAGGTATAGTATCTCACACAGACAGAGACAGGTATAGTATCTCACACAGGGACAGGTATAGTATCTCACACAGAGAGTGACAGGTATAGTATCTCACACAGGGACAGGTATAGTACCTCACACAGAGAGTGACAGGTACGGTATCTCACACAGACAGTTACAGGTATTGTATCTCACACAGACAGAGACAAGTATGGTTTCTCACACAGACAGAGACAGGTATAGTATCTCACACAGAAAGTGACAGGTATAGTATCTCACACAGGGACAGGTATAGTACCTCACACAGACAGTGACGGGTATGGTATCTCACACAGACAGTGACAGGTACGGTATCTCACACAGACAGTTACAGGTATGGTATCTCACACAGACAGTGACAACATTTCACACAGACAGTGACAGGTATGGTATCTCACACAGACAGTTACAGGTATAGTATCTCAGACAGTGATAGGTACGGTATCTCACACAGACAGTTACAGGTATGGTATCTCACACAGACAGTGACAACATTTCACAAAGACAGAGGCAGGTATAGTATCTCACACAGACAGTTACATATATGGTATCTCACACAGACAGAGACAGGTATAGTATCTCACAAAGACTGTGACAGGTATAGCATATCACACAGACAGTGACAGGTACAACATTCCACACAGACAGTGACAGGTATTGTATCTCACACAGACAGACAGGTATTGTATCTCACACAGACAGACAGGTATTGTATCTCACACAGACAGTTACAGGTATTGTATCTCACACAGACAGTTACAGGTATGGTATTTCACAAAGACAGTTACAGATATGGTATCTCACACAGACAGAGACAGGTATTGTATCTCACACAGACAGACAGGTATGGTATCTCACACAGACAGTTACAGATATTGTATCTCACACAGACAGTTACAGTTATTGTATCTCACACAGACAGTTACAGGTATTGTATCTCACAAAGACAGTTACAGGTATTGTATCTCACAAAGACAGTTACAGATATGGTATCTCACACAGACAGAGACAGGTATTGTATCTCACACACAAAATGACAGGTATAGTGTCTCACACAGGGACAGGTATAGTACCTCACACAGTCAGTGATTGGTATGGTATCTCACACAGACAGAGACACGTATAGTATTTCACACAGACAGTTACAGGTATGGTACCTCACACAGAAAGTTACAGGTATAGTATCTCACACAGAAAGTGACAGGTAAAACCTTTCACACAGACAGAGACAGGTATGGTGTCTCACACAGACAGAGACAGGTATGGTATCTCACACAGACATTGACAGGTATAGCCTATATCACACAGATTAAGAGGTATAATATCTCACACGGACAGTGACAGGTATAGACTATATCACACAGATTGAGAGGTATCATATCTCACGTAGACAGTGATGGGTGAAAGCACACAAGAAAGGTTTCAGTTCAGTTAAAGAAGGGAAGCTTGAAAAGGTGAGTCTTTACTTGGGGCTTAAAGATCTGGAAAGTTGGAGAAACTTTAGTTCAAGTGGGAGACTGTTCCACACAGCTGCAGTGGCAAAGGAAAAGGAGAAATGGCCACAGCTGACAGTCAGGTATAGCACATCACATAGACTTCATTCAACACACATGTTCAGCATGTCTTGGCCAGACTGAGGTAGTATGGTTTTATGCCGCTTTTAGCAATATTCCAGCAATGTCACGGCGGGGAACACCAGAAATGGGCTTCACACATTGTACCCATGTCGGGAATCGAACCTGAGTCTTCGGCGTGACAAGCGGACGCTTTAACCACTAGGCTACCCAACCGCCCCTGTCTTGGCCAGAGTGTTCTTCAGTGTCACAAAGAGCAGGATATGATAATACAACTTACCTTATCAGCCTTGTGGAAGCTCTGCTTGATGATATTCTTACTGATGTTGATGAGCTGCCGTAATGCTGGCAAGACAAACGCCCCCTGATGAGACAACAAAAAGAATGTGAGTAGACGACCAAGGAAACACTTTGTGCAACATCAGAACAGGAAGTTCCAGCCGACAAAATCCTATGAAAACTTATCTACCTGTGTGGGTTCTATGGCCACCTCAACACGAGATAAACAAAGGTTGTTTTTGACAAATGACAGAACCAAACTCAAAATTAGGTGTCAATAAACTGATTACAGGAAACAAAAAAGATGACATGCTAACCTGACGTCTTTGCACATAGAATGCATGTGCACTGTTTGATGGATCTGCACAGTTTCAGCATGCATACATTACCATGTGTTTATCACTTGAAAACAGCTCAACTTCAAATGAGCATTAAAAATCGGGGTAGGGCTATTGCCTGACTTCAACATGGCCTCACACAGAGAAATTTGGCTCAGAGAATAAATATCATTAGCAGGTGATGACAATACTTCTAATTTACCAATGCTGTCGAAAACTGCCCCTGTTCTGGTTGGCCCATCAACTGCCGCATCGTTTGACCCATAACTTGTTTTTTTGGTTTGATGCCCCACTCAGCAATATTCCTACTATATGATGGTAATCCAGATCATACAATCTTGTGATTGACATCGTGTGCATCATGACATCCATGCAATCGGAATATGATGACATGCAATCAACAGAGTCTCTGAACCTGAAAAACTAATCACTTAGTCGCCTTTTACAACAAACTAGGAATCCCCATGCTTTCAATAGTGGTTTTTAGTCATTTACTTAACATGTTTTGACTGGAATATATCACTTAAGACTTTACATGGCGCAATTTAGTGTCTTGGGAAATCCACTGAGAAAGAATTCAAGTTACAACTTAAATTTCCTTTCGGTTACACAATTTTCATTCAGTTAGTTATCAATATATAGGAATTTATAATCAGATTGACACGACTGGCTGAAAAGTTTAGAGCCTAACTATGATGGACTGTGTTGATGGAGCTCGCTGCTGTATTGCAACATAATCCCCTCAAAGTCCACAGACTTCTAACAATGCTAAAGTGCCTGGATCCCTCTGGAGTATAAGGCTTCCTCATGGTAGTGTAATAAGTCCTCCACTCAGAAATTATATAAAATTGCACAATGCTTGCACAGTTGTTTTTTTCAAGTTTGGGACAAGGTGGAAATCTGATGGTGTCAAATCTGGTGAATACAGAGGATGCTCAATGAGTTGACAGCCACAGTCATACATTGTAGCCATGGGGACAACAGACTTGTGCACAGGTGCATTATCCTAATGGAACACACCTGAAGTGAGTTGTCCACAATGTTTATTTAGCCTTGATATTCTTAGGCAGTTGCCAAGGCAGATAAGCATAATATTGGCCATTAATGGTCTGACCTTTGGAGAGGTAGTGCACAAGTAGGATTCCTTTGGAACCCAAGAAAATCAAAGTCACCACCTTGCCAACTGGAACAGACTTTGCCTTCTTTGTTGGAGGTTATGTTAGATATTTCCACAGCTTTGACTGGTTTCTCGTGTAGTCTCTGGCTCATATTGGTGAACCCAAGACTCATCCATAGTTCATAATCACTCAACAAAAGCAGCTGGGTTTGCTCCAAAACTATGTAGATTCTCAAAAGAGATGATAGACCTGAGTATTAATTATGAGGAGTCAGAAACCTTGGAAGCCAGCATACTGAAACCTTTGTCATGTCCATTTCATTCCTCAAAATATTCGTAACTCTCCAATTTCAGATGCCTACTGTATTGGCTATGTGTGGTCCATCATCCATAATCAAATCATGTATTTTATCAATATTTTCCTCAAAGGTGAAAGCTGAAGGTCTTCATGAACTTGGATCATCCTCGAGGCTCTTTTCCGTTCTTGAACTCCACTACCCATGTTTTAATGGTGGAGGAGCATCATCCCCTAAAGAGGGTCATGTCTGCAAGTATGGCTGTTGGAGTTGGTCCATTCAGTTGGAGCTCCTTCATGACAGCATGGTAGCCAATTTTGTCCATTTTCACCAACAAAGAATACCTAGTCACTTTAATGTCTGCAGAAATATACTGCGTGGAAGTGTATTTGCTTCATATGCAGCCTTTAACATGGAAAGTATTATTCTCAACACATGCAAACTGTTCAGGATGCACTTTACATCACAACATTTTAAAATATAAAGAAACAAGACAACAGTTTTATCACAATCCCCCGCCATGGGGGCACATGAGAATTTTGTATGTTCATATAGTAGTGAATATAAACAATAAGAAGTGATAAACACTAAGTCTTGGGTCTTGGGTCTTGGGTCTTGGCCATCAGAAAAAATTATTAAATGTGAAATTAATACACACAAAAAAGGCCTCTTCTCTGGAAATAGTATCTTTTGATAAGTATCTTTTAGATAAGCTAACTTCAGTAGTTTCTGAGAAAACTTGTCCCCATTGCACACACTATGCACTAAGTAAAATAACATGGATCAAGGGCCGTAACTCTCTAAACAAATAATTTATGAGACCAATTTTCACCAACTTTCATTCATGTAAATTCAGTAAATTCTGAGAAAACTTGTCCCCATTTCATACAGTATGCACTAAGTTGAAAAGCATGAAGAAAGGGCCATAACTGTGTACAAAATTAATTTATGACACCAATTTTCGAACTCACATGAGATCATGACTAAATTAGTCCCCTTTGAGAAGCGGACAAACTCGGTTCCTATATCCGCTGCCCTACTTCGTTGCGGGGGATAATAATGGTTACCATGTTTAAACTTTTCAACCACCCCTCTTAAATATGTGCCAAATCTGTGGAAATCAACACTTTCATTGTGCTCCTGTAATTACACAATTGGCTGAAACTAGGACATGGCCAACAGGTCAGACATTATGGCTAACAAAGCAATTATATCTATATATTATGAATTAAGAAATTACTAAATTCTGATTGGTCAGTCATAGGTATCAGATCACAATAACCACCTCTGATTAAATGAAATGACATTTCAGCAGCAGCTAATATTTATGGAAAAGTACTCTTTTCATAGTCATTGCTGGTAGGCATTTTTATATCGTAAGATCTACATACACTTACAGGTTATCAAATGCACATTTGTATTTGCACTACAATATACCAAGTATGTGTGGCAATACATTTTGGGCAGAAAACACAACAGACAAGATAAAGAGATTATTTTTCAAGTATCTGGGTCCAGTGTTTCTTTAAATCAGATTGAAAACCTACTTAAAAGATTAACTCAACCAATGCCGCTTCACTGATGTCCACGCTGATGCCACACTAATTTTGTCACGGTAGAATGGAGTCAAACATACATGCTTTCAGTTACAAATTCAATTTAGATTTCAAGTTAAATCTACAGGTAACCTAGTTCTAGACTACAACTTAATCCTTGGAAGGTAAAGGATTCTCATCATAATTTCACAATAACATTGCAACAATGGTACTGGTATTGCATGAAATACCAGATATATTTTCTTACAATATCTGTCACTTTGATAAAAGTCCAACCATTTTAAACCAATATCACATTGGACTCTTGCTCTGAGAGGTCAATCATGGTTTGACCGACATGTGGAAATAGCTCATTGCAACTGAAAGGGGGACATTGACATAAATCATGTCTTTGTAAACAAAAGTCTATTTATTCTCTTTCCTCCCAATCTGCGCACAATTATTTTTGTGGTTCTACTATACCTTTTTTATGTCATCCACACATTTGATGACATATTGTAGTTTGATCTGCTCCTTGACACTGTATGAATCACTGAGTATTGCATGATGTTCATCCAGTGCCTGCTCTATCAGGTGAGTGGATAACGCAGGTAGATGGGCCAGGTCCCACAGCAACTCCAGCACCTGAAACACCAATACTATCCAAGAGCTGTCCTGGTGAAAACCTCCCATAAGAGAATGACTTGATGCAATGAACTGGGTCAGCATGGACCCAATTAGTCCAGAAGCCTCCTCACCTTCTAAGCAATTCATTAATTCAATCCAAGTTTGACTGAGGTTTGGTTTATGTTTTACAATGTGACCTCGATGTGAAGCCACATTACTGTGAAGCGACTATCAAACAAGAAGCCCCATCCCCATCACCCAAACCTTTCCTATCAGAAAGATGTGTCATTGACCATACTAGACTAGGCACATTTTCAGAAAATGTTGATATGTATTGATATGTTCTAAATTGATTTGGGGGGTTTGCCCAGCTGTATTTTCAACGGTTAACCCACAAATTTGATAAATTGAAATGGCCGCCAACGAAACATTAAAAATTATTATTTGTCATATCTTTGGTACTAAACATGGTGGGACCATTTTTTTCTGTATGTTTTCATGTACAAGGAATCCATTGAAACCACACATTAACCCACAATATGTCAAGAAATCAAGATGGCCGCCATATTAGGGCAAATTCGATTATTAACTGCGTGTGATGCAAACAGTCTTATTTACATGAGTGACTTTATCATACTATATGGTTGTAATGTGGGAGAAACTAACTGTAAATGATACAGCTATAGTTAAATATAGTTGTTTGCCTTCACCGTTAACATTTTTTAATGAAAATTCACACAGTTTTGATACTAATCAAGGTAGTATAGGAATGAGCTGCATAGTGAATGTGAAATCGCATCTCTATAACTTTTCTCATATTAAATATCAATCCATGCATGATGCACACATAACATTGCAGAAATATGAAACTTTTATCTTTTATTTTAAATGTTGTAATTTTACATAACTAACTGTGTGTGGAGGACCACTTAGTGACAAAGTGTATGTACGATCAGGTAGAATGTTTCTGCATTCCCCGGCATGTGACATTTGCAAGCTTCAATGCACAATAAGCGCTTTTTTCTGCTGCTACAGAGCTTACTCAGGCATTCCTTGGAGCATCCACATGACATGATCTCTGAGCATGCTTTTGGGATGGGGGGAAGAGAGAGAAGTCGTGGTACCAGCTGGCCATCTTTGCGATCCCAACCCATATCTGTTACCATGGGAAGAACTGGAGAAGGCACGTGGGCTTGAATCCAGACACTGTCTTGGTAATGGCTTTCCATGATGTCAAATCTTGCCGCATCAGATGTAGGGGGTTAGGCTTCTTGTGTTCGTCCTACACAGAACAATTTAACTCGTGCCTCGTCACACCTGTCCGCCTCGGGTACTCCATGTAGCTGACAGATGAACTTCTCTGCAGATTTTGAGATGTCGTCGGTGAAGTTACCCATTCCCAGATGGCTCAAGTTGCTGTGTTAATGCTGGAAGACACGCCAGGCAGTCTTTTTGCTGTGACCACTGAGTTGGGAAACACTGTCACATCCAGTAATTGCATGGAAAGCTATCAATGATGATATTTGGTCGATGGGTAATTGACGATGAATCTCATGTACATGGATATATTTAGAATGTTTTGATGTTCCAGCTTTCATTAGCAGATTCGTGCATCCAATTTTGTCGAAGTGAACTAGGAGCAACACAAGGACATCTGTGTCGCGTACAGACACAACCACTGACTCCATATGAACATGAATACAGAGCAAAATTAGATGTGTATCAGCTTCCTCGTGATCAGCCTCAATCAATGTCTAGTCTTGGATCTGATGACTTTGCAACCGTAGCTTCGGTGAATCCGCCAGCAACAACCACTGACCACTAGGACTATGATCGATCAAATAGTTGGACTGTAACAAGGCAAGATCTGCCTTGTTATCTTCAAGTGCCATGAATTTCGACCAATCAGATGGCAGCAGAACCGACTCACTTTCAATAAGACAGCATACTAGTTGTTTTCCTCTTACGCTTGGTCCTCGCTCCTGCTTTGATTGACTCTGGTCTGTAGCGATCAAACGTAATATCAATCCTCTGAAAGGTGGCTCCCATCTTGTACACGACGTCTGCAAATGCTTTTGCATATAATCCAAATGTACTAATGTTTGGGGGTTTTCCGAGAGCCATCACTAGCGCCTGACCATCAATCAGCAAGCAACTTTGTCCATCCAGTGCAACGGTTGACGATGTCAGTACATCCTTGGTCAATATGTTGGCTTGCACAGACTTGTTCGTTAAGTGCAGGCTACCATTGGCTGTGGCAAGAGATAGCGGAACAAACATAAGCTCATACTGGAGGATGTTGTCCAAGTTGACCTCACGTCCTGCCCTATAAGCCGTTATTAGCCTTTGCAAAATGTTTCTGTCCATCTTTATTGTACTTTGTTTGCCTTTGGCGTCTTGCATAACAGTGTAAAGTGAGGCAAATGTCAGAGCCTTATTCTTGTGAATGGGAGCTTTGAGATCGACATGCTCGGCATTTGCTGGAGCTAGGCTCATACGTTTCGTAACAAACTCGTCAAGCTGCTTTTTGCCAAGATATTCTGCTCCAAGTAATGACTCCTGGATAGGAACGGTGTAACCAGTCTTACTTTATCTCGATCATCTTTCGTCCTTCTTCCTTTGGTACACTCGTTGTGAGTGTAGATGTCGTCATCATCATCCGTTGTTACGTGGAGCTTTAGTTTAGTCTGTGATGCCATCAGCGTCCTGAGGTTATATGTCAGAGTCCATCGGCTTAGTGCAGTAGCTACTTTGGTGATGCCGACCAAGCCCCTACTCTTCTTCCCAGTGGCATTCAACCATTCTGTACTTTGGTCTGGAGAAACTTGGTTGAATCGTCGGTTTGCATGTTTCACCACAAAATTTCCCTGCTGGAACTCATGCAAGATGTTTGGTGGGAGCTGAGCCATTTCAGCCAGGTAGACCATCCCCCATCGGGCATAGTTTGCGTGGTCATATCTAAAGAATAAAGGGAGCATACGTCTGAAAGCATACAAGTGGAGTTCCCATGATCCATCACGCTGTGCCCTGGTAAACATGGTAAAATCAAGTAAGATGCTGACCATCATCATGTAATCCCACCAGAATTCTGCATTCGGGTCTTCTTCTTTGAGGACTTTGATGAAATTAAGGATTGGCTGGTGGAACCCCTCAGATGTCAGGGTGTCTACCATATATGCAATATCTTCAGTGTCTAACAACGCCCCAAAAGATTTCAGTTCTTTCCTCAGCTCAACATCAACAGAGTCCGGATGTTCATTTAGTTGAGGGAGGAGTACTTGTCACATAGCCTGCAAAGTTAGTTTGTGTGTTCGCATTGCACGACCATAGCCTTTGCTGGACATCACATTCCGAGCTGCATTGGCACCAGATACATTACATTCTATCCGCAACTCACACAGGCCAGATTCTTCCATGTGACGGCCTCCGAGGCAGCGTATTAGGATATCCTTGTATTGGTCAAAAGACCACACAAGTTCCATCAACTTCGGATATAGACCCTCGTCAACAGTTAGAATCACATGTTCCTGTTCCATAGATTGAGCTATGTGCAGTACTCGCCTAACGACAGTGTCCAGCGAATCAATGTCGTGTGCAGGAGCCTTATTAGGGGTAGATACCCTACAGATGTTTGCTCTGGATTGACCATGCTTGCATTTTCGATGAAGGAAGTCCAAGAAGGCATTGGTTCCTGCAAAGATCGAGTCATTGTGAAATCCATGTCAGTCGCGTGTGCTTTCTTTGCTGCCAGACATCCATTCATCCATTGACTATGTGAACCAAGTAGTGTTGTAGGTTCTGTGCGTGCTTGATCGTGGAGAACAATAACTTCATACACACCATCCATGCGTTTAGCCAACTTATCTTTGAATGTGCTCCCTCGACTCACAAATGATGACGGAATTGCAATGTCCGCTTCATTGGCTAGTGTGCAATATCTTTCCCACACATCAGTAAGCAGTAGAATGTCAGCATGTGATGCTAATTGTTGAAGCTCATGACAAAGCTAAGTGAATACCACATCACTGGCATTTTCAGTTGATTTGCTAATTTTGTCAGTGCTAGGTTGTAATCTTACATGGCAGCTACTGTGATGCTTGCTGTCAGCTGCGGTGAGGTCATTTACACAGGCCAGTCGTGTCCTCAAAATAGGGTCGTACTTGGCTGCTTCCAGGATCCGTTTGCTAACTTGCTTCTCTTGTATAAGATGAACTTTTTCCTTGGTCTCTTTTTGGCAATATATGCACATGTTCCAATTCATCTGTTTCACATTGCTTCGTAGAAGGGTCTTTTGTGCAAAGGTTGTGGGCACTGATAAACTAGACTGAATTTCATCAAATGTTACATCTGCAGCCTTCAATCTTTCAAGTTTGTAAGAACTTGTATAGGAAGCATGGCATCCATTGTGACATGCTATCGATGGAGACGGACACAAAGCTAACATATCTGTTAGCTGATTAGTTGCAGATCTAAAATTGTCATTCCGTAACTTCTGCCGAATTTATCTTGCATTATGAATGTAGATGTAGATGTAGAGGACAAAGTTTATGCTGTTTTTTGTCTTCTTGGCATATTATACATTTGTCAAAATATAATACAGCTCCCCGTTTCCTTGAAGATTGACTGGCGTCCATTGCTACCCATATACCCAGTTATAGTCAATATATATCACATATGAATCGTTGTACCTGAAAACATACAAAATTAAGTTTTGTTTATGTTCTTACCATGTTTGGTACCAAAGATAAGACAAAAATGAATTTTTAAGTTTCAGTGGCGGCCATTTTCAATTTATCAAATTTGTGGGTTAACCGTTGAAAATACAGCTTGGCAAACCCTCAATAATCAATTGAGAACATATCAATACTTCTAGAAAAGTTGTTTGCCAGCTGTAAACATGGTAAACATGAAATGCCTCCATCACTTTTAATATGTACATTTTTCCAGATTCTGCCTAGTCTATACGGATGTGGCCATCAGGGGACACCTCTCACATGACTTACTATGCCTCTAGGTACATAAATAACAGAATCATAAGCTCTTCCGGTTCAATAACATCACTTCTGGTTTGGGAAAACACATGATGCCGAATGCAGTACAACTTGGAAACAGAAAGTCAACTGCTCAAATTTGAGCCAAAAAAAAGAAGCAGCCTCTCTTGGCATGCCTACAGGAGGCTGCTTAATAACAGATATCCGTATAGTCACCAGATAACAGATATCCGTATAGTCACCAGATAACAGATATCCGTATAGTCACCAGATAACAGATATCCGTATAGTCACAAGATAACAGATATCTGTATAGCCACAAGATAACAGATATCCATATAGTCACCAGATAACAGATATCCGTATAGTCACCAGATAACAGATATCCGTATAGTCACCAGATAACAGATATCCGTATAGTCACCAGATAACAGATATCCGTATAGTCACAAGATAACAGATATCTGTATAGCCACAAGATAACAGATATCCATATAGTCACCAGATAACAGATATCCGTATAGTCACCAGATAACAGATATCCGTATAGTCACCAGATAACAGATATCCGTATAGTCACTAGATAACAGATATCCGTATAGTCACCAGATAACAGATATCCGTATAGTCAATGCAACAAAAACATGGCATATGCTACTCATCATACTCATTAAAGTAGCAAAAGGCACCAGTTCAGCATGAGTCTGATAGACATGCAAAGTTTTGTTAGAAAGTTTTCAATGGGTTTTGAGTTATGCTCCGGAAATGAACTCTACCCTATGGAATCTAAGTCCAACTTGTTGCCATAGAAACGTAAAAAATAAAAATTTATAAAATTCCTAAATAGCAAAAGGCACCAGTTCAGTATGTGCCTGGTAGACATGCAAAGATTTGTAAGGAAGTATTTTATGGTTTTTGAGTTGCGTTCCGGAAACGAAAACCACCCTTATAGAATTCAAGTCTAACTTGTTACCATGGAAATGTAAGAAATAAAAATTTATAAAATTCCTAAATAGCAAAAGGCACCAGCTGCAGTTCAGTATGTGCCTGGTAGACATGCAAAGTTTTGTAAGAAAGTATTTAACAGTTTTGGAGTAACGCTCCGGAAATGAACACCACCCATATAGAACCTAAGTCCAACTTGTTGCCATGGAAACGTAAAAGATAAACATTTCTAAAATTCCTAAATAGCAAAAGGCACAACTTCACCACTTGAGTGATATAAATGCAAAGTTTGATGAAGAAATTTTTAACAGTTTTGGAGTTCTGCTCCGGAAACAAACATCACTCACAAAGTTAGCCTATGTCCAGCATGCTTTCATGAAAATTGGAAAATAAAAAAATTGGAAAATTCCAAAATAGCAAAAGGCACAACTTCACCATATAAATGCAAAGTTTGATGAAGAAATATTTAAAGGTTTTCGAGTTCTGCTCCGGAAACGATTCAGACAGATGTACAGACAGACGGATGGATGGGCATGCCCATAGCTATATCCCCCCGCATTATATGCCGGGGGGGATAAGAAACATAACAGGCAGAAGACTAATGACACAGCTATCTTACAGTTAAGTGACACTGACCTCACATGGAGGTCATTCAATTGTGAACATTAAAGAACATTAAATGAGTTACTCGTTGTAATCTCTTGAACAAGTGCCTAAGTGTTCTATGTCAGCATTGGTAACATTCAAGCCTTATGTCAACAGTGGACACCAGGAATAGGCTAGTGTACCCATGTGGGGGTCTTCGATGTCACAACCATTTGGATATCACAATCTCCAAACCATTTTAAGTGATAGAGTGAATGTTGTTATAAACTGCAGTCAGCAATATTTCAGCTACATCGTGGCAATTAAATAAATAATCAAGTCAGGACCTACAAAGCAGTGACTGAAAACATGAGCAAGAAGCCACACAATCAGCCAAGTCACAGAGCCTGACAATCTGTTCCAATAATGAAACCTCTTACAAACAGCAGTGTGGACTTATCCTTATATCCGAAGGTACCTAAAGCTTGGAGCTTGAGGATGACTTTATTTGTTGTCAAAGAATTCTTCAGGGCCAAAAAGAAGTCAATAGCATAACCTTTCTAAAAGAAAATGTGGCAGCCGGCCAATTGTCTGAAATTTAAAGCAGCCATGTTGATACAGGGATAATAATTAGAGATCAACTTACCCTAGTTGTGGTCTTTCCCACGCGCGCATCTTTTCCAATTTTTCCAATGAGACTTAAAAGTTTTTCTCGAATACGATCATTGTCATCCTGCCATTTCTGAAATGAAAACTCATTTCATGAACTTGTCTGACACTGTGTCAGTGATCATGGCACTCCCATATATATTGCCTCGAGTCTGGTGAAATGCATGCCAACTAGTACAAACTCATACCTGACTGAAGTACCTGACACACAGGATATTTATGATAACACACTCTGCTAATAATCTCTATTCTTTCTACATCTAATATCCTTAAAACTATTCAGTGACATTCGTATTACAAAGGAATAATTCTTGTTATCTGAATATGTTGTTCATCTTAATTGGTGATAGCTGTATTAAACATACTCATTGAGGTTAATTTATTGTGTCTTTTAATGCCAGGGACCAGTAAATTACATCATCTTCTCAATGCAAGCTAACCAACATACCTTCTGTATAAGTCGAAACAAATGTTCCAGTTGTTGTGGTTCGAACTTGACTGCAGCTGCTGCCATGATGGAGTGGATGTTGTCAATGACATTGTTCGTCTGACCATTCTGCAGTCAGTAGCATCATAATGTACAACATCATCTGTGGCAACTACAAACTTGAAATTTGAAACTTCAAAGAACCTTGAATATGTCTGAAATGTATTGTTACATATTACAACCAGTACAGTGTTTGCAGTACATACAGAAACCTCCACCTCTTCCTGAATGCCCCCAAACCTTCCTATCAGAAACATGTATCATGAGCCAATTTAACTTACCACATCAAATGACAGGTGATCTCACACCTGCCCAAGACAGCACAACTTTGAAACTAAATTCCCATGCCTCTAGCTCTTAATTACAAAGTCATAAACACTTCCAGTATCATAGCATCACTTCCGGTTCAGGAAAACATGTGCCCAATGCATAACAACTCTGACTGAGTGAGTGAGTTGGGGGTAACACCACTTGTAACAGTATTCCAGTCATAACACAGCGTGTCAGCTTAATGTGTGAAGGAAGTCCGAAGTGATGCAGGTCTCTGATGTTTACCACTTTGATGAAACCCACGAGCACGAGTATCGTGCTGACAAAACAAGAAACATATCCAGAATGAACCAGGATTCGAACCCACAATCATAGGTTACTGGTGTGCTCAAGGGACACAACTCTGCATAGAGAATTGTGCTGTCTCAGACGACTGAGCCACCCATGCCCCAGAACAACTTTGCAAAAGAAAGTCCTATGTCTCGAGCTACATTAATAACAAACTTATAAGCATTTCAAGTATAAAGACCATGACCAGCAATGTTCTGCCTGGAGATTTCAGGAATACTGTTTCATCAAATTCAAATTGAAAATGCTCAAGATAATGTGTACAGAAGCCTTTTGGGACATCTTCTTCACACCAAGTGACCTTGACCATCAACATCATCCAATCACATGCGAGAACATTACTTGATGCAAATTTAGGTGGTGTTAGAAATCTCCATGACTGGTTGACATTACTTCCAAAATACAACTATTTACAAGACATTTCATAACTGAATTAATTACCTTCAAACCAACCTTGACATTTGGTACAACCATGACATGTGACAGGTATTGATTTAATTATTGTAAGTGTATCTTTACTGATTATGTAGACTTGGCATGAATTAATCTGTAATTTCATGAAATTTTAACCCTGTTTCACCTCTAGTGACATTGATATTTTACAGAGGTCACCCAAAAGTTAATGGGATCAAAACCCTCTCTTAGAGATCACATACACTTAGTTTCAAATTCTATTCATAAATACTCAATTCTTCATGTCCACAAGCCTTTTGTAATGCCGAGCACATCCTGCGTGACCTTGATCTCCAATATCATACGATCATCTGCCACACCTCTTTAAAGGTAAATTATTGATGTTTAGGGGAAAATTCTTTTGATATCTAAAAAGCTTAAACTTGACCTATATGTTCATTTCAAACGACATCTGTAATTAATGTCCATCAAAGAAATGCAATTTTCAGCGGAAATGTACCTGCATTTTCCAGATCATAGTGAGCTCATCCAGAGACAACTTGGAGCCAAGGAAATCTACAAGTCCCTTGATCTTATCACAGTACTGTGCTTGGTCGATGTTACCTGGAAACATATAATGGACAGAACATCATTAACATCTGTATATATTGTGTCAACACACACAGCTGTAGTCACTGTTGCCTGCTAGAAATGTATATATCTCATGTTAACAGAGAGAAGTGTAGTCAGTGTTGCCTGCTAGAAATGTATATATCTCATGTTAACAGAGAGAAGTGTGGTCAGTGTTGCCTGCTAGAAATGTATATATCTCATGTTAACAGAGAGAAGTGTGGTCAGTGTTGCCTGCTAGAAATGTATATATCTCATGTTAACAGAGAGAAGTGTGGTCAGTGTTGCCTGCTAGAAATGTATATATCTTATGTTAACAGAGAGAAGTGTGGTCAGTGTTGCCTGCTATTACTGCTATTACTCATGTTAACAGAGAGAAGTATTTTCAGTGTTGCCTGCTAGAAATGTATACAGTCGTGCCTCGTTAATACGGACACTTGCGTCATTTCACAATTCGTCAGTATAAACGAATTTCCGTATAACTGAAACCAGCTTCTTGCTGGAAGAGTTACGCAAGTGTCTGATTTGGTCCCAACTTAAAAAACAACCTAGTTTCATCAATGTTAAAAATATCTTGCTCCTCGTATTCTTGCAGTACTTTTTGAAGATCTTCCCTTCCTCTCACAATAGCGTCCTTGACCGCACTAGCAGCCTCCCCTTGAAATTTCCTACATGATACACTATGTCTGGATTTGAATTGAATGAGCCACCCACGAGAATATGAAAAGTCAGAAAAGTCCATTTTGCCACCAAAGTCGCGAGCTTTCTCTATCAGTATTTCATCATTGTCTTTCAAAATGTCACCAATTGTCGATTTTCCTATGGTATGTCCAAATTCAGTGCCATAATGCTTACTGATGGTTTCTAAACTTGCTGACGGGTGTTTTTCCTTTAACAGACAAATTTCCCTTTTTTCGCGTGCTGTAACTGCGTGTCGCTTACGTTTCGCTGGTTGAGAGGCCATACTTACACAACTTTGACCTCTGACCTCCACAGACGCCATATTTATCGAAGGGGATTACATGTACAATAAACAAGCTCGTCTCAAACGTAACTCAGTGTCACTTGGTTAACTGACTTCTCACGAATCAAAGGATTACCACCAGCGGAAGTGTAGTGTCCGGATAAGTGAGACAATTTTGTGTGCATTTCAGTGTTTTGTGTATGAAAATGACCATCCGGTTCCGGAAACTGAATTTCCGTATATACGGGTAAATTTATATAGTAATTATTTCGTTTTGAATGAAAATCGTCCAGGAACCGAGGTTTCCGGATATCTGAAGTCACGGTATAAGCGGGGCACGACTGTATATCTCATGTTAACAAAGAGAAGTGTAGTCAGTGTTGCCTGCTATTACTGCTATTACTCATGTTAACAGAGAGAAGTATTTTCAGTGTTGCCTGCTAGAAATGTATATATCTCTTGTTAACAGAGAGAAGTGTGGTCAGTTTTGCACATACAGCTCAAATTTCAGGAACTTGGTAGATACATATAGATGACATAGTCTCCTGTAATCATGTTAATCATTATTTATCAACTGAACTTCCTCCTACCTTCTAGGGCTATAGACAGAATCTTGCAGTCTACCAGCCATTCAAGTATTCGGTCAGAGCGCATGGCAGTCTTGCTGACTTTTGTTCCACTTGAATCTTCTATGAGCTTGGTAACCTGCAAAAATGTTTTGAAGTTTTGGCATTCTATATAACATTACGTTTTTCATGTTCGCATTTATATTTTATTTCAGAACATAATGTGGGGGGTAATTTAGTGTTGTCCATGTTTCTACAATTTAGACAAATACTTTTCAAACCACACTCTTCAAACATGGCATGCGTATCAGCAATTCTGAAATTAAGTATCAGGTATTTCTTAGTCCCATTCCAAGTTCGAAGAGTGTGGTATAAATAGTATTTGTCTAAATTGTCTAAACATCACAACACGAAATTACCTTCCAGACTTCACGTAGGACACTCTATATTTCTATTTGTGTTACGTGTTGGGGTTATTGCAGAGAACCAGCACTGTCCCAGGTGAGATCAACAAAACGCCAACCCACCACAGGTGCATTCATCTGGATGGTGGATATTGTGGCCCGAAATGCTTGAACCAGTTGCTTCACACTAGTATTGCTTCAAACACATCATAAATTGTTGATGTTACCAGACAGAAACTGAGTTTTGTCCGAACTGACTAATTTGCTTGGACCGTCACACAGAGTGAACATTCATCTTAAGTCATCAACCAGTACATGCAAGTGTAATTGGATGGGTAACTGACTCACAAAATCATTCAAAATGTTTAACTGGCCTATAGTGATCCGAGTTGTGTGATTTACCTCTTTCAGCGAGTTCATCTTGGCATTGAAGTGTGGTGACTGCAGCATGCGTAGAGCTATATCGAGACGAAGTTCATCCAAGTTGTCAACATCATGTGGCCACACACTGATGCACAATAACTTCATTGATGACAGCAAGTCAGACACACTGCCAATTCTCTGTATGAAAATAATCACACCATACACTAAAGACTATTTACATGGCAAAGACTCCAGTATGTAATATGAACCCTCAACTGTTTAACATGACTGTATGCACAATTAACTGTTTTATTGACGCCGCTAAATACCAATACTAGTGTCTAATCATAGTCATTGGTACTTCTACAAGCATTGTTTCAACCTCTATTTCAAATTAAAGTTGGCTGTCTTCACATTTTTAAAAAAAGTTCTGAAGTCAGCAATTTGTGGGTAAGGTTGCAGTGTTCATCAAGAACAGGAAGTTTCTCAGTAATTGGTTCTCCTCAGTAGGATACTGGAATACTTGTTTCACACAAATACATATCTGGAGACGATTCAATATTTTCTAAAGCAACAATCAAGACACTGGAGATAATGACCTAATATTTACTTGTCTGTATAACAATGCAGACATTGATTCAGAGCCTAAAGTAATCACTATTTCGTCCAAGAATAAGAAAAAAGCCTAACCTTTTCCTTGAAATCTTTTTCTTCTAGTCCCTGTATATACTTGATTGCCTTCTCCATTCCAGGGGCAAATAACTTTTGAACTACACTCTGACTGAGGAACTCTGCACATGTCCCAAATGGCTTGAGAATGGCTGCCATTGTCTGAAAGAAAAGATTTGCAGTTGAATATACATCACTGTCACATGGTGATGATTTTCAGATGCCCAAATACTGAACTGTTAGATTGTCTCTGTATAACCGGTTCCTATGATGGAGTAGTGGTATTTCAAAGACAACTTCTGCTTATGATTTGGTATGTTTAACTGTCAAGGAAACCATCTTGTTTATGTTTGCATGTTTTCAACTATTTCTATCACACAGATCTCCAAAGCACCCTGTTCCGTTACAAGTACAACAGTCTTCTAAAGCAAATGTGCTTTGTGAAATGTGCTCAAGGGAGTGTGCACATTTATACATTCATTCATTATCTCTCTACATGGTCAGTTAGTTTCTGGCATGCAAGTCTTGTTTGGACACAAGTGAATTAAGATGATTAGAAACAAATAACTACAAACAAAGATGAAAGCAGCTCATTGCCAACCAATTCCTGAATACCCCAAACTTTATAGCTCCAAAATAGGAATGACAAAGCATTTGCACATCAACAGACAGCTGATATCACCAAAATCTCTCTATCAAGTGACAGCTGACATCACCAAAATCTCTCCATCAAGTGACAGCTGACATCACCAAAATCTCTCCATCAAATGACAGCTGACATCACCAAAATCTCTCCATCAAATGACAGCTGACATCACCAAAATCTCTCCATCAAATGACAGCTGATATCACCAAAATCTCTCCATCAAATGACAGCTGATATCACCAAAATCTCTCCATCAAATGACAGCTGATATCACCAAAATCTCTCCATCAAGTGACAGCTGATATCACCAAAATCTCTCCATCAAGTGACAGCTGACATCACAAAAATCTCTCGATCAAATGACAGCTGACATCACCAAAATCTCTCCATCAAATGACAGCTGATATCACCAAAATCTCTCCATCAAATGACAGCTGATATCACCAAAATCTCTCGATCAAGTGACAGCTGATATCACCAAAATCTCTCCATCAAGTGACAGCTGATATCACCAAAATCTCTCCATCAAATGACAGCTGATATCACCAAAATCTCTCCATCAAGTGACAGCTGACATCACCAAAATGACTCCATCAAATGACAGCTGACATCGCCAAAATCTCTCCATCAAATGACAGCTGATGTCACCAAAATCTCTTCATCAAATGACAGCTGATATCACCAATATCTCTCCATCAAGTGACAGCTGACATCACCAAAATCTCTACATCAACAGACAGCTGATATCACCAAAATCTCTCGATCAACAGACAGCTGATATCACCAAAATCTCTCCATCAAGTGACAGCTGACATCACCAAAATCTCTCCTTCAAGTGATAGCTGACGTCACCAAAATCTCTACATCAAGAGACAGCCGACATCACCAAAATCTTTCCATCAAGTGACAGCTGACATCACAAAAATATCTCCATCAAGTGATAGCTGATGTCACCAAAATCTCTCCATCAACAGACAGCTGATATCACCAAAATCTCTCCATCAACAGACAGCTGATATCACCAAAATCTCTCCATCAAGAGACAGCAGACATCACCAACACATTCATCACAGACCCCCAATGATGTCTGAAACTGTATTTTGCATTCACGTAGTTACCTTAATAACAATGAACTTTGCACTTCATATTAAAGGGGCATCTGCGGTAGTGACTACTGCACTCTAGTGGGCGGAGCTTATACGAAAGATCTGACAGGTCAATATGACGTCATGATAATACACAAATTTCACTGGTTAATGAGTAAACGGATGACATCGTGTAAACACCCACCTTGGGGTTCTTGGGTTTCAAAACCTACCTGCCATGTAATCTTCACATCTTCCTAAAATGATACAGTGGAATGTCCACGATTTATCCAACACAGTCAAACACACAAATTCTAGTGCCCTATTCCCTGGACGAGAACGAAATACGTTTGTCGTGATGAATAAGAGCGGTGTAATTAAACAAAAAAACATAATATGTATCACGGCATCCAATCGTAATCCTGTGGTGTACGGTATATCTGCAGTTTATGAATAGTATTTCTCACAACACATATGGCAATCGGTGATTTTTTTCCGTTGTGTTCATCTTGTCTTCATTGGGAATCTGAATGACAACGATGGTGTAAAAAATCCCGGTAATGGTCAAAAATATTTTCAAGTAATGAAAGTATATTTCTGTCATTTCCGTCACATGTTTTCATTGCACATTGCCCAGTAGCAATGTGTTTTGGCGAAGTGACACTTGTCCGAAAGCTCCTCATGCCGAAGTCTTTGATCTGTGAAACTTGGTGAGTCCCAGTGACCCAGATTCCCTGTTGATTGGCATGCCAAGTGCCATTTGCATAAGGCCATCCATATTTTTTGCATGTGTTTCTCCCCTCAAACCTCATCTAACTAGAGAGCGAGCAGACGAAATAAAATATATTACTTATTTAAAAACTTATTTCAATAATTGTGTAAGTTATTTTTATGACATTTTAAAACAGGTTTGAACACTTTGTACCAGAATATAGTCTATGAATTAATTTATGATGTAGATCAAGTCGCTTTGCTTCGGAAACTAATTTTTAATAAACAACCGAAGAAAGATAAAGTTGACCTGGTTCTGTTATGATGGTGCAATGGTAGATCTAGTAGTATTTCTTTTATTTGATCCGTGCGCAATTTTCCACAGCGGCAGGAAAAATTGAGACCCTAAAACTTATATTATTTCACACCGGAATGGAGATAAAATACGGACAGCCTCACATATTTCGAAATGATGTTCAGATAAATATTTGTTCACATTAATTCTGTCATGCGCATGAACAATGTTTTCAACATTATTTTCACCAAGTTTAATCAGGTTGCTTGCTACATAGAACATCCTCTCTTGTAAACTACTTCGACATGAACACATGTTTGGTCTCGAAGCTCAAAGCAACAATGTTTCTCTCAGATGCCATTTTTCTCCATCCATGACGAGCATCTGTCATAATGTCAATGCCTCAACAATCTTCCTGATCAGTTAATTTTAACAATGTAACATACACAGCCTCATTCACAGCGTCATCGCAAAGATTCCTTCCAAATACCCACCACGTAATCAGGGTTACGACCTTGGGATAAATTAATAAATTTATTTGCATTTTTAAAAATGAAATGTTTTTGTGATTAATATTATTAAAAAACATCCTGTACATGGTACTTTTGGATTGCACTGCGGATTTCTTTATTACTTTCTAAACTTTTTGTTTTCCCCCGTTCTGACCACGGGATCTAGCAACCACGCCCCACGAGAACATCCAAGTTGATTGCTGCTTACAACCGTCAAGAACTTTGCAAGTACTCTTGTCTTCAATATGAGCAAGGAAACATTTTTATGTGATGTTTAATTTGAAGGAGAGTTGTTCGAGATGATCAGGGAGCCTTTGGTCATTTCCATTTTGACATTGGTGACATTATCATGGGGAAAGTTCCAATTCAAGATAACATGATTTCGACCGTCAACTCGAATCGAGAAGATGGCGCCTCTCTTCCCGCCCTTGCAAGTGCAACAGAAACTTTAACAAGTTCAGTGCAGACTCTTTGGATCAGTGAATCAGTAGAACCAGATAAAGCTGAATATGTATGTTCATACTTCTTTTGTCAACCATACGTGACACACGCATTGTCAAAGAGTTGGTCCGAGAATTTTATTTTCAATAACATTGTGGGAAATAATGAATAATTTTTTAATCTATCAATAAGGAAGGTTTATTTGCATTACAGGCCACCCTAAAGTACAAAAGTTTTTACATCATAGTTTTAGTTAACACATGAAGCTATACAGAATTAAATTTACAAAATTACTTATTAAGGGGAACAGTTCTAAAAACACTTGTGTTAAGAACTTGGTAAATGGCAATAACACATTAACTCTTTCAACACCATAGGCCGGTACACCGGCCAAGAAGCCTCAAGTCTCCCCCAGTCTGTAGTCATGTCAAAATAGTATATAATTTAATGAACCTGCCTGTCATGTCATATCATTCATTTATTAAATCTATCACATTTCACAATGTCTGAAATACGTATACCATTTCAATTTATCATTTCTTTCTATCTGTCTGATTTTTCGATTTTATAAAATTCTTTGAAATAATATTATTTTTTTTATAAGTCCATTAATTTGAGTCCATTAAATTCCTAGACATTCCAAAAGCATTTCAGCTGATTCAGATATGAAGTAGTGTACAAACGGATAACATGCTGTAAGCTCACTTGGACCTTTGGTCTTTGTGAAATTACATAAACAATCTCTGCTGATGTTAAGACTAATGAAAAGAGTTGAGGCAGATTGAGATGCTGACCACCACATCCCAAACGTTATGGCATCAGAAGAGGACAAGCTTGGCACCACGCCAACTGTCTACTCATAATCACATCCACCTACCGGAGCATCAAGGTCATCTCTTTCCAGGCACTTTTTGATCAGATCCAGACCACCCAAGTTTGCAAACTGAAATATCAAAAATACTGTTAGTGTTACAAATGTAAGCATGGCAATGGAAGCAATTAGCACTCACCATGTCAATTTATCGTATTGTATAGCAATTGTGCCATTATTCAGGTCTGAGACAAATCAGTCATCTTCTATCTTTCAAACATGGTTAGGTTATCATGTGTATGTAATAGATTCATTCATTTAAAAAGTAAAGACAAGCAAAGACCATGACAAAATATCACTAACTAACATTGCATTGACCTTTCAGCCATTACAGTAAAATATGTTTATAATGAACACGATAATAATGAACCGACTGATATTACAAACTTATTCCTTGGTCGCGGCAATTTGCTGTATATATTCTGTATATGTGCTTATAACGAACTACAGTTATAGTGAACTAAAATTAGTAGTCCCTTTGAGTTCGTTCTAACTGTAGTTTACTGTATTACCTTATTGATGAGGTGAGTGAGCCATCCATATGGATCCTGTAATAGAACAAGCAGTTCAGGCACAAGGCTAAAAGTATATCAAAGTTCTCATACATAGATATACTACACATGATATACATATCAAACATGAAAATACATCAAAGCTAATTCAAATTACATAGCACATGTGAATGAAAAAATATATATTTCTGGAATATACAGATTCAGTGTCAGTGACTGTAAACTGCTGTGCAAACACGAGCAGACAGCTTGAATGGCCAGCCTGAATTGGTAAAATCCCTCTATGCCCTCTACAGAGAGATCCCTCAGACAGTAGGTAGTGAAGATGCTGTCATCTAGTGCTATAGTGGATCCCAGGCCCCTGAATTTGTGTGAATTATGTGACTCACAAGGATCCAATCCTGCATGTCGGCATGCTAGTCAGATTGATGCCCCTAGTAAAAGAGTCATGTTGTTCTTCATGACCTTGACGTTTGTCCTCATGCATGCCTTGGTGACAGCAGTGATATTGTGCAAGTTCAATCTTTCCCCCACAGAGTTTGTTTTTAGGAGACAAGAAAATCCCATGCGGGCCATGTGAACTTATGCCCTGTCTAATGTTATCTGGGTTACATCCAGTGTGTGGATTTCCCCAATACCAGCTGCCATATGGGTAAAAATATACTTCTGCCAGCTCTGTCTGATTGTATGACTGTGATACCAGATGCTGTAGAACTTCCCAAAGTCCTGTGGCTGTTATCTGCAACCCTGTGCTTATATTCCTGGATCATGAGGTCACCAGCTATCAACGGCCCTAGCAGCAGTAACAAGTAGTCTGCTATGGACTGATGCATTTCCTTCATAAGATTTATCTTCCTTGTCTTTCAGTAGTCCATGGAAGAATCCATGGTGTCTTAAAGCACTCAAGTGGCAATCCTCGTGTCCTCATGATGGCTTGTGCTGCTCCAACAGAGAACCATCTGGCCATGAAACTCATTGATCTGGAAGGTGGTTTATGGGGATGAAATCCCACATCAGTTACATGTTGACCATGATCAAAGGTCACCTGTGTGACATCTAGAGCATGGACCTCACTACCATGAGCAGTTGTCACATTCAGATCATATGCATGAGGTCGAAACGTCTTACCTTGGTCCTCCAGATGAAAACTTTTCAGTACGGTGCCAACCTGTGCAACCTGGCCAGAACAGCATTAAAAGCACATATGTGACAATATTGCCATCTCACAAATGAGTCACGTCTGGAGATGTGTACACAGGCAGTTGATGATTGAACCTCGTTGCAAATAGGTCATAGGTCAATAGCTTATCTGTTGACACACTGATTCAACACTTCTGTATGTTGTTTCCACTCCATGGTCAACTGTTTCCAAGGACAAGTCAAACCTCAATGTTTGGTGAAACCCACGAGTGTATCATGCTGATACAAAAACAACAAGAAAACAGCATTATCACTATCCCCCTTCATGGGGCACATTAGAATTTTGTTTGTTCATATAGTAGAAAATATAAACTATAAACAAAAGTTCTATACAGCCTTAAGAAGAGATAGGCACTTGGGACACTTTATGACATTAGAAAAAATGCTTTAATGTGAAATTAATATCTGGACAAAATAACTTCATAAGTATCTCTTAGATAAGTTAACTTTAGTAGTTTCAAAGAAAACCTGTCCCCACTGCAGACACTAAGCACCAAGAAAAACAAGCATGAAATACTAATATTCACCTACAATATGACATGTCCGTTGTGTGCAAGCCATTAGCCCCCGTGAACTATGTTCACTGGACCTTTTTGTAAATGGTAACTGCAAGCACTAAAAAAGTTATTACTGGTGGTTTTTGTCATCTGCAGTTTATGTTAGAATACATAACTGTTTTTGTAATGAGTTAAACAAGGTGTACTGCGAAGTACAGCACCAATCATCTGTTGATCTGAGTAGTAGAATGCTACAGCACTGGCATGATCAGTACGGTAAACAACAAGTCCAGCGTAGCTCCAAGACAGTGAGATGCAGAGTGAATGAGTTGTCATTTACTGCACATTAAAGAAATCTTCAAGTTTCAGTTGTTTCACTCAGATCACAGTTGAAATCCCCAGTAACTAGGACATGTTCACATTTATGCTGCTGGAAGAGATCCTGAAGTTTCTGCGGTAAGTGAATGTGACAAACGTGTCCATGACACTTTTGGAGGTATATACACACAAGCTATGCAGAACTTGCCAACAAGAAAGGAAATGTATTCAATACTGCGAGATGACATTACATCACATAGCTGGACGCTGTCCTTGAAACTTGTTGAAACATACACAGCAATATCATGTGTAGTGTCTCCTGGATAGACTTGATATCTTTGTCTCTTTCACTGTAATCATTGATAGTTTCTGTGAAACACAAAATATAAACCACATCGACAAACTTTTCATTCTTCACATCTTCGAAATGAGACACTTGAGTCCATCACCATGACTGTTCGCTACAGGGTGTGTCCAGGTGAACGGTCTTTCATCTAGTCATTTCATCAAATTCTTTTTTGTTTACTACAATTTTGTGTTCATCAAAACCTACAAGTTTTAGGCCTTTCCTTGATTTGACCCTAACTGAGCATTGTATACACTTGACCAGGCTGGACTTTAAATTTACTTCCTTGTGTTATTGTCATGTTCCCAATCATCTGCTCTTGGGGCTACCTTGAGACTAGTGGATACCCACTGCGAGGAAGGATGGTTGCTTCAGGCGGCACTGTTCATGTTACCGGCATGCACTGTGAGGAAGTAGGCTGGTTCGGGTGACACTGTTCATGTAACCGGCATGTACTGAATAAGTAGGCTGGTTCAGGTATCCCTGTTCATGTTACTGGTACCCACTGCGAGGAGGTAGGCTGGTTCAGGGTGCCCCTGTTCATGTTACCACTACCAACTGCGAGGAAGTAGGCTGGTTCGGGTGCCACTGTTCATGTTACCACTACCCACTGCGAGGAAGTAGGCTGGTTCAGGGTGCCCCTGTTCATGTTACCACTACCCACTGCGAGGAAGTAGGCTGGTTCAGGGTGCCCCTGTTCATGTTACCGGTACCCACTGCGAGGAAGTAGGCTGGTTCAGGGTGCCTCTGTTCATGTTACCGGTACCCACTGCGAGGAAGTAGGCTGGTTCAGGGTGCCCCTGTACATGTTACCGGTACCCACTGCGAGGAAGTAGGCTGGTTCAGGGTGCCCCTGTTCATGTTACCGGTACCCACTGCGAGGAAGTAGGCTGGTTCAGGGTGCCTCTGTTCATGTTACCGGTACCCACTGCGAGGAAGTAGGCTGGTTCAGGGTGCCCCTGTACATGTTACCGGTACCCACTGCGAGGAAGTAGGCTGGTTCAGGGTGCCCCTGTTCATGTTACCGGCATGCACTACGAGGAAGTAGGCTGGTTCAAGTGCCACTGTTCATGTTACCACTACCCACTGTGAGGAAGTAGGCTGGTTCAGGTGCCACTGTTCATGTTACCGGCATGCACTGTGAGGAAGTAGGCTGGTTCAAGTGCCACTGTTCATGTTACCACTACCCACTGCGAGGAAGTAGGCTGGTTCAGGGTGCCCCTGTTCATGTTACCACTACCCACTGTGAGGAAGTAGGCTGGTTTAGGGTGCCCCTGTTCATGTTACCGGTACCCACTGCGAGGAAGTAGGCTGGTTCAGGGTGCCTCTGTTCATGTTACCGGTACCCACTGCGAGGAAGTAGGCTGGTTCAGGGTGCCCCTGTACATGTTACCGGTACCCACTGCGAGGAAGTAGGCTGGTTCAGGGTGCCCCTGTTCATGTTACCGGCATGCACTGCGAGGAAGTAGGCTGGTTCAAGTGCCACTGTTCATGTTACCACTACCCACTGTGAGGAAGTAGGCTGGTTCAGGTGCCACTGTTCAAGTTACCGGCATGCACTGTGAGGAAGTAGGCTAGTTCAGGTGACATTGCTCATGTTACCACTACCCACTGTGAGGAAGTAGGCTGGTTCAGGTGCCACTGTTCATGTTACCGGCATGCACTGTGAGGAAGTAGGCTGCTTCAGGTGCCACTGTTCATGTTACTGGCATGCACTGCGATGAAATAGGTTGGTTCGGGTGCCACTTGTAACTTGTGTTTTCACAATAATTCACAATACACCTTGTCCATGTTCCTTTGTCAAGTGGTATAGATCTCAATTCGGTAATGATGGTAATGGTTCTGAGACAACCCTGCGTAGATGTTTTTTTAGAATGTGTAAACAGTTTCCGAGTTATGCTCTTGCCTAGGAAACATTCTTAAAAACTCCCAAAGTATAAAAAGGCACCAGTTCACCACTCGACCTATTTTTGTGTCAAAATTGGTGAAGAAATACAGCACGTTTTTCAAGATCTACTCCTGAAACGAGTACTACCACGATATTCAGTCTAAGTCAAAGTCCTTGCCATGGAAACACGAAAATTAGTAAAATCTAAATATTTTTTTCTCCTTAAAGCATTCATTGCTTACCATATGACAACAAAGACAGCGCTCAGCGATTGTCTTGTGTGAAAAAAAGATGTTTCTGTTTTCAACTCCTGCTTTTTTGCATGGCCCATTGCCGCTGTCATGTGACCTTGATGAAAAGTCACCTTCTCACATCACTGCCTGTCGCCGAAGAAACTATCTTTTGAGGTTTCTGAAGCCAAAGCGGGGAGGTAAGTCTGCAATGGGTGGGTCCTCAGACATAGTAATGCAGAGTAAGTATACAAATGTAAAAAATACTTAGATTTTACTAAATTTTGTGCTTAATCTGCATTACTTCTAATGCATCTGTATCGGACGGTTTGGAGGCGGGAAACCTTCAGAAATACAAAACCTCTATAATTCATACCCCAAAACGACACGTTTGTCAATAATCCGTGAGGCAGAATAAGCATAGAAAAAATGCCAGAACGGTAGGGTTACTTCAATCTTGTTTACAGAAGGAACATAAGAATTAAGGGTAACACCCTGTACGCACTTGGTAATAAAGGATGATAGCAAAAGCTAAAATCTTTACCTACTGTGTCACTGCGCCAAAGCTTGATAAAAAAGCTTGTCTTTATTTCTTCCACATACGACCTGCACGAGAAGTAGACTGGCTCCGTATAGGGCGAGTTCATTCTTTGCGTCGAGGGTGGGTTACCTGCTGGGCTACTACCAGAGGGCCAAAACTTTGCATGCCCTCAACGTCTTCAAGAGCCAAGAGCAAAAATAATGACTAGCGAAAACTGTGTCGGACCTCCAAAAACATCCTTCCATGATCGTTTTAATAGAACAGTTACTTTTTAACTTTTTTTGCATGTAACTCGCTCACCCGTACCGCAGTGGCTAATGCCAAGAGAAACATTGTTTTCTTGGTGAGGTCATAAATGAGGATGAGTAGAGGGGCTCAAAGGGGGTCCGAAGCAGGGGGACAGATTTTGGCCTTCTGATCCTCAAGCCTAGATGAGCGTAATAAGGCCCTTAGTTCCGGGACCTTGGTCATTTTACGATTCTCTGAAACGGCCAACACTGTGTTAAGTGCTACCAAATATGCAGTAATGGTGCTACCTTTCAAGTGTTTCTTGGTACGCAAATGTAGGAGGCATTCGGCTATGATCTGTGGTGACACTGTCATAGGGTCTTGATTTTTTGTTTTGGAAAAAGTTTCAAATGATCAACACTTATCATCGTATAACCCTCTGGAAGAGGGACGATGAGCTAAAGCCATAGCCTTAGCTGCCCGTGCCGAATAGCCCTTTGCACTTAATGCTTTTTTAAGACGAATCAAGCGTGCAGACAAAACCTGTCTGGAACAAGTGGTGGTAAAGTGTATGCTTTTAGCCCTTCCCAAGGGATGCTGAATGCATCCACTGCCAACGTCTGCGAATCAGGTAACAGGAGACATGTCATAAGTTGTTGGTTTTGGCAAGTAGCAAACAGGTCGATGTCTGGTTCCGAACCTCTGAAGCACCAAATGAAATGCTTCTGTGTGAAGTTTCCACTCAGTTGGTGCCACCCTGTCTGTTCGGGATAAGGCATCGGCCAATATGTTCCGACAACCGGGGATGTGCTGAACTATGAATTGTAGTTCCCGCAGATCCACTAGATGAAAGAACCTGAATGTTGCAGAAGAGAGTGGAAGTGCCTTGTCCCCTGATTGTGCAGGCACCACACCACAGTGCTGTTGTCTGTGGATATTGTGAGTTGGGGGAACTGTAGTTGATTCTGCCAATGTGAGATGGCCAGAATAAGCACTACCAACTCAAAATTGTTTATGTGCCACTTTTGATAAGCGCCAGACCACAATATATATATATATATATATATATATATATATATATATATATATATATATACAGTGTCTGCTCTGGCTTAAATTTTCTTTGGGTCACTTGGACCCATTCATCATTAAATTAGGGGTCCCAAACAAAAATGGAGGGGTCCAATTTATAGCATCATAACATAAACAACAGAATACAGTGGTTGTGAAAAATCAGACATCTTTTTCGCAACTGCAAAATATCAACAAACAGGCAAAGTGAGAGAAAGGTTCACATCAGGGCACATCCTGCTCTCATGACCAAGAGGTTTACATTAAGGGACGAACAATTTCTTAAAATGGAAATTTGATACTAATGAATATTTTAACAAAAAATTATCCATGTTAATGTCCAACTTAATTAGTATATGATCTACCAATGATTTGAAGTTTATGGATTCAGTCAAGTTCAATGGTTGTTCTGATGCTACTGTACTGAGTAGTGAGTTCATGTCATAACTGTGACAATTACATCAATGAGCCATGACATAATTGGCATATCAAACGTTTTTTAGTAAGAGTGTGTTCAGGATCCAGCATTTCCTTGATAAATCTAGTCAACATACTTCAGGTGCTCTAAATGTTTAAACATGTCAGTTACACTGATAACTGTTCTGGCAAAATGTGTTTTGCAATTCTTAATATAACTAATATAGAATGAGTTATAAACAGCTGGATAAGTCTGTTGTAAAATAACTTAATATTCAGAGCAGAGGTCCGGAAAATTTAAAATCCCAATCGGACATTTGCATTTAGGCCACGCCCCCTTCAAATAGCGTATTTTAGTACGACTTTTCACACACATTACAAGTTAACGTATTCATAATATGATGAATTATGAATTGTTTCAATTTAAATTGTTTAATTCACCGGACAATTAATAACAAATAATATCATTTTAGATTTACATGGAAAACATACGTTTGTTTCTGTTATAATATCGATCTGTTAACGTAGTGAACGGTCTAATTAATATTCATGAGTTATATTCATGAGTCTGCTCAAGTGTACGCCTTGTAACATTTGGATCGAGACTATTATCCCATATTTGGTTATCACGTGACCTCACGGGAAAAGGTTTTTTTTAAACTAAAGATTTTTTTAAAAACAAGACAGATAATTTAATCACAAATACTAAAATATCGTTGATAGCAATAGTTATTTGAATACTTTTTTCATCTGTACTTAATTATTGACCATAAAAAAATTGGATATCGATCGTCCGAGAAAGCAAAATGGCAGTCAATCAAGATTCAATATACGACTAGCTACGGAAAACAATAAAATCTGCAAATCCTCATTGTATGTCAACCAAGTGAAAGTTGTTAGCTACGACTTACAAAATGATCGTCCAGACTTTGAGGGTTTGGCAGATCCGCTCGACTGATCTGCATCGGTCGACTGGCTATCGTCACGCTTTCGCTTCTTGTCTGAGGTTACGTATCGTAGCATTGTGAGGATAATGAGGTACATCGATGATGCAAGGTATTAATGTACAGTTGTAAACACCTTTCACTCAAATTAACAAGATGTTCTCAGTAATTAATCCTCGATTAATCAGTGTCAACTCAGTTTATTGCCTATTACAGTGATTGACCGATTGGACTATCATGTAGGTACGATGTATTTACAGCAATCAAAACAAACAAAGCTTGTCAGTGTAGTTAATCTTCATTGTGTTGCATCTGCAGACAGAAACTGCTCAGTCCTAACTGTTGATCATGTCCGGTCAAAATTTAAGAATGTCCGGACAATACTTTTTAAAATGTCCGGTAAGCAATATTTTAAAACGGACATTTGAGATTCCCAATCGGACATGTCCGGCGCATATGACGGTTTCCAGACCCCTGATTCAGAGTCTGCTAGATAAAAACAACGCTTACATTCAAGTGTTCGCATTTATGCTTTATCATATACAGTATCGGGATATCGGTAAGTCTTGTAATCCACACACCATGTCGACTGTTTACTTATGCAAATCTAAGCACAATATATTTCATCGCATGATCAAATACAGGACTCGTTGCGCTATGTCACGGTTACTTGCAAGTATACACACATTATTTTTTTATAGTTTCTGGGATGTTTTTGAAGGGGAATAACCCCTACCTCCATTCGAAATTGATTAGAAAAGAACCCATTTGTCCAGACGAAGTCCCTTGACCCAACCTCGGTCATATGCATACTGATGTCCAATCCAAAACAGGAAGTGATGTAAACCATATAATCCACACAGCCTTACTGCGGTAAGATTCGCTAATGACAGGTAGAAATCTAGTTTGTTTACCAAACTCGGTAAAGAAAATCAGCATTGGTCAATCCTAATTTATGTGTCATAAAAGTTGAACAAAGAACAACAAACATTTTGCGTATGCCATACTTAATAAATATGTAAGCGTGCGCCATTATGATCCGTCATAAATTAACTACTGCGATAATATAGCGTACCACCCTACACGGTCATTTGATCTCGTGGATGACTGTTACCACGTTCTGAAGTATACTCTTGATGTGCCTGGCTATTTTCAGTTTGACACGAGGTTGTGATGTTTTTGACCAATCAACAAGCTAAAAGAATTACGAATGTATCCGAGCGGCTAAATATAAGGCATCTGATTGGCTGAAGCAAACCTACGGACCATAGCGAACATTAATATATGCAAAACCGAAAATAGATATAGGCCATGAAACCGGAGAGAATAATGAAACAGGTTTGGTTCAGCAAAAAGAAGTTTTAATCAACATGCTTCGCTGTTTTTTTTGGCAACAAATACCTTTACGCAAAGATGCACGGCTTTGATTTCAATAACAGTGGCCATTTGATATCAAATTCCAAAATTAATAATGGTCCAGTCACTGCGTCCACGAGACCCACACATATTACACAGGTGCGTTCAAACTATTGCGGCACTATTCACATGTTCCCAATTCATGTAAGCAAAATACTAAAAGAACAAGCAAAGTTCATGAACATCACAGGTTTCCCGTGTGTCTTGGTGCCATTGACGGAACTAATTTCATCAGATCATGAGTCAGAATAAGTGATCAGGAAGTACTTTCACAGTATAAACACACAGTGTTTTTGACACTGACTATAACAGTTTGGATGCAGTGGCAAAGTAACCTAGTTTAACCCATGACACATGCATTTTAAATGAGAGTCACCTACACGGGCACAGTGGCTATCCCTGTTAAGGCTGGTTACTGACACCGTATTTGTACCTCCTCCTGGCCCACACTCACACTACAACAGGTAGGATGTTTCCTTGCCTTTGTAAGTGTATCCCAAAAAGCATAAAAGTCGTTATCAATAATTTTGCAATGACAAAGATTATTTTTATGAAAAAGCAGTCTTAAATTGTTTTTGTTTTTTCCCAAAATCTACTTCAGACCTGTTTATACATGATCCGCCCACATACTGAACTAACTTTAATGCCAAGTTCAGCTGTCCAAGTTCCACACAGCTGGCAGTGAGTGGACATGGTGATAGAGAGTACCTTGAAATTGCTGGCCGGGGACACAGCTGCTGGTTGACCACCTTCAAACTTCTCTTCCCAGCCAGTGCGGTCTCTTCGGTTACGATTTTTCAGCTCAAACTCAGTTTCACTGTTGAATGCCTGAAGGAAAGGAATTGGTTACACGGTAGTTATGTATCAGACACGAACAAGAACATTTCATATCAGTTACTGCAATGTAAATCTCAATTCATCATCATGACCACAATTAAATATGAAATTATGTGCTGCTTCTTCTTATCATTATCATTGTCATTACAAATAAATATTTATATATGAAGTATACACCAGTTTCCATGAACTAGACTAGAAAGCATTTTGTTTTTCAAAACAATGTCTGGTGCCAATATTGAAATTCTGATTTTGATCCATAATGACATTTGTATGCACTAAGGAGCATGCTTAAACTCAATTTGTCAAGTTTTTTTTGTTTTGTTTTTTGTTTAACGCTGTACTCAGCAATATTCCAGCTATGTGATGGTGGTCTGTAAATAATCAAGTCTCGACCAAACAATCAAGTGATTGCTATCAGGAGCATCGTTCTATGCAATTAGGATACGATGGCATGCATTAAGACAGCAAGTCAGACTACCTGATCCCGTTAGTTGCCTCTTACGACAAGCATGGGTTGCTGAAGATCAACTTTAACCAGATCTTCACAGGGGAATTTCTCAAGTGATCTTGGGGCATAACAAGTCAGGATGTGGTCTCATGCCTCACATCATAGTCACATGGCCTTCAGGTGAAGGGTGCTACACAGCAGCAACATTAGCACCACCTCTGGCCTATACAAATGAGTTATTCAGTCAAAAATGTACTTGATAAGGTTTTGTTTACTGCACGGAACATAATTAGGCTCAGGACCTTTCAGCCACGTCTTGTATTCAACACTCACCAAATTGAGCGCTTCCAGCAGCCCGACTGGCACAGGGTCATGTTGCAGCCGTGCCACCACCAGGTCAGTAAGCAATAGCAGCATGTCAAATATGCCCTCCTGGATCTCACTGCCCCACTTGTGTACTGCCGCAGATGTCAGGAGCTGCCAAGTGAACAAAAACACTGATGCATTCCCAAACTGAGACATTATACCTCATCACTGTTCACAACAGATACAGTTGTCATGAACAAGCCTACCATATTTAACGTTTAAACCACAAATTGTTTGCAGTATCCATAATTATGATCATTATTTGTTAATTGGGTATTTCGCACGACTGAAATACCACTTTATGATGAACATGGAACTATTTTCAGTCTGGCTCAATGACATGGGCTTCAGACACAAATCACTGAGAAAATACAAACATGATGAACAGAAGATTTCTTTCTTTTTGTCATATTATAACATGTTTGTCTCACCTTGTGACCTAATAAAGTTGCTATTTTCCTGAATGGCACATTTCTACAGTAAGTTAACTGGAAGTATCTACTGCAAAAGGGCATACATGATGATAACAGAAAATAATTCAACAAACTCATTACCTTCTGAAAGGCTTCTGGCATACACCTGTCCATGAATCGCTTACAGTGTTCATCACTTTCACAAAGTCCTGAAACAGCAAGAAAAACAACACTTAGTTACCATGCTTACTTGACCTTGCTTGGAATAATATTACTGACACAGAAGACAAGGAAAGAAAGGATTTGGCAATGGTAATGCCTGAATTTTCTTAAAAAAAAGAAAAGAAAAGAATTTTGACTTGTAAGGTAATGAAGTTGACATAATTCTTATATAAGTCCTGAATCTGAAACCTATTCTATGCCGGTGTTCCTATCTACATCATCTACGATTGAAGTAAATGCATAGGATAGGATAAACATGATAAAGAAATATAATCTAAGGGACAAAGTGGACCATCAATATGTTGCACAGGTAACTGCAGGGCATTGCTCTGTGTCAACTCTGCAATACTGTAAACAAACTGTAGTCTTTAAATCATGATACTTACCGGTATCTCTTATGGAAATGTCAGCGTCTGATCCTCAATTATTAGGACAAGACATTCAAAGATAATAGGTACTAGCCAATAATCTAGCATTCTAGACTTTGAACATAATATGATTGTCACCAAAAGATACATAAGTGCCAGCTTCCTCAGTTTGGCAATTTCACAGATGTTTAGAGAGAAAATAATTGAGAGAATTTAGTAAAATCCTAGATGTTTTTTATACTTATATACTTATCCTGCATTACTCTTTAATGCATCTACTGCTTGTTCTTGACAGTCAGAAATAGGTGTGTGAGTTTTTTTGTTTGTTTGTTTGTTGTTTAACGCTGCACTCACAGATATTCCAGCTATATCATGGCGGTCCGTAAATAATCGAGTCTGGACCAGACAATCCAGTGATTGACATCATGAGCATCGATCCACACAATTGAGATACGATGACATGCATCAATCAAGTCAACCAAGTCCTGGTTCGCCCCGCTTATGTTTCTAGGTTTGCCAGTACCATACCCGTGCTCATGGGTTTCACCAAAGTGGTACACCTCAATCACTTCGGGCTTTCCTCCCACATTAAGCTTACATGCTGTGAAACAACTACAATAATGTTAAATGCGGCGTTAAACCCAACTCACTCACTTGCTGAAGAAGAAGTTGTTTCAACTTGCTGTGTGGCTAACCCTATCACACACCTCCACTGTCATGGTTCCCACTATTTTTCTTCCGAAAAATTCCCTGACATTTCCCTGATATTTCCAGAGACTTTAGAACTTTTCCAGACTGCATTACACGGCCTCCATTATAACAACTGTGAGTGGTGTTTTAACTTTATTATATAAACAGCTTTAAAATAGACCAATGGAAACGTCTTTTTTTAGATATTTCTGTACAAAAGAGTGTTATGTTTGGTTTAAGGAAAACTAAGTCACCAAGTAATTATCCTCCCCTTAAGGCCATCCATCTGCCACCATTTAAAGAGTTCAAACTACAAATTAACTCCATCAATCATTGCCTAATCAAAACAAGTATTACAATTTTTGAAAATGGACTTCAGGACTAGGATCTCACAACTTTAGAAACATGAACATGAACTAATTAGTAACATTATAATAAAGTAAATACCATCACTACTTTCAATGCAACATTCATGCACAGCATTTCTCAAACTAACCATTCAAATATACATCTGCACTTTCAAAAGGTCACCAGGGAATAGATAATTATAACCACAACTGAAGTCACCCTAAGTTTTTCCAATGATTTATCTAACACTGATACACTTTTCATTAACAAAAAGCTTTATAGAATCCTAATTGCATTATTTTGTTTGTTCTTGAACAGTAGAACTTTATGAGATTTGAAATTTTACATTCAAATTTATTTCTGAAATTCAAATGGTAAACTAATACCAAGGCAATGTAATATTTTACTCAAAATATTTTAAATTTAGAATTTAGTTAGCTCTGGAGGTAAGGGGCGCAAATCCCTATCATCCACATTGACCTTGACCTTGATATAGTAAAATTTGACAAATACCTCTTTTTCAAACGAATAAACTCCATTGCTTAAATTTGAGTGGCTGCTACAACCATTAAATAATAGAGAGTATGAGTTCCAAGAGCAAAAAAATCCCTGATAAATCCCTGATTTTGAAGTTTTTATTGAATTCCCTGATATTTCCCTGACTGGAAATTTTTCCAACACATTTCCAGGTTTTCCAGGTTTTCCAGTGGCAGTGGGAACCATGACTGTCATCACTTTACTGCTAGACCGGAACATCTGAAGGCATCGTGGGGAGGCAGCTCTGCAACTGGGCCACTTTAGACACAGTAATGCAGGATAAGTATAAAAATATAAATAACTAGGATTTTACTAGATTTTTTAACTTATCCTGCATTACTCCTCAATGCATCTTTATCCGACGGTACGGTGGAGCGCATATCTTCAAAAGTGATCTTCAATAGAATTCTCAAAAGAACTCCAGCCAATCAGCAAAGGCAATTTCCGGCACTGAGTGACCATTACTGTTGACAGGGAGGGAGAGAGTTAGGTATTGATGTAGTCACAGAAGTTAAATGAAATTAAAATCTAGAACTGACATACCGAGCCAATCGTGTGTAGCATGCAGCCTCCTAATCCTGGGTGACACGCACCGGTGAGGTCGCAAGGCCGGCTCTGGACATGTGGAAACGCCAATGGCATCTTGTGGTAAACCTGTTGGGCCACAGCTGTGTACCCCTTCCACATCTCGCAGGTAGTGGCTGGCGAAGGCAGTTTCTGATCGTCAGAAACAACCTTCCATAATGGCGAGTATGGAACAGTTGCTGTGAAGCACCATGGTGGAAGTGACTGCCCAGATTTCATGCAAGTTACTCAATGAGGATCCAATCCCATGGCCTCACAGGCCTGAAGAATGAAGGCGCAAAGCCATAGGCTGTCATGTTACCGCTGACTTAAACCTGTGATGTCACTGAAAATGGTATAAAGAGGTGGCTCCATTGTCTCCAACAGTACATGGAGCATAGAATAAAGCAGCGCAGCGCCCTCAGTAACAGTAACAGTTCCTGTTCATCCTCGGCCCCCACTATCGAAAAAAGGAGTGGGATTAGGAAGGATCTGTCAGGCTGTCCTTGGAGTTGATTCATGGCTATTAAGTCCAAGCACAGTCCAAGATGAACAGCTCCATGCGCTCCCCGCTCTAAGTGGACATGTCTAGAGCGTTTACTTCGCTTACTCGTGCTGCTGTGGCTAGAGCCAAAAGGAAGACAGTCTTTTTGGTGAGGTTATAGAACCATGATAATTGGACTTGTTCAAAGGGTGCAGCTTTCAGTACGGTAAGGGCCACATTCAGATCCCATGCTTGGGGTCGAAACTTGGCCTTTTGGTAAAGCTTGCAGTTGTGGAATCTTCGTCATTTTCCGATCTTCCGAAACTGCCATGACAGTTGAAGACCACAAAGTAAGTCATTAGACAATGCTTGTGGCGCCAAAACAGTAGAAATTCATCCAAGAATTGAGGAGACGCAGAGGTAGAATACTGGTGTTTTTTCTTGAAAAATATCTCAAACAAGCGCCACTTGTCGTGATACAGACCCCTGGTAGACGGTCTATGCGCTAAAGTAATTGCCTTCTCCGCTCTAACCGAATAGCCATTGGCACTTTTATGCTCTTTGTAGATGGACCTTGCATGTAGACGTAGCCTGTCTGGAGCCTGATGGGGCCATTTGCTGTGGGGGCCAGTCTGAAAGTTCATGAAGGTTGGTGGCAGTTACCTCCCTGAGATCCAAGAACCAGCCACCAAGACGTGATCGAAGTCAGTTTGAGGCTCTGGGTCGATTTGATTTTCTAAAGCTCATTGGGAAAGAGCACTGGCGGGGGAAAAGCGTACGCTTTCAGGGGACACTGAAGGCAGTGACCACCCAAGCCTGTGGGTCTGGTACCTGTGATGTGAAGGTTCCGACTTGGTAGTTCTGGCTGGTGGCAAACAGGTTGATGGTGGGGTGGCTGACAAGAGGAAGGTGTCCAGATGGAGTTTCCACGCTGTGGGAGTTACTTGTCCGGTCTGAAGAAGGCATCCACAAGGACGTTGCAACAACCGAGGATGTGTTGGACCTGAAACTGGACTTCCAGCTGATCGACTAGGTGGAAACATCCGAATGTTTGAGTGGGAGTGGGTCATGCCCTGACTTGCGAAGGCACCATACGATGGTTATGTTTTCAGTGGATATGGTGATCAGAGTGCACTGGAGTTTCTGTTTCCAGTGAGAGAGAGCCTGTATGAGCACCTATAGTTGTGGATGTGCCACTGTTGTTGAGCAGCGGACCACAGCCCCCGAGGCGACTTGACCCTACAGATGTGCTCCCCATTCTTGAAAACAGGCAGCAAGGAAAAGGTGTAACAAGGTTGTAAGCTCTGTCAAGGAGACACCATCTAAGACATTTGATTCCACCATCGGAGGTGTGGTTTGAGACAGTACGAGAGGACGATGGAAACTGACTGATCCTGGCTCCTGATGTAGGGAGCAAGGAACATCTGTATGGGGTGCAGTTGAAGGCTCCCTCTGGAGATCAGATCCTGCGCTAACGTGACCTAGGAGTACCTGCCACTGGCGCAGAGTGCTGGGAATAGGTCTCGGTTGGTTTGGAAAAGGCTTCCGATGAATTGGAGATTGAACAAAAGCAAGAGATTTCTGCATGTTGACGATCCATCCTAATTGATGTAGGAGACGTTGTGTGAAGGCCCTGTGATGGAGGAGTGTGTCCGTGTCCTGGTGGTTCAGGAGGCAGTTGTCTATGTATGCCTCGAATTGGACATTCCTTAGATGGAGGAAGATGGCTATCAGCTTGGTGATGCTTGTAAATAGCCACAGGGCCAAGGAAATTCCAAATGGGATTACTGCCCATTGATAAAGAAACGGAGGAATTTCCTGTTGCTGGTTTGGATTGGTACATGTAAGTATGTGTCCTGGATGTCCAGGCTGATATGAGAGAGTCGTGAGCTTGTATCTTAGAACTGAGCAGCCTGAGTATGGTTATCCAGAAGTACGGTGGACATGCTAGGTTGGACTTGTTGAATGTGGCCAAATTGTGTATCATGCGGAATTT